CTTAAGTTTCTTATATATGTAGCTAGTTCCGGCCCTAGGGGGGGGGGCAAGCGGTGCAACTGCACCGGGCCCCGCGCTTATATGGGGCCACAGGAGTATATTTATGGAGGGACTAAGGGGTCATCAGCCCCCCTCCCCGAAATCCAGGAATTGTTTATTAAGTCTGCTTATTATGTCCTGTCAGATGTAAATCGTAAAAGTTCAATATAATTTTATGAAGAATTATTAGTAACAACGAACAAGTTATAATATAAAGGGTCTGACGATTATGATCGTAGCGATTATACCATTGAGATCGATACATTGTGCTTAATTTTGACGTACGGTACTGCTGCATTATCGTAATTTCGATTTCTTTTACCTAGAATTGATTCACTGATATACACGTGTTGTGGCGTCTCAATCACCGTACAATTTTTACACGAACCCCTATGAGCTAAAAAATTTCCGAGAAGTGACAGCGACGACCGATAACACTATCACGGTGATCGGTTTACGTCGTATAGTTGTTACTTATTTTCGCTATTATAGGTAAATTTTGTATAATCATTTTCTAACTTTTGTTTTTAATAGGCTGAATTGGGGAATTTCAGTTGGAGAAAATACCACAGCCTCCCTCAAAAAAAAAAAAATATCTAAATACACCATTGGGGCCCCACAATTTATATATTACGATTATTACTTTATTTGTAAATAAAAATAATATAGTTCCAGTACGCAAATCGCCACCCGCGTGGTCGTGTGGTCTTCTCAGTAATCAGGTTGTTATCGATGAAAATTAATATGTTACCAATTACGCATAGCTTTGAAGTATTATACGCGGATGCACTTGTAAAATTGTTTATCGTCGACGACAGTTCGAAATACAGTTATAGTATATATTTAGTTATATAATAATACGAAAAAACATAGATTTATATAAACAATAAATTAATATATTTGTATGGGGCCCTGCAAAATTTTGCACCGGGCCCCGAAAACCGTGCACTGGTTGTACAGATTACACCACCGACATTACAACGGCCAGCTATCACCAGGACCAATACATAAATACATCGGCTGTAGAGCGTCGTTTTTCGAATCATCATTGTTTATAATTGCAGCCGATACGTTGCGCATTTTTTGTACAATTTCTATTTTTTGCGTGTGCCATTCAAATTTGTATTGAAGAAAAATTAGTTTCACCCCCTTCCCCATGACCACAAATCAAATACGCCCTTGCGCAAGTTGAGCACTGTTTATACTAATTTAGTTTATAAGTGGTACTAATGAAATTAAATACTTCTATACTGTCTCACAATATAAGTAGGTACTAGATACCTGTATGGGCCAGGCCTTAAAATTTAAATCCCGGTCGAACCGGGCTTTTTTAAACAAAACATAAACCCCGGGTCGGGCTTTTAAATGTTTACATTTTTAAATTAAATTACATTTTAGTGATTAAACATTTATTAGGGCCGAACCAGATTATGAAAAATATCTTTGAGGCTTTAGGCCTGTTTCACAGCCGAACGTTCATAACTGGCGTTTTTCAACTTATTTAGTTTAAGTGCATACGCGGCAATAGCAAAAATCCATACGTTCCCTCGATAGTTCAACGAGTTTAAACTTAAATTATGTACTCTTAATTCGAAAACGTCCTGGACGATACGCGCGGCTGTGAAACGGGTTTTCTACGTCAGCATAATATCCGAACTGGGCCAGGTCTAACATTTTTAGTCCGTGCAGACTAAAATATAGTGTGGATAATTATATCGGTCGTCCGACCAAGATAAGATTATATAAGTATGTAGTATATTTATGATGATTCGAAAAATAACGTTCATATACATACATAATAATAAATACAATTTAAAATAATTATCATCAATATTATAAAAATTTGAAAATTTAAGTTTAAAAATTAATAAAATTAACAAGATTCTTGAAAATCTATACACATGCAATTATATGCATGATGTTCAAAATATGTAAATGCAAATGCAAAAAAATGGTTCTATTTAATCGAAAATAGGCCATACCATGTACAAACTAATTAATTTGGACTTAAGAAAAAAACATGAAAATACATATAAATCCTAGCCCTAGTTATCACTTATCACTTTACTAGTGTAAAAACTAAAAATTAAAGAGAATCTCCCCACATTCCATTATATTTCATTAACATAAAAGTATTTATTCAAGAATATTGAATTATAACACTGTGGGTCCATTGTTCATGAAAACTATATAGGTACTTAAACGATTTTGTAACATTCTTTTTTTTACATTTTTTATGTTTTTTTCTTATTCTGTGTATGAACCTATATTTTAAATTTTCCATTTTTTAGTGGTTGATTGTTAGTTCATATTATTCAATGATGTTACAAAATTAGCTAAGTGCAATTTTTTCAACAAAAGTTTAAAAAAAAATTAGCATATGCAGATTAGATAAAACTTGAAGAAACTAACAATATTGTTGCGCTTATGCACTTACAATATTGTTATAATTCACTAAACAATTTGAAAGCTGAGATAATTTACTGTTTGGGAAAAATTGAATAGGATTTCATTGATGATATTAAACATTGATATTATTTAATATTAAAGTATTGATATAAATTAATTCATTAATTTATGATTGAAGATTTAATTTGTGTTCTTAGTAACCATAATTTATAAGTTAACATTTAGTATAGTTTATTGCTTATAAGTAAACTTCTATGTATGTAGTCTTAACTTGTAATAATAATGGTGTAATTGATTATGATTATAATATAAATAGTAAGAGCTAAATTATTATCAAGTAGCCTAATTATAACTTTAAAAATTAATTAAGTTCTAATCTAAATATATAATTTTTTGAGTTAAATTATACTCGAATTTGATTTATTTTTCAAAAACAAAATAAATTTTTTTTTCCTTTGACCTTCAGAAATACCTCTTACCTATAAGTCAGATAAGACATAATATCGGTACTCATATAAATACCAAAATACCTACATTAGAAATGATAATCCAATAAATGATAATATACATAAAAACTATATCATTATTATAATAAAAAAAAAAAATACTTATATTTGACATTCTATAATAGTATAATATAATGTAATTAAGTATACTGTATAATTTCAATACAAATGATAAAAAGCAATAAATAAATCAGTACTTAACTATCTAGTGAACTGTCAAGTGTTTTAGTGATAATTATAAAAATATTATTAACTTCAATTTGGGAAAGTCTTATTAAAAATAATTGAAATTATCAGCATATTAAAAACATGTTGATATTACAAAAATATTAAATTTTTTAATTAATTAATTATTTCTGATAACAACTGAGTAGTTTTAATATTGTGACTACAGTTTGTCAATAGTATAAATACTTGATGATTAGATTGTAATTACTATTATAATAATTGTAATTTCACAATGAAACTATTAGGTACCATTGTCCGTCTGACCCACCCGGGTACCTGGTAATCACTGGGGACTCTTTAGATTTATTCTTAAAATAGAGGCCCAACCAGGGATGGAACAGTAGTTAGAGACATGGGCGCCCTGAAGGAGTGGCAAGACAGGGCATTAGGGCATTTTTCCCCTTGGAAAAAATTAATTGAACAGTTAATAACAAGGTTTGCAATTGAACAACTGCAAAGACTTCAGTTTTTATTTAATAACAACTAGAGTGTGTATAATTCTGGCATATTTTATTGTTTGCTAAGAATATATTTTTTAATATACTTTTTGGTGTTTGATTTAATTATGCCCTCCCCCCATTGATAAATTTCCTGTGGATGCCCATGGTTAGAGTACTGTGGGTCAGGCTCTTTCAAGAGACCACTTATTAGAGCTGAAAATAGATTATTAATGTATTGTAATCATATTATGATAAATTGTAATCACATATTTGTTTTTTAAGTTTATTTATAATTATCATTGTAAATATTTATCTTATTTTATAAAATCTTATATGGGGTCTGGCATAGAGATGTTTTATTCTACTATACAATTAAACCAGTAACATCATACTAAAATTTAAGATAGCAGCTATCATCAAAAATCAAAATTATAGATTTAGTTAATACTAAAAAGTAAATTATCTTGTGCCAGTAACCACTAGCCACTACTTTATATTTTATGATTGTGGTTCAAATGTTCATACAAGTTCAACAAGTCAACTCAAGCTATATAATTTGAATATCATAGCTGAATTGAATTTCTTAGGTTTAAAGCAGCTTTGCAATTGATGCCCCTCAAAAATATCACTATTAAAGCAAATTGGGATAAAGGTCTTAGGGTTATTGATGATGAAATGGCACAATAGTGTTATTTAAACATAAAATATTTATAGTCTTATCTTATAAAGATGGGGAAAATATATTCTTTACTCTTTGGGAAAATCACATTGTTTTGATACCTTTAACAGAAATAAAATTGTATTATGTTCAATAATTCCAAGATGCCATATACTAACTGACAAAAAATAATGGCAAATAAGTCATAGCTCACAGAACAATAATCAATACTTGAGATTCACACTAGAACGTTATTTGGGCCATTTACTAGACTTATTTAAACTGTGACTCAGTTAGAGAGACACAAATCTTGTTCTTTTACTACTTATATTGCAGTTTTATAATAATAATTATAATAAATTCAATAAATTAATTGATTTTATAAGCTTTACCAAAATTTAATAATAAGAGTAGGAAACATTATGAATTATTTTCAAGGCTAATTTTAAGAAATTTAGTCATAATATTTTTAATATAATTAAATAGCATTTATATACATAAACAAATTGAATGATTAAAATACATTAATAAAACAATTAAGAATTTCTTTAAAATACATAATTCACACTGTTATTTACAATAATAATTTCTAAATGTAGTTATCATATATATATATATATATATATATATATATATGATAAAGATAAATATTAATTATATTTTTAAATTGAATAATTGAATACAAATAATTATTTTATTTCAACTAATATTGTATATATAAAATCATAATACTTAAAATACAAAAAGGTAATATAGAATAATCCACTAGGAATTTAAAGTTAATTTTACTATTATTAAATGTAAACTAAGAGATCAGTTAATATTTGGAAACTTGAGTAACATAGACATTTATAGCCATGGGTACCATGCAGGATCCATACGACACAAATTGTCAACTGATGAAGCTGCACTTACTATTGTGCTTACTTTATTATCAGTACCATCAAAATTTGCCAAACTATTTAGTCTATGCATTATAGAATTAACTGCTTTAGTAACCATACTGATGATAATATCACCAGATATTTCATCTCTATCATTCGAAAGTTCATCTTCTAATTTCTGTAAAATATTTTAAAATTGTTATACACATAAATAAAAATACATAAAAAATTATATTGTCTTACTTTTTTGTAAGATGTGATCATTTCATCTCTTAGTATTGCTCTAAGAATAGCTTGAACTTTATTATTGGGTTGATTAAAACATCGAGCTGTAGCCATTATACTAGCAGTAAGAGGACCAGTTTTACCAATATCAGTCATTAATTCAACAAAATTGGGTGTAAGTCTAAAAGGAACTGGACGATTGGAAACTAATTCACCTGAAATGGATATTAAATTAATTTTATTAAACAGAATATCTTCTTCTTCTCCCTCGCTTTTCTCCCAACTATTTGCAATCAGCTTTCTTTGTCTCATTTTCTACATCCCCTACGCATGTACCAACAGCCCATATATCATTCTCAATCATATTCAACCATCTCTTTTTTGGTCTTCCTCTCTTCTTCCTTTCCCTTCGATGTTCATTTTTATAACTACTCTTACTGCTTTTGTTTCCTTTCTCCTCATCACATGTCCAAACTATCTTGGTTTCTTTTCTCTTATCTAGTGCAATATCAACGTTACACCAATACTACTTTTCACATATCTGTTCCTTCTATTGTAACATTATATTTTCACTTGTCACTGCACTCACCCATTTATTTATGCATTCTCATTTCCGCGCAACACTCATACTCTGTTCTATTTTCCTATCAACTGCCTAACACTCTGAACCATATAGCATAGTTGGTCTCACTACAATTTATCTTTCAGTCTTATTGGAATTCTCTTATTATATAAAAAACGCCTGATGTTTCTCTCAATTTCATCCAATCTTAATCCTATGTTTTATATTCATGCCAAAGGAAAATATAAATAAACAGAATATAATAAGTCAAAATTACCTTTTTTATCATCAACATCAAATTTAAAATATGAAGCATTCAGTAAACCAGAATCTTGATGTATATACATCATATCTGGATTAAGTCGAGTAAGATGTAACACATATTCAGCCAAACACGATAAGGATAATTGAAGAGTTAGCTAAATATATTTTTATAAAATCATAATATAAATATACAGAAAAATAACTAAAAATTAAAATACATAAAACATAATTATTTTTAAGATATATATTGTTCTCACCATTTTTCTAAATGTCCAATAATCTGTAGGTGAAGCATATGTAAGAGTTGCCCAATTTTTTAATGTATCACTAGGACAATAATTTTTTTGTATTTCTAAAAATACATCCAAAAGCATTTGAATATTTGCTTGAGTTCCTTGATTCTAAAAAAATAAATAAGTCGTTTTATAATTATTATTTTGAATGAACTATTATCAATTACTTGAATATTAGCTAAACGTTGGTAGTAATGCTCTATACAATCATCATATGGTTGAGATATACTCATTGACTTGAAAATATCAAGCAATGATAAAGATGAAGGATTATCTTCTACGAGTCGTTGTTGAGGGGATACAGCAACAACTCTGGGTACTGTATAATATAAAAACCTACGGGAAGTTTCCTATAGAAATAAATAAAAATATACTTCTTTAATAAAATATATTTTTTACTTATTAAATAATTAATTAGTATACTTTTTGCTTTGTCAAGTAATGATTTAACATCCTTAATAGCTGTAGAACTCGTTCTTCACGTCTAGTATCACCTAAACCAGCATCATGCATTACCAAATAAGAATACAATTTACCATTATGACCACGCATAACTAATCTTCTGGCTGATGTGTTATGTTTTTCCACTATTTGAACTCTTGGCATAAAACGAGCAATTTTTACATAGTAATGTGAATGCTAAAACAATTATTATTTTATTAATTATTATATTATGATTATTTTTGTATTGAATAATAAATTTAAAATAAACTATTAAGAACATAGATCAGTTGTGCCTAGAATAAATTTTAGTAGAACTCAAATATATCAATAGCATTCAGTAATCTAATTGGGTGAGCTTTTATTATTACTTGAAATTACTTATTGTTATAGTGTAAACAAATAACACTAAATACAAGCATATGATATGGGATAGTAAAACAAAATCACTCTTGATATTTAGTCTCTTTAACATTATTATTTATTACTAAGGAACTGTGTATAAATATAATTTTTCACTAAATAATGAATTGGTTATCCTGCCCCCTGATCATATCAGGATATAAGATAATTTACATAATACAACAACCAAACTAATATTATATTATTATAACTTTAACTTTTCTTTAATGTTATAATAGAAAATATAAAATCATGTATTTTAATATTTTATTCCACAATAAACTATTTTAACAAATAAAGCAATCATTAATATTTCATTAAATCTGTAATAATGATACCATTTAATCTATATGAAACAATTTACTTAATAATTTGCATGCATTGTATCAACGAGGTACGGTTTTTTTTCTTTTTTGTATTAAACATAATTTAATTTATACTCTTAAATTAAAATATTGTACCTTCGGAAGTAAAAATTCTCCTGGAATTTCAATTTCAGCAGTTTGAAGACTGAAATTACTAAGGAATCTACATTTTTCTTCAATTAAAAAAGATCTGTAAAAGGAAAGTAATTAAAAATTCACAAATTGCATTTTTTTTTTTTTTTACAAATATTACTTTGGTAAAAGCCTAATTTTAGTTTCTAATATTTTTATCCATTTTTTCATTTTTGAAATCATATTATGCAATTTCATTGCTCCAGGTAGAGTAAAATCAAAATCAATAGAAAACTGTTGTTTCATTTTTTGAAAAACTGGATCTTGTATGGTTGTTTGAGCTCGTTTAGCTAAGCTCTCAGATCCTGAACCTGGAAATGATCCTTTAGTTGATATAGCGGCACTATTAGCAGCCATATTACTTGCTAACAATTCTGAAAATTAATTGTATATTGTATAAAATGGAGATACATATTATATTTCATGTATACATTTTTTTCAAATATCATTACCTATTCCAATTCCAAAGGTTGACACCAATTTTTTAATGAAATTCAATGTGTGAGGTGTTATTTGGGCATCTGCAACTGAACCTCGACTGTCAAAAGCAATGTTATAACATTTTGCTAACCCAAGACGAAGTTGTCTCAATACTTCTTCATACCAATTTTCTCTGAACCAAACCATCTAAAATGTATGCATACAATTTATGTTTTAGGAGGCTGAAGGGCAACTTTTATGTGTAATCATGTTTACTTTTACTTTTTTTAATAATAATATAAAATTTACTTATTTTATAAACGATATAGATTATAAATAAAAATAATTACAAACAAAAGTTTATTTATTAAAAGACTAATAAAATAATTTTTCTTTTAATGTAATATGAGGTATACAATATCAATATTAGTTCATTAAATAGTTTATAATCAATACTTTACCTGATCCACTATGCCTTCTAAAGTTAATACAATTGTTGGATGAACTTCACGTTGTTGATGCATTACTTTAGAAAAACGAACCATTGCTGGTGTTGCACGTAAAGAAGAATCAGTTAATCCTGTACTTTGTGTAGATGTAGAATCTGTAAATAACTCTATTAGTTTTCTACAATTAAATATTATTAATTATTACTTTGTGTAGTATCATTAGTTTGGGATTGCTTATTGGCTGCAGCTAATAATTCAGAATTTTTACAGCGCTCTCTGTATTCAATCTTATGAGTGAAATATAGTGTTCTGGTAGGAAAATACACGGCTTGTGGATATAATCTTCCAACCTAAGAGTTATATCAATTATAAATTATAATATGTTTATTTTTTTAATTTGAATATTCAATACTTGTATCAATAAATTTTGTAATAAAGAACCACCATCGCTTGCCAATGTAGTTAATAATTGCGGTACCCAAGGTAACCATAATGCAGGTGGAACTCCATTGAAATGAGTATCAACAGTACTCAGCAATGAATATTCTTTATCGTCATAAGTTAATAACCACAAAACTTTCGCTAAATATTTTCGGTATTTCGACTCGTTTTGTTGACGGCAAGCTTGAAGGAAACATATTATTGCAGCAACACCGGTTTGCATTGTCTGATTTGGATAACTTTTAGTAAAGTATTCTTCCATATATTCTCCCCAAAGAGCCCAAGCTTTCACCATAGAATCATGTAACTGAACAGCTGCTGAAAAAGCTTTGTGTGCTTCTTCAGATTTACCTTTATTGTTAATAAAATAAAATATAGGTTAAAACAATCATATTAATATTATATACTACATATTATACATAAATTAATAATATACCAATTTGTCCAAGTAGCATTCCCTTTAATGCATAAAACTCAGCAGTCATTTCACTTTGAAAAAATTTTAAATTTGTCCTTTCAATAGCTTCTAAGCACTAAAATAACAAACAATTAATAATACATTATTCATATTATGAGCTTACTTAGTATTAGAGTAATAGTTACATCTTGTATTTCATGTTTATTAGATGATATAGATGCCATTTGCATGTAACATTTTACTTGTTGCCTAATTTTATGAAAACAATCAACCACAGGTACATTAGGAATCGTATACAAACGAGATAATGTTTGAAGACAAACTCCAGTTAAATTGTGTTTACGACTAACTTTTCCAAAGTGAATTATAGCCTAAATTAAAATAAAATGATTTATCGGAACTTATAATAATTAATATGATATGATATGCGCATACTTGAGCAGAAGCATGAACACCTAATACAGCATTAGTAGATTGTTCAGGCCGTGAACAATATTCGATAACAAATTGATAATGATGTTGTCTCCATACGAATACATCACTCCAATGACTTAAGTCATCAGCTACAACTGGTAAACGATTTTTCCAGGTTTTTAAGATAGCTTTCATATTATGTAATGAGTTATTTGTATCTTTTTCTTGCAAACCTTGATGAATCTGAGCAGCCTCTGACAATTCCATTATCTAAAAAAATAAAAATAGGAGATATTTTTCTTAGTATTTTTGTATGATAATTATATAATATTCAAGGATCAACAGTTTATATTTAATATTCATAGTAAAATTGTTTTTAAATTGCTTTATTTAGTATCAATATTATATTTTGTAAGACTTGTGACAAAATTAGATTTTGAACAATAACAAAAAAAAAAATAGAATTTTCATGGAGACCACATATGTTCAGTTTTAACTGTCAATTATAATTGGTATCCTTTGTGTCCATACTAGTAATGGGTCGAACTGTTCGAATCTCGAACTGAACCGAACTATCAAGCATCTTTTACTGTTCGAAAATCGAACTTGAAAATATTTGTCGAACCAGATTTACTGTTCACGATAGTTTGAAAACCAAATATTTGTACAATTCTTCAAAAGTTATTTTTAAAATTTTTTTTATAAAAATTGATAATGATTATTTAGAAATAATTAGACTATTGGCGATAGAAAGTGATAATCTTTAAAGGGCACGTTATGCATTATTCATAATAATGTTATATTTCCAATCGCATGTTACACATGTCACACATTTCCCCACTGTGCGCCCCTTAAATTTATAATACTTTAAACGCCTTAGGGCACTAGTCCCATTTGGTCTTTTTGGGACGGCTATGGTTAAGAATGATCAGTGAAAAGTGACAGTTAAAGCTGATCGTGTATAACCAGCATTACTAAATCAACCATCTTTAGACATATAAACAGATCTATTCATCCTCTTTCATTCGGAAACGTATTATTTTTACGAGAGCAATGGTACGTCAATTTCAAGTTTAAATGACCAATACAGCAATATCATTCATTCATCTTTGTATCCCATCCGACGGTAGAGCTTCACTCAAGGTTTTGAAAAATGAATACAAGATTTTTCATACAATTTTCATGGTAGCAAAAAAAAAGTATTAGAAAATTTAATTTTAACGAATATTAAAATATACGATATTATTAGTTATTTGGGTGTTTTTCTATAAAATATATTAATCGTTGCGATTCAATACATTTTAAATTTAAATTAATAAATTTACTAAGTATTTATATATATTAGCATTTTGAATACATTTCATAGTTTCATTTTGAAAACAAGTGTAATTTTGAATATACATCTTAATTAATATTTTCTTTGATACTAGTATTATTTTATTTATTTTTAAAACTATTATCTCATTCGCAATTGTAACAATTTATTATTTACGCATTATAATTGTAATTTTATATTTTACAGTTTATATTTTGTTACGAAATCCGTCAAATCTATATTATGTGAATTATAGCTATTATATTATCCAAAATAGGCAGAAAATTGATTGATAAATAAAATATAAATACCTACCATAAGATGTGGATAATAATCAAGAATAGAAAGTCAACAATTATTTAAAAATAAAATACAAATTATCATTTCCGGACTAGATATTATATATTTTAAGTATTGGTATCAGCATTGGTTTTATAATATACTATTATAAGTATATTATAAAATCAATGGTATCAATGACGTATTTATATGCATGCACTATAAACACAATATATTTTGTTATTAATTATGAAGAAAAATGGTTTAAAATTTCAGAAATTATGTTTTAGTAATTTAATACAATTTTAGCATACCTACCTACCTAATTAATATATATTTTAATTATTTAGGGCGGCAATTTTTCACGGCCCAAGACGGGAAACATTTAAATACGCTCTTGATTGGTATGATATGGTACATGATGTAGATTATTTACATTGTGGTGATTGTTTAATGCAAAGATTCCCAACCAGGGTGCTGCGGCACCCTAGGGTACCGCGAACTTAAATTTAGGATGCCGCAAAAATATTTGAAATATATATTTATTTTTAAACGCCTTTATGAAAAATATAGCACTGTGAGTAATAAAACAGATTATATTCTATGTTTGTAGTATAAAACCTATTGTGTACAATTAATTTGATAAATACAATATAATTTAATTTTCATACTGATTCGATTGCTATAGATTTGATGTGAACTGTTTTAAAGTTGTTTACGGTGAAATACTTGTGACTTTATCTTATCTTTATTGTTTATTAATGCTAAATAAAACCGAAGTTACTAAATATAAATTTAAATATATGATATATTACTATTGCGTATTCAGTATAAACTATAGAGTATAGGGCATAGACTATAGGGTGCCTCCAAATTTTTAGAAAATAATAAAGGGTGCTGTGAGTCAAAAAAGGTTGGGAACCTCTAGTTTAATGTGAAACATAATTGTATAATTTAATATTTACACTTACAAGTCCGTAAATATAATTAGAGCCTTGAAAATTAATTATTACTGTTGTCTACTATCTATAATGTTCAGAGAACAATAATGGATTACAGATAGTGAATGTATAATCTAACATGGAATAATTTATATTTTATTATGTGACATGGTAAATATTTTAAACATTGATATAAAAATGGGAGGGGGGGGGGTTCAGCAAATTTATGTATATTTAATCTTATCACTATCATTTTGACTACTATTAGTATTGATCTTGGTATTTTTAAATCTGGTTGATATTAGTTTTTTTGACTCAGATAATAAAAAATAATAATAATAATAATAACAATTTAGGAACTAATATAGGAACATAAATATTAGAATATTTACTGTCCAATCAATTAGGTATACTAAAAATAGTTTTATTATAAAAACTTGCACAATATATTATGACATTGTGCTAATAAATGTATACAATGGGATACTAAGAACATGTATATTTCAGTGCATTTAAAAGAAATGAAAATGAACAAAACGTTTCATAAATTGTAAAATACTACCATGACGACTAGAATAAAAACGACTAAAAACCCCTTAGTCGAGCCAATATAAAATACATATTATTTTATATAATACAAATCTGTCATGAAATCATAGAAGCACCAGAACACAGTTTATATATAATGGACTAATGGGCGTAGCACTCGTGCATGAAAGAATGTTCGTACATGTTAGGCATACATGGCACGGTGATGTATAATAATCTGAAGTATATAGCATAAATAACATAATTGAGGTTATGTTTATAGATTATTTAAACGTATTTTTTCTTATCTTACATTTTTGTATAACTGATAAGTTTCAAGTGTTAGTGAAATTAAGTTGACAATAAATACTTTATTCCGCAATACTCAGTCAACCAGTTCGTTTAATAAGTAATTAATCTGACAGACGGTTTTTTCAAAAGCTAACAGTAACAAATTATGTTCAATAAATGACTATAAATAATAAATTAAAAGATAAAATGAAAATAATTTTAATATATATGAAAAGAAAAGTATTATTATATTGGATATTAAGATTTTGTTTAATCAGTATTATATTAGTAATTGGAATTATAGCATATATTATTTTATTTCCAACAATCATTGACATAAGCTCAAATGATATTCCAAATTATTTAGTCAAGACTAGTGCAGATGAATATACACTCCTAGGTAAAAGTTCATGTTCAATAGCTGAAATTAATGATGAAAAAAGACTAATAAATGTACAAAAAGTGGTGAGTAACAAACAATTAGATAATTTTAAGCAAAATATATCATTAGGAGGAGAATGGATGCCAACAAATTGTATTTCTCAACATCATACTGCAATCATAGTATGTTATCGTAATCGAACTGAGCAACTTCAAACCTTTTTATATCATATGCATTCATTTTTACAAAAACAAAATTTACACTACCAAATATATGTAATAGAACAAACATTTAATGCTGAATTTAATCGTGGAAAATTATTCAATGTTGGCTACCGAGAAGTTACAATGCGTTCTTTTGCAGGATGTTTTATTTTTCATGATGTTGATTTAATCCCAGAAAATATAAATAATATATATGGTTGTTCTAGTTGTCCAAGACATATGAGTACTAGTATAAATGTTTTCAATTATAAATTACCTTATTACACTATATTTGGTGGTGCTATTGCAATGACCATGCAACAATTTCATGACATCAATGGTTTTTCAAATATGTTTTATGGATGGGGAGGCGAAGATGATGATATGTTTAACAGAGTTTATCATAGTGGTTATAGAATTTGTCGATATCCACCATATATATCAAGGTATACAATGTTAACACATGATAAAGAGACACCAAATGAAAATAGAATGAAATATTTGAGAAATGGTCCAAAACGATTTAAAACTGATGGAGTTAATTCTGTTACTTATAACTTGATCAAATATGAGCAATTACCATTATATACAAGAATATTAGTTAATATTTAAACAAAATTAAGTAGTACTGAAATTTAAAAGATCAACCAAATGGAAGAAATCACTGAAGAGCCAAGACATCACCAAAAGTTAATGTAAGAGTTGTTACCATATTAGGCATACATTTTGATATTAAAAACATATTTTAAATTTAATTTACTACTTTGTTTATTTGCCTAATTCAAATAATTGTTCCTGTGTTAACTATACTCTAAGTTATTTTCTATTTATACAAAATCTTAATTATTTTATGAAGAACAATCTATTTTATGAATTGTATATATAAATCCTAAATTAATTGCAAATTAAGTGAGAATAGTGTCATTTTATAATCAGGGTGAGATTAAAATTATAAATACTGCTGGTATAATTAGGTATTTATATTTAAATTTGTAATTTGCATTGTAAATTATAATCAGAATTTAGCATTTATTATTTCCCAACTTTGTGTAAATATTTATATATATAATAAAAAATTTATTTAATTTTAAATTTGATTAGTATCATCTATCATCAAAATTGAGATGATTATTATTTAGAAAAAAAAAGGTTTTTCTTTAATTTCTCAATGAAAATTCTTATTGAGATATATATATTGAGTTATTTTGTTATAATTAATTTTCCATATCATACCTGTTGAGAAGCTTGAAGATATGGCAAATGTATATGTGAAACAATATGTGGTAATCTCCTCCATTCTCTAATTACGTGTATACTAGCCATTTCTACATTTCGAGTAACATATGGTAAATTTGGTTCATCAGGATGACAAATCGCTAAAAATCCTCTGTATAAATACATCTATTAAAAAAATACATGTTAATAATACTAATTATTGATACTTATACTTGTACATTAGGTTAAAGATTGTACAGTTGAATTTTTTTATACCTTCCATAAAAATTCTTTAGGACATGTATTATCAACACAACTTAATGCTTCACTCATAACATGCCAATCGGGTATACGCCAAGCACTATCTAGTATTAAAAATGGATTTAGATGGCCATTAAGTTTTGAGTATTCAAGTAAAATGTCCCACTGATTGAGTTCTTTTGAACATCTATGAAATAAAAAATGTACAGAAATTAATAGATTTTACAGTTCTGGAGATTATATATTCACCTTATCCATTGCGATTCCCATAAACGAGCTTCACTTAGAATCATGACTGATGCAGGTGAACTGGAAAATTCACTTTGATATTTTTCAATTAAAGCCTCATATGTAGATAATGCCTGTTCAAATAATCCTTGTTGTTCTAATGCAAGAGCAACTTTGGTCTCACGATATTGAGCATGTTTTTGCCATAAACCAGCCCACATATCTTCTTCTTTAAGTTGTTTATACATTTCTGCTAATGTATCAATCACATCCTAAAAATTGATATTTTTAGAAAACCCAAAATTAAAGAATTAAAATATATTTTAAAAACATACTCTCTGAGGAGATATTTCAGGTTCAAATTCATAACAATCTTGTTTAGACACTTCAAAATTATTATCGATCATCATTTTTTCTAATGACAAAGTAACACGATGCCATAAATTATGAGATTTACCAATATACAACATGACACTTGGCTTAAAATGGATTCTTGGTTGACATTGAAATAATGCTTCAAAGAATGTTGAAATAACACTCGGATGAACATCTCTCTGAACAACATGTATACCACTTACAATAAATTGGTTTATTTCAGGCAACAATATCTAAAAACAACATATTTATTATTGTAACAAAATCAATTAAATTATAAAATAACTATAATTTATAATTATTATGAATATTTACAGTCTTTTGTGTTGAATTTAATGATTCCCATATAGCAGGAAACAAAACAAGCCATATTTTTTCAGCTAAATTTGAATCCATATGACAAAGTTGAGCAATGGCTGAACAAATGTTTCCAAGTTTCATTGTTTTAAGATTATCCATAAATTTGATGTGTCTGGTAATTAATGGTTCCAATTTACCACCCTCAACAACTTCAATATTATCAGTTACCATTTGATCAGTATCCATTGCATATTCTGATTTAACTGTAATATCTTCATTAATATTCAGGATTTCTTCCTTGAATGAAGAATCACAATTATTAACTAATTCTCTAATTGTTGGTAATTTTGATGATGTGGAGGAACTTGAATCTTTTAGAGTTACTGGTAAATCTATAAATATATAAAAATAATTAGTAAATATTTTTATTTTTTGTTTTTTTTGCTAAAAAAATATTTGGTCTAACTACAGAACTTGAGAGAGACATAATGAAGAGACTAGTATAGATGAATTGTTTTTATACATTTTTTACAGCTATCTATCTATGTTAGTAGGTATTTAATGCATATAATATTGTGCATTGCTCGAGAAAAACTAAATCACCGTTGTGTAAAAATTGATCAGCCACTTTCCCACCGAAGAAAATAGTTACGACACTGCAATATATATGTATATTTAAAAAATCCATTCTGAGTGAAGGAAGGCAGGTGAATCTAAAGGCTTGAGTTTACATTACCATATTAGAATATATACTAAATAATTTCATTATCAGGTTGGTTAAAGCATCAATTTTATAAAAAATAAAATTGTATTTTATGTATACTATTTGAATTTTAAATTCATTCATTTAATATTAACACTTAACATTATAACTGTAATGTAAAATAATACTAATTTAAAAAGTATCCAATTAATATTTCAAATCCCTACCGATCCCTAAAAATTTGATCAACATACAATATAAAACCTATTAAAAATTTAAAATATTTATAAATGATTATAAAAAGACTTAAAAAAAAGTCAAAATCATTTGAAAATCATGCAATCTAGAAAATGGTGATATTAACATTCAAGTCTCTACGATTATGATTTTTTGTGTTATGACAAACATTTTATAGATTTGATTAAAAACCGTAAATGTTGTTACTATTTTTGTAATATATCATCAGTTATTTTAAATTATTTGGAAAATTCAAAAGATAATCTTATGAAAGTACCAACTAGACAAAGGTTGTTAATCCCTCCTTTTGATGATTGAAACAATCCATCTGGTTAGTTAAAACCGTGTAGACAGAGACAAAATATAAACAAATATGGTAAAAATGGTGACTAAAACATTTCTTACTTCACTTAAAATCTAAGAGTCATACAGTTAAATTTATAAAATATATAAAATGATGAAATACATTAGAAATTCTTACTTGGGTCAACTGTCGCTAATATTAATTCTATGCATTGTTTTATCCAGTAATGTGTCATCATTGGCTCCCAGTTTTGGGAACTCACTATGTACAATAAACGTTCTGGTAATCTAGTATTAATTTGTTGGTTAAATAAAGTGAAAAATTTTTCACGAACAGCTGGTTGCGAACATCGCAATCCACTTAAGAATGCTGCTTCTAATTTATGCCCAAGTTCTGAATTACGTAGCTCTTCATCCCTGAATTAAGAATTTAAATTTTAATTGCTGTATTATTTTATTAAATTTGTATTTACAATTATTGTGACATGATCATCTTTACTTTAAGTAAGAAACAATAAGCTAATAAAAAAAAAAATTACCTATAAATATGTATAATAGTATCTAAATATTGAGCATTTAGATCGGGAAACTTTTTTTCAATATGCTGCATGATTTTTACTAGCAGTATTGATTTTTCACGTAAATTAGGTCCATCATTTGAAGTAGTACGCATCCATTCTTCTAACATCTAAAATGTTTAAGAGTGTAAGATTTAATTTTTTAATTTCATAAAGTAAATAGATCACTTAATACTTAAAATTGAATGATAAAAATATTTTAATAAATATAAAAAAAAAAAAAATTAAAAAAATATGCAACATTAAAATATGAGTTTTATAGAAAATGGAGAACATATTATATCAGAAAAATCGTAAAATTTTGTTCAATTCAATTTTATTAAAAATGCTTTCAGAAAATAATACAGAAATTATTTTTATCAATAGTGCAGAAATCAATTATAAAGTTAGAAAGATATTAAGAAAACCATTACAGCTGTAATAAACAATAAATTAAATAAACTATAGAAGGATGATTCCTTAAATAAAAATAACAAAAAAATACTTAGTGAAATAATTTTACTTTCACACACAATATGACTTTTTTTTTTTAGAGCTTTTATGAAATATTTAGCTCGACAATTACAAATTATACACCTTAATCTAGTATAGGAGATCTACATATTATCTAGTAGTACAAACATGATATAATAAAACAAAATTTAAGAATATAATAAAAGATAGAAAAATGTATACAATAAATTAGCAAAAAACAATTATATGTTAAAGCCAGCATTCTGAATAAATGAGATAATTAAATTTACAGCCAATTCAGATTTAGGGTTGAGGATGGAGAAGAGGTCAAGTTGAATTTTTAAAGAATTAAAAGAGGAAAATAGATTAATACGTTGTGAGACGAGTGATGGACAGTCAAAAAGTAGATTTGAAAGGTCACAAATGCTTTCCTCCATATGCAACATGCAAAGAGAAAAATCGTTTAAGTTAAGTTTAAAAGCGTGAGAAGGTAAGAAGTAATGACCTATGCGTAACCGGTTGAACTTGACAATAGAAGTTCTGGGTAAAGTTAAATTATTCAACAATTGAAACTATCGAAACAAGGAATAAAAGAAAAATAAGGACTTATAAAATTAGAGGACATTTTAGCTAAAGAATCAGAGTACTTGTTGTCATTGATTCCCACATGGTTGGGAACCCAGAGAAACTGAATATTAAAGTTTGATTGGCTGAGGCTAAAAAGAATAGATTTAATACGAAGGACTAAAGAAGAAATGTGAGAAGTAAAAGAGAAGGTTATTGAGTGATTAAAGAACGGACAATGCATCTGAAGCGATTAAAAACCTTTTATTTGAGAAGGTCGAGATCATATTTAGTGCTTCTATAATCGCGAAGCACTCTGCCGTAAAATAAGAGGAAGAATAAGGTAGATTACTAGTAAAAGAAATGTTTAATTTGGGAATATAAAAGGAGTAGCTAGCCGACAAAGGTGAAACGGAACCATCAGTATAAACCATCGTAAAATCATGAAAATTACTTTCAATAAAATCCGCAAAAAGATCATTTATTACCGAAGGAGAGAAGGATTTTAAATCTTAAGTGGAGAAGCCTGGGAAAAGGTTGGCTACGTGTACCGTCGTGGAATGCAGAAGGGCTTCATAGCTTATCTCATACACGGGATGTTTCGTATGAGTTATAATATATTGATGGAAGGGGGAAATGGAATTTGCAGTCAAAGAAAAAATGGGAAGAAATTTAGAGACATAATGCCAAGTTAAATATAATGAATAGTAGGTATCAAAAATAGCACAGTTAGCGAGGGATAAAGATTTAAGAAGAAACTTACCTGCGACCCATCAACTCCTAATGTTAAAAGGAGAGCACAAAGATTCAACCTCTATTTCTGATAGGGGAGTTGATCTAACGTAACCCATGATATTCCTTATACAAGAGGTTTGAACTTTGTTTAATTTTTTCCAATTTGAGCACGATGCAGAACCAAAAAGAAAACATCTATAATCCAGTTTGGATCGTATAATGGATTTTTAAATCAATAAAAGAGCAGTAGGATGAGAACCCCACTATGTACCGGTAACTGCTCTAAGGAAATTAGTCCAACGAGAACCAAAAGAGACGAGTGAAGTAATATGAGGTAACCATCTCAACTTTGTGTCAAAAATAATACCTAAATAGGTAGCATGGACAGAAAAAGATATACGCATACCGTTAAGATAAATGTTAGGAGGATCTAAATATCTGCGTCTGGTAAAGATTACAGACTTACATTTATCATAGGCGACTGAAAAAGATAATTCGTTGAAAATATTATTTAATTCTAAAAGCACCTGATTTAGGGATACTATGGCCAAATCTAGAAATTTATTAAAAGAAAAAACAACGATATCGTCTGCATAAATAAGACATTTGTAGCCGAGAACGGATAGGTGATTAGCAACGAAACTAATATAAATATTAAATAATATCGGACTGAGATAACTACCCTGAGGAAGACTGGAGAAAGTAGTACGTGAACATTTATTGCCAAAAAGAGAAGTGAAAGAAAGAAATCTATGTGAGAACAAAGAAAAAATGATATTGAAAAAGGAGAGGGGAATATTCTGGGAGAAAAGTTTGGAGACTAAGGTAGGGATATTGACTGAGTCATACGCGCCGCGAATATTTACGAAGGTGGCGACTAAGAATTCCTTATCATTAAATGAGTGGTAAGTATTACTAATAAATGTCGAAAGACACTCCATAGTACCCATACCTTTCCTAAAAGCAAATAAGTTGGATGGTAAGATTGAATTGTACTCTACCCACCAGTCAAGTCGAGTTTTGAGTACGTATTCGATTTGGGAATAGGAATAACCTTATAAAATCTCTAAGATTGTGGAACTAGACCAGTTGATATAATATTATTCAATACTTTAAGAAGAAAAAGAAGAGCGCAAGAAGGTAAATGATTCAGCATTAAAGGAGAGATTTAATCGTGACCTTGAGCTGGTGAACGCCTTGAAAAAATAGTATCGTTTAGTTGCGATAATGTGAATGGATTAGTTAGAACTTGAGGAAACGGAACCTGAGGATAGAAGAGAGGGAGGGCTTCAACGGCAGTAGGGACATAACAAGGAGCAAATTTCGAGCAAAAATCGTGAAACCAGTCATCATTAATAGAATGACGAGATAGAGAAACACATGTTTTATAACATTTTGCAGTCGACCAGAGAACGTGGACTGGGGTAGTGGAGCTCAAACCAGAACAAAATCTTGTTCAGGCCTCTCTTTTGGCATTTTTCAAAATATGTGTTGTGGCTGCACAACAACTCTGATATTTAAAAAGGTCACTGATCTAACCGAATCGGCGAAACGTCTTAAATAATTGAGACCTATTTTTAACCGCCTCCGTGCATGAAGAATTCCACCAAAACGGAGAGGAAAGATACTTTTTGTAATTGCTTTTCCTTATAGGAATCTTTGGCCACGTTGTCAACAATATTTGTAAAAGTAGAATAAAAATTATCAGGAGAAATATCTATAGGTAAGGAGGAGATTGAGTTAGGGAAAAAGAAGGCCAGTCAGATTTATTGAAGTCGAGAGAATTCCGAGAGTCAGCCCTAACAGTTGGATTATCGCCGGTTATGTTTGAATTACGGAGATTAATTTGGTTAGCCATAGAGATCAGAATAGGAATATGGTCAGTACCATGTGACTCGTCGAGAGTGGACCAAGAAACAGTCCAGATGAGGTCAGGCGAACAAAAAGACAAGCCAATGGCGGAATCCGAAAACCCCGGTCGCTTTATATGAGTGAGACTACCATTATTAAGTATACAAAGCCCGAGGAAACAAATATTATCATACATGATATTACCGTGGCGGGAAAACGAATGATGCCCCAGGCAGGATGGAAGGCGTTAAAATCGTCACCAAGGATAGAATTACTTCGAACTAGTCTAAAAATAGAGACCCAAACAATGGGAGGAATATTAGAATCACTAGGGATGTAACAAGACCAAATTTCTGTAGGCAAAGACAAATTAGGTAAAAAACCTCAGCACCGACAATATCTATTCTAAAGTTGGAAAAAGTTTTGCGGGTGTTTCCATCAATCGAGATAAACCTCGACCTCAGAGAGTTATGAACTAAAACTGCTGCGCCACCATAGCCATCTTGACGATCAGATCTAAGGAAAGAAAAGTCAGGGATATTAAATAAGCGAGTCGGTAATAACCATGTCTCCGAAAGGAGAGCTATAGAGCATTTGTTGTAGGAAAGTAAATATTGTAAAGTGGGAAGACGAGCTATCAAACTTCTAACATTCCACTGAAGAATATTAGTGGTATTGACTGGATTTAAAGCACTATTGATGGTTGCCAGAGTATAAAGATAAACTATTTATTGCTCGGATTGGAAATGAGGAGTAGTGAATGAAGAAAGGATTCGATTAAGGATTGGAGAGTGGAGGGGGAAAAAGGAGAGGAAAGCGTAGGTGAATTTATAAGAGCATCTGCTAAAATATTAGATAAAGTATGAATCCAAAATAAATCGTTACTCTTATTACTATCGATCTGTCCCTGCTCTATACATTGCTTTAAATAACTACCATTGGGAGAGGAATAATACGTCGAACAGGGAGAAAGAAGGGAATCGATTTTTGAGAGAAGAAATGCGAACTTTAGGCTTAAGTTTCTTAGAGTTAAAGAAATTATGATTTTCATTTATAGGTAGGTTCAGAAAGTCCTCTGATTGAGAATAGAATTTAGTTGACATATAATTAGAAATAGGAGGCTGACTATTAACTTTATCAGAATATTTAAAAACCGAAGTGTAACAATTATTCTTCTTAAATATTAATGCATCTTGATACGAGATATTTTCACTAGCCATTTTAAATTCTTTCTGTGCTAACCATTCTTGACAACTACGATCTGTAGCCACATGGGGCCTTTAACAATATTAACAAGAAGGATCGGAAGTTTGAGTGGTGGGACACTTGGCGATAGAATGCTTGGTGATACTACAATGGCTGCATCTAGGATCACTGCGATAATATTTTTGAGTACGCCCAAATCGTAAACAACGATTACATTGTACCGGGGAGCGAACACTCGAGTTAACTTCAAATAACATATTGAACACCAATATTTGTTGAGGCAATTTGGAGGTTACAAACTTATATTCGACAATGCGCGTGGGTACCATAACACCGTCCTTGTTGACTGAAATACGTCTACAGCTTTCGATTGGAAAAGGCGAACCGTACGCCTTCCCGAAACTCGCATTCAGAAATATCGTTATCGAGTTTGATCACACCAAAAGAATACAAGACACTTGTAGGAATAGAGGCTACAAACCCATATTCGCTAAGAGACGCAGATTTTAAACATGAATTAGCATTAATAATTGAATCAAAGGTAATCTTGATTGTATTAAAGCCAGCGGGTTTAATATTATTAATGCCGATAAAATTAGTGGAGAACAATTTGGCCGCCTTTACTGGATGCCAGCGACCCAGGTTTTTATTTACATTAATACATTCGACGAGAATCGAAATAGAACCGTGATAGTCTGATGGAAAGGTGCGTTGATTATTCTGTAACATGTTTTGAATAATATTGGAAATAATAGAATCCATATCAGTAGAAATATTAGTGGAAGAAAGATTATTTTACGATACGGTGAAGTTTAAATTGCTGGTCATATCTGATGACGTACCGGTTGTAGATAAAGAATTGTCGTAATTGAAAGCAGAATTAGACGTAACTAAAATTGGTGTATTATCCACGATATGTTGGAACTCAGGAGAAGGCGGATTAGACGTAGAATTATTAACTTACGGGCATTTTTCCTACTAATTGCAGTCGTGAAGTCAGCGTCAGGTCCACGGGATGATATTTTAGGAGTTTTCATTTTTGATGGTGCAGGTAATTTATCCGCGCGTGAACCGCCGCCCGAAGACACTAACAATCAACAGGTTTGAAGTACACCGTGATATCGATAACAAAAAATACGACTGTACACTATGACTGCTGAGCCGATACTAACAATATGACTTATTTGGGATATTTTTTTAATTTTGGCGATTTGCAACATACTAATGACGGGTTTTTTATTACCTTTATGGTTTAAAGTAATCTATTTTATTAATAGTAAACCTACTTCAGGATCCTAACAAACGGTATGGAAATGTTTATATTAAATAGTTAATTAACTGATTAAAAATAGACATAATACGATACAAAACTTATTTTTAAAGTTACTTTAAAAAAAACTTGCACTTTGATTCTAAATGTATTAATTTGTTTAATTGCTTCAATTCTTATTTAATTTGATAATTTTGAATTATACCTTTTCTAATATTAGAACATTAAAGAATAATACAAGGGTAAATACTTACTAAATGCTAAATTACTAAATGCTTACTTTTAAAATTGTTTTCATAATTCTTGCATCATTAGTTTTTTCAATCAATCCAACAAGGATGGTTCCAATGAATGTCTTTCGAGTTTCAATATGCATATTGCCAACTCTATTTTTCATTAAATCTAGACTTTGAATAACTAGTTCACTTATTCCCATTGAAGATTCTGTATTTGTAGATTGTGGCTGTTCACGACATACTTTTTGCAATACATGAACAAAACGAGAAGACAAATTATCGATAAAAGCTGCATTATTGGCACTGGCTGCTTTTAACATAATGACACATGTCAAAAAACGATTATAATTTTGTGATATATTTTTTTCAAAATTATTTAAACTTTCATCAATTAACTGAAATATACAAATAATTGTTAATTTTTTACTACTAGATAATGTATAATTCAATAGCATACCACATTTATTAAAATATATAATTCTTCGAGTTCATTGAGGTATGGTTTAATCATAGGAAAAGTAAAAATTAAACGTGTAAGAAATGTATGAGCCATCCTTCCAATCTAAAATAACAATTTCATAATGATTTATATTATTATTATTATTATTATTTTATTTGTTGATAAAAATATTTTAATTACCTTCATATTTGTAGTACTTATACATTCATACAAAGATTTTTGAAGTGGTTTAATAGTATTTAAAAGTTGATCTTTTGGTAAAGTAGTTAAAAAAAATGCTAAAAGATCAAATGCTGATGCAATATTTGCAACAGCAATAGCAGTGGCAGGATTATTACCAGCGGGTTCTAAATTTGATACAGTACAAAATACTTTTTCCATCCAAGCTAATTTTAACATATCAATGCATCTTGACATTATAGCTTCTGATTTTAAAGCAGTTCTTAATAATGCAACACAACGCTTTGATAAGAGTTCTGCCATACCTCCAGCAATGCCATCATTTACCTAAAATTACAATATATAAATAAGTGTTTTATAAGTAACATATGCAATAAAATAATTTAAAAACAGACCTGGCAAGCAATTTTGGCTAGAAAATTGAAAACAACACCAAAATCGTTTTTATTAATAGGTTTATCTTTGTCTATATCATCTGATTGTATAGGAACTGATGGTTCAAGTTTAATTTTTTTTACAATTTCTTCAGTGAAATTCTAAAAAATATACAATTTTTGAATAAAATTAGAATACAACTAGTTATAAAATTAATAAAAGTGTATTTATTAAATATATAGCATTCATTTGAAATTTAAAAATGAATGTATATATATATTGTAGTTTATACCAGTGGTTTTCAACCAGTATGCCGTAAGTGCCCTTGAAATATGCTATGATAATTCTATAAATTGTTTTATAAGTACGTATTTATCAGTATTATTATCAATATTATTTATTGTAAGTATGCCTGTCGCAGAAATTTCGATTGATCAATCGTATTAATGTATTTCATAATAATTAACCCTCCCTCTAATAAGAGTAGATTGTAAACAATGTAAGTATGTATGTATATATATACACATCTATAAAAGAATATATATATATATACATATATAAAAATATATACATACACATATAAAATACAGTTCACATATTATATGGATTGGTGTGCCGCAAACATTTTGTTGGAGATGAAGTGTGCTGCATTGTTAAAAGTTGTTGAACATTGGTTTATATTAATAATAGTAAAATAGTTATATGTAAATTTATTTAACAAAATATTTTATTTTTTATAGTTAATACTTGTGCAAAAATAATTTATGAAGATGTAGGGAGTAGAATAATATAAAATATGAATGATAAAAATATTATTTAATTAAAAAAAAGAATATAATTAAAGAATGAAATAAAAATACTATAAAATTCAAACAAAATAAATTATGATTTGTGATGTAGGAAAATTAAAGCAGTAAATAATTTAAAAAATTATAAAAAAGAATAGTAAGATACTGAAACATTATATATAATTATGAATGAACAAATATATCTAAATATTGTAAACTTAAAAAAGTATCTCAAACACTTCAAAAATATGTACTATGCATTATCATAATAATTTACCTCTGTTGCGTTTTCATCTCTAATTCGTTGTAATTCCCATTTTATAATAACTTCAGCCATTTCTACAGCTAATTTTTTATGTTCAAATGTAGCTGAAGACATAAAACCTAATCTTTGCATTGCATTTAACATATGCTGAATTAGTCTATGTCTAATTGGGTAATATACCTAAAAACAATTATTAGATATTTATTAAAATATAATATGAAAATTCTTTTTTTTTTTAGGTATGAATTATTAAAAACTTATATTTATTCAATACTTTAAAACATAGAGTATGTAATGAATAATTTAAATAATTAGAAAAAATTGTATCTTAACATAAATTTTTTTAAAATTTTACGAGTTTGCAAAATAAATTGTTTTATTATATTGAAAATCATTATTAGATGTATTAGTTATTTAATCACTTATAATCTAAAATTATTATAATAAACTAAAAATTACATTGTAATGTCTGACCACCAAGTGCAATACATGAAATAATTGTTGCATTAAATGTGCTTCTTCAACAATAATTTTTTTAGTACATTGACATAATAATTTATTTCCATTGTTCATACGAATAGATAATGCTGGTGTTATTAAATCTAAAGCTTGTCGAACAACATTTCTTACTTCAACATGATATGCTTTAAGTAGTTCATGAAATACTATAAAATTCACAATTATTTATGAGTAATATTTGTTTTTAAATTATAATTTTTTCAAATACCTTGTAAAATGATTCGACTGTTAACATGATATGAAGCAACTATGTATGACAATAACAAATGACCACTGTATCGAGCTGTTGGATCAACACAAGTCTTTTCTAATAAACATGGCCAAGCATAACTCATTACTCGTTTTAAATTTTCACATAGTCCATCTGGACTAAATGTACTATCTTTATTAACAGGGAAATCATTGACTAACATACATCCAAGTTGCAATAGATGTATACGTATACTATCTTCACCAATTTCTTGTGGAACTTCATGAACAATTAACTAAAGATAATTATATTAATTTTAATTTTTAACTTAAATGTGTAAAATATTTTAAATATTTTAGTATTGTTAGATTTAATTTAATACCTGATATATATATGATGTAACTATATTTCCAGCTGAATCTGATGGATCAGATGTACCATAAATTAAAATTTGTTGTTCATTCTTTTCATAACTAGCCGAAACAGATGGTAGAATAATATACTGCAAGATTTTGGATTTAAAATGATTACTCATATTATTATCTTGAAATATTTCTACAAAACGAAAGAATGCTAAACGTTTCCACCGAGGAGAAAATGTTTTTGCAACTATATCTTCTAAATAGACACGCAAAAACTAAAAATATAAAAGTGATTTAGATAATTAAACCTGCACTTCATAATACTATAAACATTTTTACTGTTTGGAAATAAAAATTAATTTTTGTATTGACTTACCTGAAAATCAGATATGAATCTAAAACAGAATGCCTTTATTAAATGAAATAGTAAATCTACTTGATTGGGATTATGAATAAAATACTGAAGTAACACTTTTGCCAACATTTTTGGTTCATTCCAGTGAGAAAATTCAAGATACCCAGGGTTCAAGAAATGTTCCTTAAATAAATATATTATTATATTATTTTAATTTAATATAATAGTAATTAACTTTACCTGATAATTATCAGATGCCCAAAGTTCAGATAATGATATAATTAGATCTGTTTGGTTAGAAATCCATTTTTTATCTAATCTTACAATAGCATGGATAATTTTTACAGTTTCATATTCAATGATTTTAGTAGGATCTAAACAAATTTAATAAATAACTTTTTCTTAGATAAGGATAGTTAAGAAATAGATTCATGATTATAGTTATTGGGTAGATGTTACCTGAATGAGAAGATGTAATTAATTCATTAAGTCTTCGTCCACTGCCCTGAAGAGCTTCTCGAATTGTTTGGCATTTGTCATTGGTTATCATCATATGTAAATATTTAATCCAATTAGGTTCCTATAAACAACAAGATTATTCAATATAATTATTTATTTGTACTGAAATAATAATAATACATTTCAATGTCTTAAATATTTGAGAAACAAATAACTGACCTTTATATGATTATCTTGAAGAAACAGTTGTACAATTTGAGTTGGATATTTAAGTAAGCATCCCAAAAGTGGTGTGTGAAATGGAGACAATATGCTTACTTGAAGGTTTTTTTCACTATCCAAGACTAGCCTACAAAGTGACTCTATGTGCCTATAATTGGCAACAGGTAATTGTCTGTACATTTCGATAATAATAACCATTATTGATTCATAGTTTCCAGTCTTAGAAATACCTAATTAAAATTTACACAATTTGGTTAAAGTCTCAACAATTATTTTTATGAAAAAAGACTAAGAATACAAAACTTTGTAGCAAAATATTTTTTATTTATAAGTTACCTTTTTTCATTTGAATTAAAACTTCAAACATTTTTTTCATTATTTCCATCAAATGGGTGCAAAACATATCACTAAAACTAGTAGGAAATAGTTGAACCAAGTACCATAAACGTCTTGTACCACTTAATGTTAAGTTTCTATAGTCCCCTAAATCACCTAATTGTTTTTTCATTAGTTCATGTACCTAAATAAATAATTTAAGTTAATACAATATAAACAAAAAAATCATTACTAATTATTACAATTATCAAACTCATTATATTCAATTTAATATATTTGGTAAAATTTAATTAATTTATATAATACATTTATGTATTTAATAGTTAAGCAATTTCTAATAAAATGCTCTAATTTAATACAAATTGAATTTTAATATTTATAATAAATTTTAACTTTATTTAATTTGTTCTGAATAAATAATTAATAATTGGCATATATTTTCGAGAATTAGCACTTTTTATTTGCTTACCATTGGCATATCAATTTGTGAAGTTGAAACAAATTTCCTCAAACATTGAAATGCTGTTTCTTGTAGATCTGGATTATTTTTGTCTAAAGCACCATATAAAGCATGAAATATTCTACTTTTTACTTCTGGTTGAGGAATATAATAACATGCAGCAAGAGCTCTCATCCCAGCTTGACGTAATAATAACATTTGTCCTGGGTTCATTGTTTTGTATCCAGGTAATTTGGACATGGCTGAATCACTGGCTTCACATAAATTTGATACTTCATGATAAAATAAGTTGTGTTCTTTTATATTTAAATCTGAAGGAGAAAAGTTTATATATAAAATCATTTACACATACTTATTTAACATATACAAAACAGATTTGTAATAAAATAGAACTAAGATTTTATAGTATTTACTAATTCTTATAGGATAACGACAAAAATAGTAGAATGAGCTACAAATTTGTTGTATACACAAGAGATTCAAAATACAAAATTGTATGTAATAAATAGCAAAAATATACATAGTAATTATACATTACCAAAGATGTACTTTATATTCACAATTCTTTATTTCATTGGTTAATTTTTAAAACTATTAAATTAAAAATAAAATTATTTATCATTATTTAATAGTTGTCTTATTAATATTATTTAAGTACAAAAACAATTTATTTTCGGTGAGTTTCTATTCCAAGATAATTATATGCAATTTATTGTTTATGTGAAAAAAATTGATTTGTATTTATATTTTGAATCTTAATTAAAATTCTAAAATCTACAATGTAATCTAATTTTTGAACATAATTTATAATATATATGTATTAATTGGTATCATACTTAAAATATTGAACTAATGGATGATTGATAATTTACGAGTATTATCTATAGTTAAGTTTAATAGAAATTGTGAAACTAAAAATTTAATAAGAACAAATAAATATTACCAATTGTAAATAATCGAGGCAACAAAGAAGTACAAAATGTGTTTCCTTCCATCATTCCAATTTGAGCTTTAAATCCCTGATGACGTAACAAATGCTTTCTCAAAGGTATAATTTCTGACAAACCTTCTTTATGAGGTTCCATTACTTGAGTTACCGTAATGCCTTGCGCTGATGCTATCACACCCAATAAATGTGTGGACTATACAGAGAAAAGTAAATAAAATAACTAAGAATTTATATTACTATTATATATGCAATACATACATGATTTCTAAGCAAATCATTAGGGCTTGTAACTTGACGAATGAGTTCATATGTTACTTCGTGTATAGCTTTTTTCTGTAAAGCTTGAAGCTGAGAACCTGAGTTTTGATCTAATGGGGATGAAGCTTTTCTCAACATATTTTCTAAATTTTTTTTTGCTTCATCTAAAACACCATTTGAAACCTACAAGGAAACAACAAAGAATAATGTTTAATTAAATACGGAATGTGTATAAACTATATATCTTATATAACATACATCTCCAGATAAATCCATGATGACAAAAAGCTGAGCCTTTACAAATAAATATAAATGTTCAAAAACCCATTGAGAAGACATACTACTATAAAAAAATTGTATGGCATAACATCCTCCAAATTTAGTATACCAAGCACGATCATAGCATAAAGCACATAACTTATCAACCATGTATTCCATATATGGTAATTGGCAGGCCTATAAAATGTCCTAGTATAAAATAATTTCAAATAATCACAAAAAATAATAATATTATTATACTCTTTCTTTGGATCCCATAATAATTGTTGCTGTATTCAAAATAATAGTTAGTGCCAGTCTTGCAGGTTTTAAGAGTTCTTTTTCTTGATAGCTCATAACAGTTGCCATTGAATCAATCAATACAAGTGGATCCATACCAAAGGAACACTTTTCATTTTTTTCACTATTTACTAATGGTCCAGCTTGTTGAGAAACAGCTACCATAGTATAACGCATGACAACATCTAGCAGTGTTCCAAGAGCTGTGTCTCTAAGTTCTTTAACAGCGGCACTAACAAAAATGCCTATCAAAAATAAATAAATCAACTATAATTGTAATACCAGTCAAAATGCATTATTGAATTAAAATAAAAAATAACAATAAAATATTTACCATTCAAGGCCATAACGTAGGTGTTTCTTACAACTGGATCAGGATATTTGTAAACAGTTGATTGAAAGTTAGATATTTTACCTTCTTTGAAACTGTAATATTACAATTTAATAATTAAATAAACTTTAATAAAATTATCTAAAATCATTAATATTATTTCCTTACCTAGGATGAGAAAAAAATTTCATCAATACTGATTTATCATCATCTGATAAAACAGATGCTGCTAGAAATGATTTAATTACTTCCCAACATTTTTTACGATAATAAGGATCAGTTGACGACTTTAGTGATTCTGCAGCGGTTTCAATTGCCTATACAAATAAATAAATTATAAATAAATTAATTCTTCAATTTTTTAATACTTATACTAACCATATCAACATTAAATGTAACTGGTTCGGTATGTTCAATAAATTTAATGATAATAGCAGGTTTTTTGGATTGCCTATGCATTGAATAATCAAGCCGTTGAGGTTCAGTCATCATCTTACGATTACCACCACCAAATTTACCTAGAACTCTAAAAAACAAAAAATACATTTAATACATTTATGGAAAAATTATTGCTTGATAAAAATATATTTTCATTTTAAATTTGCCTTTTTCTTGAATTTATAATTTTAAACTGGTCGTACTTTACAAATATAATAATACTCCTAGATAAGAATTTTTTATTTATATATTTATTTAAATATTAATTTACAAGCATTAACTATTTACTAATTTTTTATTTTTATTATTTTATTATATAATAATAGATACAAAAAAATATATCTTAATAAATAACTATTTATTCATATAAGTTAATAAAATCTGTTATTAACTAACAATAAATTAAAAATTATAATTTATTTTAAAATTAATTTCATTTCCCACTGTAAATTCCCAAATAAATAACTTTAATTACACATTACCTAAATGCAACAGGATAAACATTGTCATTTGTGTTGTGTAATGATCGCCACAAAGCTTGCATTAAGTCTGCCCTTACTGGTTGAATATGTTCATAAAGAAAATCAGTTTGTAGATTATCAACACATAATTCTAATGTTCTAAGACCCTGTAAAATAAATAATAATGAATAATAATGTTTTTCATTACAATTAAAAAAAATAAATAAATAAAAAAAAATTAAAAAAAATATTTCTAAAATTTAGATATTAAATATATTAACCTGAATAATTAATGATGGAGAACCATTTAAGGCTGAAACTAATGGATCCATAAGAAGAGGCAAATGGGGCAAAAGTGAACTTAAACGAACAGGTACAGTAAGACATAATTCCACAAATAAATCTTTCATATCTTGTTTATGTAAACCAGATTGAAGACTATTTAAGCTTTTTAATAAATTTGGTAAAAGAGGTAAAAACTCTTGATAAAGAACTCCATGTGCTCCTCCTCCAATGCAACGAAACAATGGACGTAAAAGTAAAAAATAATAATATGGATCCTTGGCAGTTAAAGCTAGTTTCATTGAGCTGGAAATTATTTATATATTAAATACAAATTTTATTCATACCATTAAATCAAAATATTTTCTATGACTTACCTATTTACAATTTGATTAAGGTATGGTTGAAGTGTTTGTTCACTTTCAATTGAATATTGATTAACGGTATCAAAAACTTGTTTAAAAAGTTTCAAATACAAATTACTTCGTTCAACATTTCCGCTACCCATGTCTTCCATTTTACTAATTAAATGTTCTAATAACAATGTTGCAAAAATTGAAGATGTATCTGATGTATTGAGGCTATTATTCAAAAGTGATTCACTAATATACATTAGAGCATGATTTTTTTCTACTCGTTCAACGAAATATGCAATAGTAGTAGAAAATATTTCTTTGAATGTAGTAGGAGGTAAAAGAGAAAACTAAAAAAAAAAAAAAACATATATAAATGTATTAGTTGATAATAAATATAAAATAATACTTACAATCCCACTCAAATGATCCATTGCTTCCTTTTCTTCTTTTGATCGTGGTCTTAAAACATTTGCATTTGTATTTTGATTATTTAATGGATTTACCATATGTACATCCATTGCTTGTAAAGACCATTTAACTAGACCTAAATAAACTTTGACAAGTTGTGGTTTTACTGGTAATTTTGGCGTATTTCCAGAATCATCATCTTTATTAGTCTGAAATATAAAATTAATTATTTAATAGTACATGCAAATGAACTACCATGAAATACAACCCAGATTAACTGCATTCATTCTTCTGAAAATGTGTATGTATCAAAATTAAAGGCATAAGTAATAAATAATTAGTAAGGTGCACAAGCAGTATATTGTATGTAAGTTAAGGATGAAAAATAATGTTAGTTAAAAAATGCTACTCCACAGTACATGAAGCTTGGGAAAACATATTTGCAAGTAAGTTAACTTTCCTAGCCAAAAATTTTAGATCAAGACTAAGATAATGAAGAAAATAGTAATATATAAGCTTTCTTGAGCAGACTACATCAATTTCAAATCACACTAATATTAAGGCAATATTGTAAATAGGCTGTAAATGAAAAAGAATTTGAATGTCTAAGTGATAGTGACATAGCATCTCATTATAGTAAAACATGTAATACATCTACCTCACATGTTGATTCAAAAAAAACAAAGATAGTAATAATGACAACAGTTTGAGTGTTTAAAAAAAATGCAAACTAGGTAAGTACAGTTGGTGTTCTCCTGAACTTTGACAATCAAAAATTGTTGACTTCCATAATGTCATGAATTACAAAAAATTACAAGTGATGTAAAAAAAATATTTTCAAACCGTAAAAAAATTGATTGATTACTTCATACTTTAAAAGCTTGGATAATTTTAAAATAGGACAAAAGGTATGTACTTACAAAAATGTAAATACAAATGCAACATAGGCAAAAAAAAATAATAAAAAATATTTATCAAATATAGTCTTGATTAACCGTGGTTTTCATTTATCCATGTATCCTCCCAACCATTACACTGGATAATCAGGCTCTACTATAATAAAATATTTATTAATGTAATACAGATTTTAATTTTTATAATTCAAGAATTATTGTCATTTGACATTACAGCTCAATGTCTAGCAAAACAATCTTAAACAAAAAATATTATGAAGTACCTACTATATAAGTATTGTTTAAATAATAAAAAAAGAGGTAATAATGAAATATTTCTGGTTTTTCAATATTAAAATTATTAATCTAAACTTTGGCAATTATGCCTCTTAACTAATAATCATAACAATAGGTTTGAAGTGGGGCAACTAGTTTTTAGAACATAGCTTTGTTGAAAAAAACTTAGATAACCCATTTGGAAGCTTAAAATGCCTGCCAATGCTAAACCACAACACATATCAGTGACTTCAGCTAACTAGTGTGCCACACTATACTTTTACATTTCTAAAGGATTTTATCTATTTCTAAAAAAAAATTGCTAATTCAGGGCTTAAAACTGTTCCTAATAAAGTTGGTAACCGGTTTTCGTTTAATTTCTTTATTATGGTAACAGTTTCTTTAAGGATATTTCAAAAACTATAATAACCGTTAATCGTTTAAAAGCCGATGATAAGGTTTTTTGGGAATCGGTTATCGGTTAAAACCGGTTTTTAAAAATCATATTTTTCAATTTTTTAATCATATTTTTAAAACCGTTTATTTAGGCGATCCGTGGGTTGATAATATAACTTTTATTATTACAAAATCAAAAACTTAGTGTGCTTTAATTTGGTCGATTTCACTCAATTTCAATATTTATTTTTTCAAACTGCTTTAAAGTTTAAAATATATTATGATCAAGATAATGATAATCAAAAAACTAAATTGCATAAAAAATTTTTATTGTTATAATTTTCTTATTTATAACGGTAAAAAAACGAAATTAAATATAATAATATTCTAAAATAACACTAAGATTGATACATTGCCACAGAACTTTTTGGTTATATTGTATATAATACAGTAGGTACCCCAAAGAATGGATGAGCAGATATTAAAACGACCGTGTTAAAATATCATAAATACTAAATGGACTCTATTATTATATTACTCTATTCCACCAACTATTTCGTAATAGGAATCAGCGCACCACGACGACGACGACGTTTATGACGGTATTTATAATGTATAGTTATACCTATATATATATATATATATGATATTCACAACAGATAAGCAATACTCGACGGTCATTAATTGGGGCTATTTAGGACTAATTAATTATAAAAAAGATTTAAAAATAGCTGGAAAATTAAATTAAACTATAATAGTATAATATAATCATGACATAATTCAAGTATTAATACCACGAAAAAAACCGTTAATTATTTTGGTCGGGAATAGGTCTTGATTATAAAAACAGAATTGAAAATACGAGGTAATCGCTTTGGTGTTAATATTTAGATATTTACCTTGATTACCGATAACCAATAATAGCTTCTAGCATTCCAAAACTAAAAGCGGTTATCGGTTTTCGTCACAAACCGGTTACCAGTTTAAGCCCTGGTTTAATTACTCTTAATTAAATACTTAAATTAATTTTAGAACATTTTTTTTTTAACAGCCTAAATAAAAATTACAAATTATTTCTGGTGGAAAATATGAATATATTAAAGGCAGTTTTTAATTATAAAATTAACGTGATAAATGGGAATGACTAGGATGTCCATCATTAAATATTGAGATCTCCCTGTTGATGATATTAAATTTTTTCAGAGTATATAAAATTAAATTAATTTAAAAATAATAAATAATAATAAAAATAAAATAATAATAATCAAAATTATAGAATTAATTATGATTCAACTAGAAATATGAATTAGATAAGTAAAGCTAAATTGTATTAGTTTTTATGGTTCATATACAGATTTTTTTGTGGTACTTATATATTTGTGAACATATTAATCAATCTGAATTGACTGAGACAGAGAAATTAAAGAACTAAAACTAGTCAATAAATGAGAACATAAACATGTTAATAAGCAAAAAATTTCCATGGCCAAGGGTCTTACAAAATCATACAATAAACACTTTAAAGGAAAGATTTATTTAATATAAAAACTGAAAAAAAAGATTACATGATACATTTTTAGTTCAATAAATTAGTTATGACCGAATTCAATGATAGTTTGATAGTTAATTGTAATTAAAAACTCACATTTTAACATAAACAAAACAAATGTTTTTCTTGGTTATTTAAAATCAAACATTAAAACAAAAACATACTACTAAATGTTTAAATAATATAATATTAATATACCTTAATTGTCGCTATTCCCCAAGCAGCAGTTTTTATACCACAAATAATCACTTTGACCAATGTCCTGCATTCTGGTAAAGAAAATAAAGCTGTTGGTGATGAAGGAAATATATATTTAGTCTTTTCTTGTAATTTTTTTTTAGCCGGACTTTCTGTTAACTCCTTGTGTTCTTTTTTCACGTTATCATCGATATTTTCACTTTCATTGATGTCAAGAATTTGCAACGAGTCAGATAGCATTGTCTTATTAGCACTAAAGTAGTAAATTATATTTCAAACTCAAAATATAGAAGCATTAGATTGAATTCAACTTACTTTTTGGAATTTATAGCTGGTATATATAATTTAGAAACCACTTTAAGTTTCAATACATAAACCTGAAGAATACGTATTAACAGATCAAAACTAACAGTTTCTCCTTGAGTACATTTTAAATTTGGAACATCTTCTCCATTTCTCTGTCTTATACAGTCTACTAAATTCATTAGCATTTTACAGCACATTAATTGAATACTGAAATAATATAATTTAGATTATTTTTATTATATTTCAATAAAAAAATTATATTATTTTTTTTTTATAACCTAGGAGTTAAACTATGATCATGAACATTAATTGCAAATAAATTAATCGCCTTGACAATTGTCGGAAGTGTTAGATGAACACGGACATGATGAATAAGATCAGCTATTGTACTATATGCTAATGGTTTTAAATTTTCAGTAGTAGTCCATCCCCTGCCAAGAAGTGTATTTTCATCAAGTAGTTTGTCCATATATGGAATAAATTCTAAAAAAAAAAAAATAAAAAAAAAATAAAATATTAAAATGATTACTAAAATAGTATTACTTATTCGTAGTTCTGTATTAAGAATATGCCTTGATGCAATTAAAAGTTCTTTTCTAAGATGAGTAACTTCCATAGGACAAGATTCTAACATTCCAATCATTCCCTCAACTAATTGTGTAGAATGTACAATTACTATATCTGTAAATGGCTTAATAACAAATGCTAGATAAGACAAAACTTTTATTTGAGCCGATATCAATTCAACCAAAATTTCTTTGTTATAGTTTGGATGTGATCTATTACAATTAAAAATATATTAAATAAAGTTTGCTAAAATCCATGAGGTTGAATTTGTTACTTATAATGGATTGATGGCTGCAAAGGTATAATCCGTATAATGGTTGGAATATATTCACTAAGTTCTCTTTTAACATTATCTTTATAAAGTTGATAAATAAGTACTATTGCTATTGGTAATTCTTGCAATATTTTTAATGATGAAATGCTTCGTGGAACTACATTATACTGAAACATACAATAAAATTATAATGGTAAATTAAAAAAAAGCAAATAATTAATTTTTCAATTATTTCAAATTCAAATAAATAATGACTAAATAAAAGATATCAAAGCGATTATGAAACAATGCATTCATTTTTCTTACATTTTAATAAGAATATTAAAGAATTTAAATTAAATATTAAATTTACCGTTTCAACATTATTTTCAGAAGTTTCGCAGTTGATGACAATAGTTGAATATGTATTATCTAAAATTTCACTTATGTCAACAGTTGACAAGTCATTTATTCGTAGTTTTTGTTGAGTCCTCATACTAAATATTTTGTCCATATTGTCAGGTATATCCCAATAAATTTTCTTAGTATGTTGCAGAAATTTACTAATCTATTGATATTATACACAATAACATTTTTTTATATATTATGATAAATAATATTTATAACTTACTTCAGCATTATAGGGAGGTCTAAAATTTTTTTGTAACTCAACAATAATACGTATGCATGAAATTCCATTTTGTTCATTGTCAGTTTCAATTAGTTTCATACATAGTGTTACAAGCCGGTCAACATAAGGTTTTAGAAATTCATTACAGGGTAGTCTATATATCATTTCTAGTACCAATTTCCGTACTTGCTATAATATAATTTATACCAAATTCGTCAAAATAATTATAATAGTAAAATGTTTTATTTTTATTTTTATAATTGGTTTAGATTTCCAGCAAAATTAAATTTTTATATTTAATGTAAGGCGAATTAAATTAAGTTTTGAATGTAATTTACTACGGTGATTTGAATATTGTACATAAAAATATTTTAAAATATAGTATATTAGATATTACATTTTAAAAATTTTAAAAAAGATGTGTTTTTACTCTTAATACAATTATAAAATAAAATAACATTTATTAAGTTAAACCTGTAAAAATATAAGTTCCTATAAATTCTTGCAAGACACAGTTATAATTTTTTTCTCTTTTAGGTAAAATAGTATTTTTTAAAATATAAATTATAATATAAATAGTGATTTAAGATAATTTAAATTAAAGTTAAATGTATATTTATGATTAAAAATCATACTTTTTTCAAACTTTTTTTTACAAACCAACTCTTATATATAATTCAGATTTTTATAATAAACAGAAAACTATTTGTATTATAATATTATTATTACAATGTAAAAATAGTTTTTCAAGTTTTATTCAAATGTTCTAAATTTATAATGAATAATATTTGTCAATATTTCTCATAGATTAAAGTTTTATTAGCAACAATACTCAATGCTACAAACATTTCTCAAGAAAAATATATATTTGTCTCTTTTAACACCATCTTAAATGGTAATGCATATTGTTAAACTGCAAACTAAGAAGTTATAAAATAATTTTAAAAATTATACAGATTTCATATTTCACTGTTCCACTAAAAATTAAGTTTGTTCTTTGATTTTATTTATAAATAAATATTCAATGAATATTATCATAGTCTTTGTCTTTTAGACTTCTGTAGCTAAAAAGACAAATAACAAACTTTCTAAAAGTTTATTTGTAGCACATACATTTTTGGATAAATAATAAATTAAAATATGATAAAAGATACCAAATAATTTTACTTTTCTCTTTGAGAAATTTCCATGGAAATAGTATTTGCAAACAAATATTAATATCTCTACAAATTAAAATAACAATTAATAGTTATAAAATATTAGTTTTAAACTTACAAAAATATGATACTCAGCTATGAAATATGGCTCACCATCTACTAAAATTCGAATAAAATGTTTGATCATATGTTCTAAAAACATTGGATATTGAGGTGAATTCACAATCATCTAAAAATCACAAAGAATGAACAAAGATAAATTTATATTACGAAAAACTAATAACATATAATTGATTTTTTTTATAACACAAAATTTGATTAAATTAGTATAATATCTTCTAGTACAATTTAATAGATGGTTCTAAAATAAATTGTATTTTATTGTTTCCTTTAATCGTAAAATAAATTATTAAATAAAAATAAGAAAGTAAGGTTAAACTATATATATTACTATGAAAATAATTACTATATTTATGTAATTTTATAGTTTTAAACTTATTATACTAAATTTATTTTCGTTTAGATAAAAAAATTGAAATATTACTAAGTACTAATCATTTTTACAGTATATTCGGACAAAATATTAGTATTTTCTATAATTTCTTAAATAACTTATAATATTGAATTTATTACACATATTATGTATTATGTTGTAAAACAGTTTTGTATAATAAAATATACTGTTTTATAATCATAATTAACAGTTTTAAATACCTTAATACACAAAGTTGAAATACTTTTCGGAAAAAGGAATACCTCCTTTAGTTATGGTAATATTTCATTGAAAATTAACATTATCACAAGTACAATTTTAAATAGCCTAAAAGCAATATTTTAATCATACATAAAGATAGTTTTACCTCAAAGTTTTCATTTAAAGTTTGAACAATTTTCAATTTGAGTTCATCTTCAACATTAGAATCAGTTAACATTGTAATATCTGAGCGATACTTGTCCATAAAAGTTACATGATCTAACATTATTTCACTTTTTATAACTGCCATTATATTTATTTTTAATTTATTAAGTTCACAATTTTTAGAAAGAGAGTTATGAAATCAACTTCATAATATCATAATAATAGTTCCAACTTAATTAACTTATTTGTAACTTAAGTTACAACCTAATTAATTTAATAAACATATTAATTAAATAAAAAAAGTACATATTAGGGATAGTTCAAAAAACAATTGTTTCATTTTCCTCATGTTAATAATGATTCTTATATGATATGAACGTATACATTTATTCACATTTTTAAGAATCTATTTTCAAACAAATTTATTATCAATTTCTAAATAGCGGAAAAATTTAAACATTAACCTCAAATTGTAATTTATCTCAAAGAAGATATAAGAGTTATCAAAGCCACCACAGTCATGTGATGTTACCACATAATAGATATAAACTGTTCTGTGACATTACCAATAGTTCTATTATTTTATAACCATGATTAAAGAATAGTCATTGTTGATTCATCTTAATTGTATAAAAAATAGGCATCTGTCTCGATCATAGACCTATTAAATAATATTAACTTATTATATATAATACTAACTTAATTAGTTAATAGTTAGGATTGCCATAAATTTATAAGGCAAAACCGGGACAATACAAACACATTATTGAGTAATATACTTTTTATATAACTTTGAATATATCGAGAGGACCAGTGGCATATACAAGGGGAAGGACAGTCAGATTCCCCCTAGGCCTTTTTTCAAATGTTATAAAATAATGTTCTTAGTATGAGGGCGTTAGAAACGTAAAAAAAATAACGATTTTTTTGCAAATGATCCTTCTACATACAAAAGTTATGTATATGCCACTGAAGAGGACCATTGTCATGTCCCACGTACTTAGATAACAATAATACCACAATCACCTTGCATTATATATGGGTATGCAAGAGTATATAATGATACATATAATAAATAAACTCTTATATATTAAACCATATCTATCAAATGTCATCTTCTTCTTCTGGCTTTTATAACTCTCCAAGAGTTTCCGCCGCCATCACCAAATCACTCCACTTATCACGATCTTGCACAATCTCCCTCCAATCCTGCACTCCAAGATCTTCCAAATCCTTTTCTACAACATCCAACCATCTCTTCCGAGGACGACCCCGTGGCCTTTTTCCTTCTGGTTTCCAATTCAGTACCATTTTGGTTACTGCATCAGAATTCCGCCTCATGACATGTCCTAGCCATTGTATCCTTTGTCTCTTTATGAAACCATTTATTGATACTATTTTTAATTCCTCCTTCAATTATTGGTTGAACTTCCTACGCCACTGACCTGTCCTTGGGTCTTTAACCGGGCCACATATCTTTCGCCATATTTTGTTTTCAAAAGTCTTTAGTCGTCGTTCTGTAATACTTGTAGTAGTCCATACTTCACAACCATATGTTAGTATCTGTCTTATGATTGATGTATATAGTCTTATTTTTGTTCGTTTTGAAAATAATTTAGACTTAAAAAACTTCAGCAAGGCGAAAAAACGCTCTCTCTGCTTTTGTTATTCTCGACCCGATCTCATAGGACCAATCATTTTTAGTATTAAGTAATGTACCTAGATACTGAAATTGTTCGACTTTTTCATATGGTAACGTCTCTAAAACATCAAGCAATGTTTCCATGTTTATCAAATGTCATACACCACGCAAAGTTAAGCAAGGAAATAAATGATTATTGATTATTAACTACATCCACATTTCACACGGATGTGATCTAACGAGGAAACATTATTCAAGTAATCACATCTGTGAGTTACATTAAACTACACACATAATCACATTATACACACACACTCAGAATCAATAAGGAAATATCATATTTTTATTATTTTCATACACACACACACACTTGCATATATCAGGTATAAAAGGGACCCGAAAACAAGGGCAAATCAAACGAGTTCTGGCTATACGACACTAAACATCTTCACGCTAGTGTATGTCACGGTTTGGACTTAGAAATATAAAAAAGCGTTGACTAGATTACTAGAAACTGAAATTAATAATCAAACGGTTGGCATGCAACACCATTAATGACCGGCTATATAATATTTAAAAATATTTTTATAAAAGGAAATAAATTATATATTTATATGTGTAAATTACAAATTATATTTTTATTATATTTTATCAATCGATTACCATTAAAAATGTACTTTGAGATAAAATGGTCGAAATTAAAAATTAAACAGTACAACATTTTCTCTAAACGACTAACCCGGGACATATGGACTTCCCGAAAACATTTTTTAGGACACCGGAACACGAAGTCCAAAACCAGTGACAATCATGGTTTTCCGGGACGTATGGCAACCCTATTAATAGGTTTATGATCTTGATAATTTCTGTACCTTCCAAACAATTTACTTATGACTTGTGAACTTATTCTTTCTTTTGGGGATGGTAGACCCGGAAATCCCCCCCTGTATATATTTATATTTACACAAATTAATTAATTTACTTATATTTAACCATATATAATACTAACTTATACTTGGTTTAAGCTTAAGTATTTGATATAAAAGGTCTAAAAAAAAAAAAGTTAATTTAAATATAAATTCCCTACATAAACATATAGATCATTATATGTCTATAGTGAGCTATGAACTATTGTTCCGATGCACTTGTTTCACACTATACTTCTTCTAAATGTGGAACAAACATAATATTGAACAAAAGACCATCGGAACAAAATGTAATGATCCTATTTATGGTTCTCTGAATTGATAAAAGTTTTTTATCACATATTTAAAAATGTATAATGTAATCTGTAGTATTGTATTGATTTGAATTTGATGGGTTGATAGTGCTAATACTCGGCGATTATGTGTTCGTCATATTGCAGCTACTTAAAATTATGATTTTCAGTTACTGTTCCAGTTCCCATTTATAATATTTTACTTTAAGCTAATTAATTGCAAACTGACAATTTAACTGTAAACAAATTACAACTTATTTTGAAGGGTATACATTTTTCAACTCAACAAGTTTTAAATTTAAGATGTCTTCCATAACAAATAGAATGTGGAGAAATACTGTATGTATGTGGGAGTTGAGCAAAATAAAAACTGTTCCTACATTCAGTCGACTATGTACAACTGCATCTATTTCTGAACAGCAAGAAGATAAATTATTAACCAAGGAAAAAGCTCGTACTTTAGTAATGAATTTGACAAACGAAGAAAGAGAAAATTTGGCGTGGTGTTTAAATCATTTAGAATCTGAAGAAATCAAAGCAGAATATCGAGGTTCAGTACTCATGTAGGCTTTGAAAATGTTTTTAATCTTTCTTTTTTATTCAACACTTATTCTTATTTAATTTCTATGTATATAGATTGAAGCTGAAAATAGACAATACAATCTTTTGTCTTGTAAACTTGATAAATTATATCCTGTTAAAATGTATTGTGAATCAAAGTAATTATTACCTACCATTTAGGTCAATTAGCTGGATTTCGATGGCGTTCAAAATTTGGGCGTCCTAGCAAAGTACCTGGACTTGGAGATGTAGACCCAACAGGTTCTTACTGTCCGTTACCTGAAGAATGGATATTAAAAAAATACGGTACGCATTACCTACTTACATGAAATATATATTTAATATTAATTATTTGTTCTTATTTTAATAATAAATTTAAATAATTTACTTTTCTTATATATTTTAAATATTATTTTGTGCTTACTATGGATAGAAGAAACTAATAATGGTAACATTTTTAAGATTATTTTTGCATTACCTATTATTAAAACTATTTCTTTCATAAATTGAAGTATTTATGTATGTTATTTTTTTAATTAGCGGAAACTGTACCAGAACCAACTAGAGCACAATTATTCAGAGGTATGCAATATATATTTATTGTAAAATAAATAGTATTTTTTATTCTTAATTATTTTTGACAGTTGGATTACAAAACGCTATTCCTTTCATCATGTTTGGATTTTTGGACAATTCTGTGATGTTGATATGTGTATGAATATTAGTCTATACATCTTTGTCGGCAGCTTTAACTATATAGTTTATAAATTTAGGGTGAATCAATTGAAAGGACAGTCGGTGCTGTAATTACAATATCAACAATGGCTGCAGCTGCAATAGGCAATACGTTTTCTGATATTCTGGGAATTGGTTCTTCTTATTATGTGGAACAACTGGTGATAAGACTTGGTTTAAAGCCTCCCAATCTTACTCCTATTCAGTTGGATATGACTTGCAGTAGACGAGCTGCTAATTTAGTAAGATTAAAAATTTAACATAATATAGGTATTAATTGAACAAATTATGAATAGATAATAAGTTTTTCCTTTTAATACTAGTAATAACTAAAGTAAGTTCAATAATTAATAATTATACCTCTCTAGTTTATTTTTAAAATTTTAAATAATAGTTACTACATAGTTATGAAAGTTTTAATTGATATTTATGGATAAATTATAATATTTTCTTTGCGTATTGAAATAGATATATTTTACTGTTTTTTGTTTTCAAAATCAAATAGACAAACCACACAAATAATTTTTTATTTATAATTAAATATTTACATATACTTATACAGATTAAAAAAATTATTTTTCCTTCTATTATTCAATTAAATTTATTGGACCAAATCAAAAATATTTATTTAAAAATATTCATGCTTTGGTTAGATTTATATGTATAGTTTTCATAAAATGTATAAATACATGGTACACAACATTAAGTAAACTAAGTTCCTTGAGAATTTTTATTATTTGATAGGCAAATATTTAACTGCCCCTATGTCAATAATAATTCTTAATAACATTTTGTGATCCATCTTGTACTATTTGAACAATTCAGTTTTCATGAAATTTCTTTGTCGACTTCATTCATAAATTTTCTTTATTTCATTCTTAAAATATAATTGCACTTATTTTATACTTGTAGAAACCTATAATTACAACTAATAAAGTTAAAGTACAATAAACAACAATTACTGAAAAAATGTAGTAACAATTTTATAAATATAACATTTTCAGATTAATTTTTGACAAGTATATACTACTAGCATATACATTAATAGACAAAGCTAAAACTGTGGGTCTAACAGTAAATGAAGAAAAAACCAAGATTATGGAATAATTGGGAAACGACCATGAAATATTTGCAGTGGAAGGACTGGTTTTTGAAAAAGTAGACCACTTTAAATACCTTGGAGCTATCATCAAGAGTAACAATGACTGGAGCGTAGAGATAGTATACTGCATACACAAAGCGGAAAAGGCTTATTATGTATTATTAAAGTTTTTCAAATTTAAATTATTTTCAAGAAGGATGAAATTGAGACTTTATATGGCTGTTGTTAGACCAACGCTGACGTATAGCTGCGAGATGTAGATGATAACAGTGACAATGGAGATAAGGTTACTCACTTTCGAGAATAAGGTATTGAGAAAGATTTGTGATGTGTTATATGATGACGAATTGGGTTGCTAGTAAAGAAGGACAAACGCCAAAATCCGAGAAATTACATAAAGCACAAAAATAACCAATTATATAAAGGCACATTGATTGCAATGGTTCGGACATGCTATGCGAAGGGATGAAGCAAAGGCTGTGAGGGCAACTATAGAATACCAACTTAGTGGGAAAAGACTGAGGAGTAGACCAAGGAAGCGATGGTTTGACGGGGTAAGCCAGGATCTAAGATCACTAGACGTAGAAGACTGGGAAAAAATTATAAAGGATAGGGAAAGATGGAAGGCTTTAAATGTGGCGGCGAAGACTCTTGAAGAGTTATAAAGCCAAGAAGAAGATATACTACTAGCAGCTAGTTTCAATAACATTTGTGTTAAAGGATTTTTATTATATTTCTATGTCAATGTATCTTAGTTAATTCATTAGTAATGAGTATTAACTTAAAAAATGTTATTACTAGGGTTCGGAAGTTGATACATTTTGTATTTTTATTTTAAATTTTTTAGAAAATGCTATCCTGGCCACAAATGTATTTCATTAGCATGTGAATTCAAATAACTAATTTTTATTTTGCATTTTTTGGTATTTGTTACTTTTTAAGTCATTTTTTGATATTTTTAGATAATTTTTCCACATTTTTAGTCATTTTTACTTTTTTCACACTAGTTTATTTCTTATTGTTTCTTATCGACCATTATGCCGATAACTAAAGACTTATCCGATTTTATCTTGATTACAATCGTCGTTGTCGTATTATAGTAAATAGTATTATACCTAAATTTTATTATTTTTTCCTAATATTCAATTATATTGAAATTATATACGATAATATCCGATTTTATCTCATCGATTAGGTCCGGCGCACATTGAGACGCAGGCGACGCAGGGCAGCGCAGCGTAGTTTTCTGTAATCTATTAGAACGTACTAGCGCATATTGGGAGGTAGAGCAGGACAGAGCAGTGCTGTGCCTGTGTCGACCTGCGTCACGCAGTGTCCGCGACACAGATTACTGCACACGTGCCGTGCAGTTTTGGAAATTACGATATTACATAATTTTAAACTTAACTAAACTAAACTTGTTAATTAAGTCAAGCTTTTTTAATAATTACAATGGAAGAAACTCTAATAGAAGCCGTCAGATATTACAATGTATTATATGACACTAGTCATGCCGATTATGTGAAGGGCAAGTTGAAAAATTGTTTGTCAGAAAATTCCGATGACAAATTAAATTCACCGTGACTGTCTTTTCTTCATAAAATTACATTTCCACGTTTTTTTTCTTTGCTTAACGAATACAACAAAATTAATTCATCAAATTCGTCATCGGAATTTGATTCAGAACTTAAATTTATTAAATTTTCGGCCATCATACTATCGCTCATGCTGGTAACTGGACAACAACTGTTAGTGAAACGTCAGAACTGCGTGGTAATAAGCGCTCACTTATGTAGCGCAGTTTTTCCTGCGCTGCGATGCGTCGCCTGTGTCTCAATGTGCGCCGGGCCTTACAGTCATCGCATCATTGTCATGTTCTAGTGAATAATACCTATTATATCTAAACTTAATTATTTTTTCGTAATATTTTCGAAATTGCGAAAATTAAAACGTCAATTGGTGTTCGTCTGCGTTTCCCAATCACTTAAGTGGACGCGGAGAGAAGTTTTTCCAAATATAAATATTTATAAATAGATAATCGTCATTGATTTACTTTTGATAACATCAAATACGCTCAATTGTACAATACAATGATTTTGATTTTTGAGTAATTTGTAAGCTTTGATAAATCTATAAAACAAATGTTTGTCATTTTTTTTATTTCATATTTTAAGGACATTGGTTGTCATTTTTATGTCATATTTTGAGTAATTTGTTTTGATAAATTTATATAGAATGTTATAGTAAAATAAAATATTTAAAAAAATGTACTTTTATTAATTTAAAACAAATATTTGTATTTAGGTCATTTTTTAAGTACATTTTCTAATTGTTAATGAAACAAGACGAATAGTTGATAATACTTATATAATAATTTTTAAATCCTATAATTTATTACTTGTTTGTAAAAAAAATTCTTCCACATTAAAACCACTTTTAAATTACTCATTCAACATACAAGAATATATTGTCTAAAATTTAAATATGGTTGTAGAATGGTAAACACGGTAGAGCGCATACGACAAGATAGCCTTATTTATTTAAAATCAAAAACATATTCTTTTTCATTAAGTTAAAATATGTATATGTATGTTTAAATGTATAAATACCCTTTAGTTATATTTATTTAATTATCACTCAATTAACTAATTGATTTTATATTAATCATATTTAATTTTAGGGGAGAACGCTTGGAGTAACACTAGGTTGCTTCCTGGGAATGTTTCCATTGCTATTCAAAAAAGACGTCGACGAAGAATCTGAAGACGAAGATAATAAATAAAAAGTTAATTTAATTAAAAAAAAATATTAATACGCACACTTTAATAGTAATTTTGACTGATTTCTTAAAATGATTGCACTATTGTAGTAAAATATTACTTAGTATTAAAAGAGCATATTTCATAGGAACACTAAAGCAATTATCTCTACTTTAAAATGTATTTGGATTGTCCTACTATCTCTAAATTGTTGAGTATGTTTAAAATAAAATATTTTCGACAATAATATAAAAGCAATCATATTCAATGTTCCTTTTAGACAAGTCTTTTGGGTATTCTTGCCTAGTATAAAAATTATATTTTAGGAATTTTCTATCATCGGAATGCATTATATATTATATTCTGAACAAAGTAAAGAATGTTTTTATTTAATAACTTATTTGTATCTTAGTATTGTAATAATTTAGGTGCTATAATTTCTATGCTTAATTAGTTAATTCTATTTAAGGTTAACCATTTATTTTTATCATAATTATTATTTATTTTTTATTTAATAACTAACCAGAATATTATTTATTTATTACTATTATGTTATTTTATTTCATAATTAAAATTGTATAAGTGTATGTCTGTATTATTCAAATTATATTAAATTGTAGTTTTCAAATAAGAATAAAATTAATAATTAAAATAAACATTACATTTTACAATAAAAAAATATTAGATCATAACAATGTATTACTTAACTGAAAGTTGAGATGTTTGAACAAAATTAACCAAAAAATTTATACAGGATGAATGATAATAGTTCAACATGTATTCAATAGAATCTGTACTACAATCACACTTGCATAAGTAACATGGTATGATTTCCTTGGTTAAGTTCAAAACCTAGATGTTTTTTAAATAGTTGTAAACATTTTATTTTGTATTTATAAAGCATTTAATTTACCTCTGAAATGTTAATAGATTCATCAATAAAATAATTGAAATATGTTTCCAATTTTGACAAAATATTAGTAAAATTATCTTCTAATGATGGACAATTACAGTTTTGAAGTATTCTTTTGCAGACTTGGCTGATCAAATTTAATTCTAAAAAATGTTATACAATAATTTAATTCTTAAGTAAATAATAAATATATACCATATACATACGTTTTAAGTATTTAACTCCTTTATCATGATTTATAATTTCCATCAGTATTTTTTCATTTTGTATACATGAAAATGTAGAAAACCCTTGTTGCAGGAATTCCAAACATTTATTTATGCATTGTATCTATAAATACAGAATATAAATGAATAAAAATGAAGATTTATGATGTGACAAATAATATTAAAATCTGTAAAATACAAATTTTTTAATATCATCCAAACATATGTTTTATACTTTAGTATTCCATAGTTTAAGTATTAATATGTCATAATAATACACACTTGTACATTTTTCCAATCTACTTCAATTTCTGACTTATTATTTGAAACTTCTTCAACACATAAGAAATCACCAAATTCGTCATCATACATTTCATAATTCTGAACATTATTCTCAATTTTTTTAATTGGTTTTACTTTCATATCATCATAATTTTCATGTAATATATGTTTATCGTCATCATCATTTTCTGCTGCCAAAGTCCGAAATACTTCATACTTATCATGAATATTATCATTGTAATTAATCAAATGTTGTTGGTTTCCTAAAGTATTTGATACAATGTTTGTTGATGGTACATTTAACAATTCAGAATCTTGTTCAATACTCTTAGAGCTTTCTTTAAAAGATAATGTGCCAAAAGCTGATTGAAAATCAGTAAAATCATGATTATTCTTACTATCAATGTTTGTAAATTGAGCACACTGGAAATCTGAAAACTCATCATCAATTGTTTCAAAACTGTCATCAACTAGTGCTAAATCTAAAGATTTTGGTTCTTGGTTAGCAGTTAATGGTGGTATGATTTTAGACATTTGGCTTTTTGGTTTTATAAATGTTACTGCCAAAGGGTCATAATCTTCAGTGGGAAAAACTTTAATATTTGATTCTTGAAAGCATTTAGTATATACATGTTGTTCATTACTTATTTTTTGTACCTTATTTAATTTATTGTTTACTTGTGGTTTGTGTTCAACAATAGGTTTTACAGTTGTTGAATAATGTTTTTTCTCTACTAAGGTATAATTTAATTGTGGAATTATTGGTTTATGAATATGTTGCAACAATGATATATTAGATACTGAATATCCATTCTGAAATATAAAATAAGAATAAATCTTTCAAAAAAGTTATTAATGTATATATAAAATTACCTGAACCAGTGTGATCAAAGCCAAAATTACATAAAGTTCTTGTTGTGATAATGATCCTTCAATACCAATGTTGGCCATTGACCATAATCTACCAAGAATATCAACAGGTAGACCACTAGTCATCAATAATTGCGAAACTAAATTAGTATCACATGTTCTATCTCGTTTATCAGATTTTACATACTGCCATATCTGCTCATATAATGGGTGTACAAAACCAGACTTTGGTATCATCCATTTTGGCAAATTCTTAAATAAATATATTACAATAAGACAAATTAATACAATTACTAGAATTAAGATTTTAGTTTAGGAAACATTATAAAAATATTTTAATTGAATTAATTTGTATTTATATATAAAATATAAATGTAATAAAATTACACAAAAAATAATTCAGCGGTTTTCAACTCATGGATCGTGGTTATCGCGTAACTGAACCATTTACCGTCATGACTAATGTCTACATTTCTTGTTAAAATAATACTACATATTTTTATTATATAATAATATTTCTAGTTATAGTAATATTAATAAAACTATACAACACAAACGCCAAAATTGCACTAAGAAACTCGATGGGATTTACGACAACCTATATATATATATATATATATATATATATATACAAGCAAACTTTTTCTACTTTAATTTTTATAAAAAAATAAATAAGAAACAAATAATTACTATTACACCTAGACCACCTAAGAATTATGAGAGATTTTACCAATAGGCGACTTCCTCAATTCCTCAATTCATGTTATAAACCAAAATACCTTATACATGTCCATTCCATTGGCTTATAGTAAAAATTAATGTGTATAAATTATCTTTAAAACTAATAAAAAAATTAAAAAATGTAGGAATAAACTAAATGTTAAGAGTGATTTAAAGCTGTGCAGTTTTGATCCAGACATTGACTCTATTATAGAGGGACAAGTAATATCAAAAATATCATTAAATTGTTTAACTTTAAATGAATTAGGTTTAATATTTTTTTTCTTGATATATGATTGTTTTATAATAATTGTTGTAGTAATAACTGACATAATATTTTCACATTATATACCAAGTATTCACCAATTTAGGGAACATTGAATTTCTCCACCGAATTATTTTGGAATAAATCAATTTTTTTTGTGCAAGCTAGGTTTATATAAATACAAATTTTCAGATAAATTTCAAATTTTTAATCTTCTCGGTATGCGCAATGCAACTTATTTTTTTTAAATAGCAACCGGTATTTTTGATACCAAATTCGGATAGACTGAATTTTTTTAAGTCAGTTTGACCAATTAACCATGGCTCTAATATCAAAATTGACTGAAGGAGAGCCATTTAAATTTTAATAAATAATACATTTTTAGAATTCATTATAAAATGCATAAAACCATGTAATCAATTTTAATTAAATAATTGTATATTGATATTATGTTAATCTTGTTTATAAAACGTATAAAAAAAATACATACAAATATTCAAAAAGTAACCAATAATGAATAATTATAAATGGTTCTATGCATTTTATAACGAATTGTAAAAATGTGTTATTTATTAAAAGTTAAATGGCTATCATTCAGTCAATTTTAGTTTTAGAATTATGGTTAATTGGTCAAAATGACTTAAAAAAATTCAGTCTATCCGAATTTAGTATCAAAATACCGGTTGCTATTCAAAAAAAATAAGTTGCATTGCGCAAACGCGTACTGAGAGAGTTAAAAATTTGAAATTTATCTGAAAATATGTATTTATATACCACTAGCTTTTAAAAAAAATTTGATTTATTCCAACATAATCCGGCCGAGAAATTCGGTGTTCCCTAAATTGGTGAACACATGGTATACATAGCTATAAGTGGGTCTCCAAGTTTTTTTTTTTTTTACGAAATTGGTAGTTAACACCACAATAGAAGTTGAAAACCGCTGGAATAATCCATACAGATTATGTAATTTAATGTAATGATCCTAAATTTAATTCAGTATACATAGATAAACAATACAATTATTAGTACTATTAGTAGGTGCATCAATAATATTAATACAATTATTATATAGTAGCTAATTGTTCACAATTAAATATAAAAAAAAAAATTCCAATACACTAGTTCAGCGATTCCCAAACTTTTACTACACTACCACAGAACCATTGGAAAATAGTTTGTGTTTCGTAGAACCCTAATGTCTCAAATTTCAACTTATGCCCAAATTTTCAATTATTTATAGAAAAATCAATTATCCAAAAAAATGATTCAAAGATGGTTTATTAATATTGTTTATTAAAATTTTTACTCTGAATATTCATATATTTTTTGCGGAACCCTTGAGATTGTCCCATGTAACTGCAAGGTTCCACAGAACACATTTTGGGAATCGCTGCTCTAGTTGATTTTTTAACTCCAATTATTATTACCGAATATAATTGATGATCTTTGTTAATAACAAATGTATCTTGTTGAGATATTATATTTTTAATCATAGAATCTGCATCAATTCTCTAAAAATTATAATAATTACATTATTGTTAATTTTTTTTTTATTAAAGAAAATAACATTAATAAAAAGTCATTATATAATTAATTTTGTGTTTATCTAATTAATGATAATATATAATCCTGCATTTTCTAAAATAAACCAATACACAAAACATTAAGTTACTTGTAATAAAATAAAAATATTGTATAACTAATAAATTTAAATAAAATTTAAAAAAAAAACACTTACTTTATCATTAGTTATGGTTTTACTTGAAGAAGTAAAGTTTTTTTCAAATGTATCCATTCAGTACTTATCAATTTGTAAACACACTACATTTGACAAATTTCTTAATAATGTTAATAATTATGTTATGTTCAATAATTACAAATTTAGTTTTTCATAATTTCACAGTTTTGAATTAAATACATTTTTTTAAATTGTATTTACCTGTTTACCAACTAATTTGTTTGGATCAATATTCTGTAGTGAAAGCTACATGGCCGTGATAAACTAAATAAACCTGTGAAACTCAATAAATTCAACACCTATGTGATAATAATTGATAACAAAAATGTTTTAGATAATATAACAAACACAACGGCTGCATATGAACTGAGTACCAATATAACCTTTTTATGACTAATTGAGTCCATGTTTTAATACTAAGGCCCTCCGCACACGGTAAAACTGTTTTACAACGAGTATCTCAAATCAGTTGCGTGAGCGATTGTTGTGCAATTAGTTTGCAATTAATTTATGTATTTACTCCGCACACGAGTTCGATCGAATTTCGACCAGTGTACGCAGTTGTATGCGAATTGATGTTCGGAAAAAACGTGCGTTTTTTTAAAGTTTTTCGAAGTTTTTTTATAGTTAAACATTAAACTTTTGCAATATGTCGAGTAGTTCTGATGAAGATGATATAATTGACTACTATCAATACCGTAGAAAACGAAAATTAGTACGAAGGGAATATTGGACCCATCCATATATAGAGAAAAATATGAAATGGTATTATATAATAATTATAATAATAAAATAATAATTTTATTACGTTTTAAGTAATAAATTAATCATTAATTACCATGCAACCACGCAACTGAAACCGAAATTCGACCTGCAAGCACAGTTGCACGCGACCAGTTGGAAATTGATTACAAACCGATTTGGTTTTGGTCGACAAGTGTGCGGTTTCTTATTACGCTAGATAAGCAAAATCGCCAAACGGTTGCTCGCGCAACTGATTTGAGATTCTCGTTGCAAAACAGTTTTACCGTGTGCGGAGGGCCTAAGTTCAGTTTATTTAAAAAAAAAAAAAATTTTCCTTCCTTTTTTACGGACTTAGGACTGAGTGACAACAAATTCTACAGGTATAGTTAAAAATGTTTTTTTCTTTTAATATTTTATATTCTCATCATGTAAGGCAGACGTGCCCAACCTCTTTTAACTTTCGGGCCACATTCAAAATTTATATCTATACTGTGGGCCGTATATACTTCACGGTTTTTTTTTTTTTTTTGTTCATTTCGATCAAATGTACAGTAGATATATTAGGATATTAGGTATATTTATTGTATATTTTATCTGATATATTATTATCTTTGTTCACTTATCGAATTTATGACTCTAATTGTATGTGTTTAAAGCACTGAATATTTCCACGCTAGTTGCTAGTTCGTTTTCGTCATTAGAAACTGAAAGTTCTCTTTTTTGTTTGCAAAAAATAATAAATTAAATTTTAATTATTAAAATGTCTTAAAATAAAAAGCGCAAAATTGATTCCAAATGCTGTGTTTTCAATAATAATTGGAGTCTCAGTTATTTTTTTTATTGAGCTTCGTAATATAGCTATGTGTTTGATATACTATGATACTGTCGCGGTCTTTAAAGAATTTAATATTAAAAAACATTATGAAAGTAAACATCAAAGCAAATACGTCAATTGTAAAGAAACACATTTATCATAATTTTTATATTTATTTGAAGAAGGTATTTAGATATTTCACCAAATAACGTAGAAATAAATGCTTAAATTTATATTTTTAGGGAATCTTAGAATTTCTCTATTAGAAAAATTGAAACAAAATTTCAAAAGTGAACGAGTCGGAAATGTATTTGAAAAACATAACAGAAGTAAGGAGGAGATCATTCGAACAAGTTATGAAGTAGCTAACCTGATATCTCGCAAAAATAAAAGTTTTAGTGATGGTGAATTCGTTAAAAAATGTATCTTAGCAAGTGCAAAAGAAATTATTCCAGAAAAAATGTCTGTATTCAAGAATATAAGTTTGTCTCGAAACACTATTACTAGACGGGTAGAAGACATTGGAGGTGATTTAATGACGCAGTTACAAATAAAATCGAAAACGTTTAAATTTTTTTCCTTAGCTTTGGCCGATTTTTCTTGGGTAATGTAATAAAAGTTGATATCAACTATTCTTCCGGAATATTTCTTGATGCATAAATTGTATTGAATAAATCAACTAACATATCTATGCCATCATCATCAAGCAATTTTAATAATTCGGAAGGTACTTTATCGAGGCCTGCTGCTTTCCTTGGTTTAGCATTCTTTAATATATTTGTTACTTCTTCTTTCATTATATAAAATCCTTCATCCATTTTGATACTACTTTGTTCTGGCCTATTTTGAGAGAATAGTTCTTATACATATTCCATCCATCTTCTAATCTTTCTTTATGTATCTATTATTATACTACCATCATTTTCCCTTATAATGCCAACTTTATTTTTTCTAGTAATACCAGTCATTTCTTTTATTTTCTTGTGTAAGTTAAAGCGATCATTGATTTTAGCGAGCATTTCAATTTCTTGACATTTTTCAACATTGAATTTTTCCTTGGCTTTCCTTATTTCTCTTCTAATTACTATATTAACTTCTTTATATTTTTATTCATTTATATTTTTAAATTTACGCCTTGGTTCCATAAGGTTCAAAATGTTTTCTGTCATCCATCCTTCTTTCTTATTCGCTCAGGCATTAATTCTTCTTTACATTCTTTCAATAAGGTTGATTGAATGTTTCTCCATTTGATGTTAACACTATTGGTATTTAAGTTTTCATATGTAACCTCTAATAGTTTGTTGCTTATATTATCCTTCAATTTTTGTCCTACTTCTTCCTTTTTTAGTTTTGATAGATCCAAGATTTTCTTACGTTGCTTACATTTTACTTTTTTCAACTTAATTTTAAGGAGCCTCGCCACCACGTCTTTTTTTAACAAAATCTACTGTTCCTAATTCTAACGCTACGTGTCGACAATTATCACGATTTTCATTCTGAAAAAATAACGGATTCTCCATAAAATGTACAAGAGAACGATCGAGCCACATTTTTAATTTTTGTCATTTGAATTGCAATAAATATATTGTGTATTATACTTTCATATTACTAATTTGGACTTGTTACATCTTATATTGTCATTGCAGTGAGTGTTACGTCTATTGCAATTGTATCGTAGTAAAATCATTTTTATTTACCTATTTGATATATTGTGTAAAATATGAATATCTGCAATGTTTGGACAGTTAAAAAAGGTAAGATTATTAACTATGAAATAATTTATTGGATCTTTTTGTTACTTTTCTTTATTTTTAAACGTAAATACTTACTATATTTTGATTTAATAATTTTTGCAGAGACACAGAAGAAAATGAGTTATTGTTATATTCGATTCTTGTAAACAATATAGTGTTTTTCCTGTGAATTGGTTAGTCGAACCCGAAGCAAATGACAGAAAGATTTTGTAATTGGCCAAATGGTCGAGTTACAAGCATTGAGTTGAGGGAAGCTGAAGAACCAAATTTTGATTGGAAAATTTTTAAAATAAAGATTAGGTTATCAATGGTTCCAATTTCAAATCTCACTCGCCGAATTCAAGGATATATATTTTTTGCCTTTTTTTTTCGATAATATAATTAGTGTTACAATTGGTAGTTGAATGTATGTTTTAGAATGATGTTTAAAGAATGTTAATTGAAAGACAGCAATGCGGAACATTTACAGTTACATAGACGTTACTTTAACGCAAAATTAACAAAAAATGCAATGTTTCATGTTTCATCGAAACAGCCTGGTAACATTTCTAGGACAAATTATTGCACAGTGGGTATTGTTGAAAATTCAAAAAAAAAAAATACAGAATTTCAAACTTAAATATTTAATTAACTAAATACAATTTTTAAAATGTGCCTCGATCGATCCCTCGTATATGTTGTGGAAAAAAAAGAATGTTTTTTCAGAATACAAATCGAGATAATCGTTGCGGCGTATTGTTTAAATTAAAATCGTATGTTAGAGTGAAAAATAAACATTTTTTTCGCGATCACAATATTACGCTATGACATGTGCGTGCGAGTGCGTGCGAGAGCCCTTCGTACTGCTACCGTGCTGCGTCAAGTTAATGAAGCTATACAACAGGGGCGTATTTAGGGGGGGGTGTTATGGGTGTTAGAACACCCCCCCCCCCCATCGACCGTATTTTATGGTATTTCACCAAATTGCAAACTTACTTACGGTATAATTTAAATAAACGTAAGTATATGTGAAATCATTTTCATTAATATAATAATTTATATGAATACATGGTATTTATGAATGTAATACGTGGGGTGGAAGGTTACATACATAATAAAATGTAAAAATCCCTGATCGCTCGATCTAGCCGATATCATAACCCGTTATCGTATGTTGCTCAGCGGTGAACGGGTAAAATAATATTAAAACGTAACTTTAGTACATGGACTTCTATACTAGTGGTGGGTAGTTACTATTGTATTCGGTACAATGTAACGATTACATTGGTGGAACGAGTAGGAACGAGTACATATATCGTTCCACGTTCGTTCCATCGGTACATTCGGTACAAAGTTTCCAACTACAAAATGGTCCTCTACCGTCACTGTCCGGGTACCGAATACCGATTACCGACGGTGGTCGAATAGTAACGAGTTGTCACGATAATATATTATACGTCTATGTCGTCTCGGTTTACTATTTACTTTACTTGCTGCTGTTGTTGTGTAGTTGTGTTGATATTTGTTGATAATCGTAGGGAGAGGGTGGTGGTGGAGGTGGACAGTGAATGCTATAATTATAGATATAATGCAAAATCATACGAGTACGATTATAACTTTATCGTGTTTTTATTTTTATTAAGAAGTTTAAATAAAATTTGAAGTAAAATTATTTTTAGATTATTGTATACACGGTTGTAGAATTATTTTTATGTAAGCTGTATAATAATCATAGGCATTATGGAGTATTGCTGTGCAGTGGTAGGCACTATATATCAGACGTGCGTGTTTATTGTTTAGATTGTTTAGACCTATTAATTTTTATTCATATTTTCGTAAATATTATAATAATGGACAGAAAAAAAAGCGATGTATGGAATCATTATTCGGTTATTAATAGTGGAATGGCTAAATGTTCGTATTGTTCAAATTCGATGTCTTATAAAGGCGGATCAACTACAAACTTAAGTAAACACTTAAAACGAAAACACATAATTCAATATGAAAGTAGAAAACATCCGCGTATTAATGAAATGATTGAACAAAATGTTGATGAACCAAGTAAGCAAAATACACCCGAAACAAATAATGATCAAAACCAACCTTCTACATCAATCAATGCAATTAATGTCATAAATAAATCTCGTCCCATACAAAAAAGTGTAGATTTCTATTTTATTAACAATAAACCACTTTCTGTTTCAAAACAAAAAACAATTGATGAACAGCTAGGAGTTATGATTTCAAAAGAATTCCAATTTTTCAGTTTAGTTGAAAATGTTGAATTTAAAAAATTCATATATTTATTAAATCTTAGGTATCAGTTACCATCGAGGAAAACTGTTTCGAAATCTATTTTACCACAGTTGTATGAGAAAACAAGAGAAAAAGTTAGAAATAATTTATTAAATGCCAAATATATTTCATTTACAACTGATGGCTGGACTTCCATAAATAATGATAGTTTTATTGCTGTCACTGTACATTTTATCGATCCAGAAGAGTGTGTTTTAAAAACATTTTTACTTGGATGTTTTAACATGGTGGAATCCCACACAGCTGTAAATTTGTCATTATTTTTTAAATAATTGTTTTAAAGACTGGAATATAACAGAAAAAGTAAAAGTTGCTGTGAGTGACAATGCTGCGAATATAACATCAGCAATCGTCATGAATCAAAATTGGCGCCATATTCCCTGTTTAGCGCACACATTAAATCTAATTGCACAATCTGGACTAAGTGAAATGCAAAACGTTCACAAAAAAGTAAAAAACATCGTTGAATATTTTAAACGAAGTACAAAAGCAAATTTAAAACTTAAAAATGCACAAAAACAAATAGGATACCCGGAATTAAAGTTAATTCAAGACGTTTGTACGCGGTGAAACTCCACGTATGACATGTTTCAACGGTGTATCGATAATAAAGAACCTCTTATGAGTACAATTGCAATAATAGGTAATATGGATAATTTAGTACACGAAGACTTTGAACTAATAAAACACTACTGTGCGATATTTAAACCGTTTAAAGAAGTTACTATCGAACTAAGTAGTGAAAAAGGCATTTCGATTTCAAAAGTGTTAATTTTAATAAAAGCATTACATTTACATATAAAAAATAAAGAAAAAGAACCAAATTTACCAAATGCTATACATTTGATGCTTTCTAAAATAGTAATAAAAGCCAATGCTAAATTTGAAAATATCGAAAACCAGCCTGTTTTAACAGAAGCAACTATTTTAGACCCACGGTTTAAAAAAAAAGCATTTAATAATCAGTATTCATATCAAAAAACATACGAAAAGATAGTACAAAAAGTTGCAACAATTATTCGTTTAAATCAAAGTCCAGTAGAAAATGAAGAAAATAAGAAAACCATACCGACCGATCGTGGAAACGAAACTTTTGAAATTTGGCAACAGTTTGACTCTCAGGTACATACATTATACATTGATATGATGTATAATGTATACATCATTGATATTTTGATATTTAAGTGATTTATAAAATTAGTTTATGATTTTTAGGTGTCTACTTCAACTTCAGTCAACACACCAACATCTGAGGCTATTGTGGAGTTGGATAGATATTTGAATGAACCTATACTGGACCGAAAATTAGATCCTCTTAAATGGTGGAATGACAGAAAAAAAATCTATCCAAATTTATTTGATTTGATGTTATTGCGTTTGTGTGTACCATCAACATCAGTTCCAAGTGAAAGGGCCTTTTCAAAAGCTGGCTACACCATTTCCGAAAGACGTAATAGATTGTCAACAAAAAACACGGAAATGTTGATATTTTTAAACAGTAATTATCAAATACTATTATTTAATTTTTAATTTTTATCCATTTTAGGCTTAGGCAAGTAACTAAGTTAATTTTAGAAGTTTGAGTTTATTTATTTTATTGTTATTATTTTTTTTTCTAGGGTAAAGTGAAGTGATTTTTTTTTTTGTATTTTTATAATTATTTTTGCTGAAAATAAATATGTTTATTATTTATGTGGTTTGTTTTTTTTGAATCTATAGTTTATTTAATATAATTGTAGCGATTGGAAAAATATTAAAACGATGATAATTTTTGATTAAGCATTTCAAATGTATATTAATATATTGATTCATAATATTGTAAACAATGTTTACAAAAACATAGTGTTTCTGATACAAATTTAATTATTAAAAAGTTAATTTTTCCCTAATATAGTAAAATAGTGTTGTATAATAGGCCTACGAGCTACGAAGCATATTCGTTCATAAATATTAAATATCCATTTCAAGAATGAGTAAACATTTGAATATATGTATTTTTATCGTTCCGCGAGGAACTATACGAATGTGAGTACAAGTGTAACTAAAGAAAGAATGTACCGATTGTACCGATGTAACGAGTGTTTTGAAATCGGTACTTCATTGTAACTGTACCGATTGGAATGATTCCACGAAAGGAACGATAATTCCCACCACTATTCTATACTAACTTGATTAACTACTCACCGAATTTATCATCGATAATGTTGAAATCTGGCGGAAGTGCTCTTATCATACATCCACCACGTTTTTGGTCGACAAAAAAATAAATACTTACTGATTACTATTCTTACTATCTCTTCAATAAGTAAAATTTAAATAAATGAGAAGACATAAAAGTTAAATATAATTAAGAGAAAACAAACAAATACTGTATTTTTCACGAAATAAATATTTTTAACATAATAGTTTAAAATTAAAACATACAGTACCTATCACAAATTATAAAATACAACTAATTTGGTTAATTGATGTCGTTTATTAACAATATTTGAAGTTTTTGCTTTAGCAATATGATGTAATTGTATTTATAAATATTTTTACAGATTAATATTACTTATTACTAAACATAATCTAAGATTTTGTAAAAAGAAATTATTGGAACACGTCATATTTTGTAGAATATTGAAATTATAACAATCATTCTTGGCTGAGATTATTACTTTTACAGATAAACCAGATAGAAGTAAAATAGCAGGTCAGTTTGATTAACAAATTCCCAATGTATTTATGTAATTTAAAAACACTATTAGAACTCTTTAATAACCATCCTCTATTTTTTTACATTAATTATTATGGAATAAAAATATTTATGCCTATAGTTTAGTTCACTTTATGTAATAAAGAATATTATCTTTCAGTAGCGTAGCCAGGATTTTAAAATGGAGGGGTGGAAGGGGCCAAACTCAAAATACTAAAAAAAACATAATCAACAATTAACTATAAGTTTATAAATATAGTTATTTTTATATTAAATTTATCGTATTTAATATATTTTATTTCATTATAATTACATTTAAATTTATTAGTTTAATCATTTTGACTAATCTAATGTTTATCTAACAATAAAAGTCGTTGATGAGATTTTGAAAAAAAAAAAAATGTTTTCATTATTTATTTCTACCAAAAATCAAAACAAACAATTGGTTGTAATTAACGCAAGCTTCTATTTTTGTTCATATCAGTTTTCTTTTGAATTGAGGGCCCCAAATTACGAAGGCCTCGGTGCGTCGCACCTACTGCACCACTGCTACACCGCTATGTAACACGATTATTGATTAATAATTTAACGATAAAACAATAAGTGTTAGTATACAACTTACCAAGTCAATAATATTATCGATTTCATTTTTGACTTTTTCAACATAATCCTTGTGGCCTTTAATTAAAACTTTTCTAGAATTGGAATTATCTTGTGGAAATGTAACAGTAACTCCATTATGTTTTCCACATATCTGGTTTATTACTTCAGCGTGATGGGCAACAAAATGATGATATTTTGGAGGAACGTTCATAGTGACTTAAATTATGTTTTTCTATAAAATTTTAATGCATTACGATATTATAATTATTATTATTATTGTATTATAATTCTCGTATACCTATTATTTAAATAAATTAAAACGTAATAAATGTTCAATTATTTTTTATGTAATAAGTGTTAGTCATAGATTTTTTTATGACTAATAATTCCAATAACTATAAATAAAAATATATGTATAGTAAATACTAACCAAGTCTTTAACAATTTCTTCAATCTTATGTTTCGCCTCTTCAACATTAATTTTGTCACCTTTTATGATGACAGCACTATTACTAGAAGCTATTATCGGAAATGTTATTGACACTCCATTGCAATCATTAGTAATTCGATTGATAATTTCACCACGTCTTGCAATAATTATGATACTTTTGAACAATATTTACTACAGCTCGAATAATATTTTCCTAAATCAAAATAAAAATTGTTAATGGTTAACTTATTTAGTTGTATTTAGGTAAATCAGTGATTATTTTAATTGTTTATCTTAAGTTATTTCATTTTATATGACTTATATATCAATAGTTCATTATTGTAAAGAAAACTATGAACAATTATGTAAATATAATTTCAATACAATTTCAATAAAAAATAGAGAGGTTAGATTAATACACGTGCATTTATATTGAATTATACATACCAAAACTTTAGCATGGTCTAAAAGTCTTTGTTTAGAAAGAGCAGCATCTGCTTTGCTATCACTGATCACAACTTTATCTCCAGCACCAAGATTAGGAAATTCAATTTTAACATCGTCACATTCTTTTTCCAATTTGTGTAAACATTCTTTTTGATTGACCACTAAAGTGCCATGATATTTTTCATTGATTTCTACATGTTCTTCGATGACATTACCAATATCGGTTATCATAACTTCAAATTTTGCTTTTGCTTTATTAACATTCTCTTTTTTACCAACAATAGTTATATTTTCATTAGTGGAATCAGTTTCAGACGGGAAAATTATTCTTGTATTCGTTAAATATCTGATCTGGAATCCAAGTATAAAATCATAAATGAACACATTGTACTCTTATACTAAATTATTTTAACAACAGACCTTTTTAACATTGACTCCATTTGTTCCAATTAAATATTTGTAAAACTTCGGATTTACTTTTAAATCATACACATATTTATGAACTTCATCAACCATTGTCTGAATTTGTGTAATAAAATTTTTAACATCATCTTCAGGTCCTTTAATAACTATAGTCTATGAATTACATTTAAGCTTTAAAATAACTGTTTACTATTTTTTTCATAGATTTTAGCATTTGGAAAATTTTCTTGAAAATTGACTTATTGTATTAGGGAAGGGGAAGCAGTTTCTTCTCTTGAAACAATCGTCTCTTGCTCAAAGAGAGAAACTGCCAGAGGCCAGGTTCGAATTGATGTCCAAGCGTATATCACGCATATAATAACTCATACAATTGGTTAAATTGTTATTTTAATTTATAAGTTTAATAAATAAGTATAGTCTTACATTATCTTCTTTATCAGTTGGTAAATTCAATGTCACATTACTACCATAATCTTCTTTTATAGATTTAATGAATTTATTACCAAGATTTACAATGACATTTCTAACATTAACATTTCTCAACACCATTTCATTTGTTATTATATCTCCCTAAAAATACATGATTGATAAATTAATAATAAAATTGAAAAATAAATAATCTTTATAAAAAACCAACTATTTCATTTTGTATTTCCTTAATCATATTATAAGCGATTACAACTTTTCTTTTATTTCCCATGACTTTAATAACATTACTATTGTCTCCTTCACGTAGTAAAAAAAATCTCGTATCAGTCTCTTCTCTAATCTAGAATATTAAATTATATAAATAACAATATTTCTAAAGGTCGAATCACAAAAATTAATAAATAATAATTATCTTTTTAATAAATACTGCTTTCTTTCGAGCACTAAGTTTGTGAAATTGTTTAAAAATAGGAATTTCCAACATAGTTGGTTTCATCCAATACTTCGGCCAATTCAGCTAATGATTTAAATGCTTTACTTACATCATCGTTCAAACCTCGTATTTTAACTAAATTATTTCTAGCCTTGACTAAAATATCGAACCAAATATTATTTATTAACGGTCAAAATACATAAAAGCAAACATATTAATGCTATTAATACTATAAATTACCTGGACTGGGGAATACAATTTGAACATTAAATATTTTCTGAAGTTCTCGAGCTTTTTCACCTTTAACTCCAATTATCGCTCCGTGGTGACGTTGATCAATTGTTATTTCTTTTTTAATTTTACTTTTCAACTTCAATATAATTTCCTCCAATTCCTAACAAAAATTTTGATTATTACAAAATTACGAAAAAAACTATTTGATGGAAATTTGTTAAAATACACGATTTCGTTAATACAAAATACTTGTAAATTTTTTTCTAAAAAAAAAAAAACTATAACAGAAATCTTTTAAAAACTTTTAAACCTATAATATTAAAATTAAAAGTTCATTGAATTTGTATAGAGTTATATCAAAATTCAATATTAAAATCCTCATTAATTTATTTTTAACTATAAAAGTATAATAAAAATTATCGACATTTATATTTAGAAAACATGAAATTTTCAAATATTTATTAAAAGATTTAATTTTAATTTAATTAAAACCGACCTAGCATCGAGTGATTTTCACTTGTTCCCGGAGATGAAGAACTGGCTAGCGACACAGCGTTTTGATGACGACGACGAGCTCCGGGCGTGCGTCACTCAGTGGCTGAGATCGCAGGCGGCGGATTTCTATGACGAAGGAATTTCGAAGCTTGTCCACCGCTACGATAAGTGCCTTAATTTGTTTGGTGACTATGTAGAAAAGTAGCATTTTAGTCACTCTTTCAGATGTATATAATAAAATATTATTCCTGTACCTAGTTTTTGTTTTATTACAAAACGTTCCCTAGTTTCTGAATAGCCCTCGTATGAACACAATATTATTATTTAAGTCGAGAAAAGATAATCAAAATTAATCTTATATTAAGTAAACCATATAATTTTTTTCCTAAAAAATAAATTTTTTGGTAACCACTAATCAGATAAAACATTTGTTTCTATTACTAATATAAAATATTTAAAAACAATATATAAAATCAATATTTTAAAAGATAATGAATATTAAATTAAAGGGTATTGTTAATAACTCTTGTTTATATTGTTATATTTTTCTACAGTAACTGTATTTATCTAAACTGTAGCTTTTGTTTGTAAACATTTGAAGAGTTATTTAATTCCTTATCTTCAGTTGTTACTAATTTTAATGTACGATTTAAATAGATTTAATATAAAAATATCTTTTATTTGTTTACTCTCTGCCACAATTAGCTAAAAATAATAAAAGAATAATATTTTTTTACAAAGGAAGTATTGATATTAAATGTTATGGGATGTAAATAATTGCTGATATCTAAAATTTGTTAGATCATTGAAGTGGGGTAATAGCCTCCCCCCTTAAATTATGTTCCTGAATGATATGTGTTATTACAGCTATTTTCATACTACACATCTCAGTCTCTTAGGACATACGATAAGTGTACTATATTATACATAGGCTGTTGACGTAGTCAACCAGCGTCGGTGGCGGTGGTAATGCCTTAATATTTACGCCAATACTTCTCAGACAAGCTTTCAGTACACTACTCGCTCACCAGTTGTTAATTTTACATTGGATTTCTATTCTCCGCTAAAATACATATTTTAACTAATGAATTCTATACATTTTTTGTTAAAATGTATTTATTCAATATGTAGCTATTTAGTTAAGTAAGAAACTATTAGAAAAAATCTTTCTACACAAAAATCGAACAGTTATAATTCAAATACAACGTGTAAGTAATACGAATATAATATCAAACATAGGTTAATTTATTAAATTATAATAATTTTAATAGGTACCACAAAAATTCCTAATAATTTTAGGATTATTTTTATTCACTAAAATTAATTTTTTTATGTTTCTTTAGTTTTTTTTAGTATTATATATGTATATAAGTAATAATTAGTATGATATTAAATTATGAATATTTAAAAATGTTCTGTAGGTAAAAGAATTAATAATTTTAGTTTAATTACCTAAACTAATCAAAACGAAAAAAAAAATTAATTTATCTTTTAATATTGCTAAATCTTAAATTAAACAATTTATATATAGTCAAAGTATTGATTAAATTACATAAAAAAGTAGGTGAACATCGTTAAGATAGAGGGCGTCATTTAAGGGGATCAGTTGATCAGAGTGTGCATAAATACATTTACTGTAAAAATATGCATTGATACGTATAAAATCTTCAAATATTAATTGGTCGTATAATTTAAATTATATTAAGTGTGTCAAAATATGTTAAAATATGCGTCGAAAATATAAAATAAATTTTTTTTAATTTAATTTATATATTTTATAAAACAGATTTATGTCACATAAAATTAAAAACAAAGCTTTCAAAATGTGTAACTTTATTTAGTTCTGTGCCCTAAAAATATGTATGAATGTATGATAAATTGATAATAATTTTTGTTGTAATGATTATAATCATCAATTGGAAAATAAAACAATTTGTTTTAACAAAATAACAAAAAACTAGTTTTTCTAAGTTTCTAGAAAAAAAACTCCAAGGAATTTATTTACCGAGCTTATAACTGTTAACAAATATTATTTACAATAATGTATAATATTTATGAATAATATTTCTGTATAAATATTATTTTTTTTACATGTTAGTTGTGTTCCTTAACCTAGATATTTTTATTTTTAATAATGTGTAAAATAAAAATATAACAATAATAAATTGTTTAGTAAACATTGCAGTTTTTATTTTATTAAAATAAGTCAACACTTAGCACTCGAAAATTAGTTAATACATTACAATATTTTATAAAACCTTACAGATCAAAGATGTTTGAATTATTGAACCATTAGATAATTGATTATTAGCTGGAAGTAATTCTTTTTTATTATAGACAACTTTATATAAACATATATAAGAAAAGCGTTTACGTAAGGAAAACAGTCAACGATTACTATAACACTGAAATAATGAACTACGAAAAATAATTTTGTTTGTATTATTTATATATTATATTATATATATTCTTTGTAGTACATAATGAATAAGTATAACTAGATATTTTTTCTTAAAAATAAAATTTTCATTTTAATATTGAAATAGTTGAATAATTTGCTTAAAACAGTATTACGGTATATCCTAAGTCTTATTATAAGAAGATAACTTAAGTACTTTTACTATAAGAAATGTTACAATTTTATATTATATATATATTATTTTAAATTTTTATACTATGAAAGTCAAAAAATTATGTGATATGGTTCATAAACTGTTTTGAATATTTATTAATGGTATCTGAATAAAACACTGATCATATTTATTCTAGAAAATACTACGACAATATGAGTATATTCATTTTCATATATTGTAAGCTACCTAATTTGAAGACTATAAGTTAGTTACTTATTTAATACAAATTCTCTATTCCGAAATATTTGGTATGTTAGTATAGGTATTGATTTCAGAAAATATTATATAATATACTCTAAAGTCAATGGTATAGATCAGCGTTTCTTAAACTTTTTTATCCGTGGAACCATTTTTGATGTCTAAATTTATCGTGGAATTCCTACTTTTTTTTTGGCTTTTTAGCTTTTTTTTTAAGATTATTTGTAAATAAATTATAATCATATAATAATATTATGTTAAAGGTATTTAATTCAAAAAATATGTTAAAATAAAAATAAAAATAATAATAGTTGTATGAGTATATAATAATACTTAAATAATAATTACTTTAGTTAGACTAAATATAAATTTAGATTATTCCATATGGCTTATACATAGTTATTTAATATACAAAGATTTTTTTTTTCTATCGTCCAAACATTTTTTCACCGTTACTCATAGGCGCAATTTTGGGGGAGCTTGGGTGTGCTCAACACCCCAATTTTCAAAATTAGCAGCCCCAAATGTGCTAATGTTCATTTACATTTAAATACTTATTACTCATTATGTATAGAAAAACATAATAGTTTTTGAGTTTTTTTGTATAAATATATACATTTTTATACATTACGAAAATATTTTGCAATACGAAAAAAAAATATCTTTGGTATAAGGTAAAAGTTTCAAGTTTCTAGCCACATAACTTTTGGAATTATGACTAAATAACTGAAATTTGAAATGTGAAAGTCTTATTTACAGCGTATTTTTACCATTTCAGGATAGTTTTTTCCTCACGTCTAGAAAAACTATTAAGATTTAAAAAAATGACCTATCTAATTTACCACCGTATGCCAATTTAAAATCCAAAAAAGGTTCTAAAAAAACTTTTGGACCAGTATTTCTATCCGAAAAACTGTTTAATAAATAAAATACAAATATATTATAAAACCATAATATCCTTCGCTTCAGTCAGAATCTAAAAGTTATCATGTGATAAAACATTTGTGTTTACAGACAGGTAATTCGTTATACGCACAATAAAAATATAAAATCAACGTGAACAATTTAAATTTAGAAATATTCATATATTTACCAAATATTTTAGTAACTGTTGAATTGTATGGTTTGCGGGTGTCTATAATCATTAAGGAACATGAAAAAGATAGAAGGGCTTCAGCACCTCCAGTTTTTTCATTGAAATTGCGCCCCTGCCGTTACTAATCTTTAGTTGGAAATTTTAAAGTAATTTTCTTCAAAATTCTTGAAAAATTACTTAAGCTTCGTGGAACCCTAAAGTGATCTTCGCGGAACACCAGGGTTCCGCCGTACACAGTTTAAGAAACGCTGGTATAGATAATAATTATATATTGTAAAATTGAATTGTATATATTTGACTATAATTTATAATCTTACGAAAAATAATTATTATTTAGGTAGTAGATTATATTATTATTACATTTTAATTTTTATATTTTTTCATAAGACATTCAAGTTTGATATCATGAATGAAAAAAGAAAGTTTAAACGGAAGGAAAACACAAATGAATTAATAAAAATCATTTTATACATGGTTTTTATGACAACATTTTTCATGATATACTATTGTGAAAATAATAACGATAAAAATGAAAAATCATTGATTGATAACTATCATTCATATTATAACGAAGACATCATATCAGCACCTGCAAATGGTAATTTAATTTGATAATAATAATGTTTATAATTATTATTATAAATGTATACATGCTCACGTGACCGGATTGTTTATAGAAATTTGAAGCTCGTTTGATCTAAAATTAATTTGGTAGGTATATATATATATATACCTACCAAATTATATATTATATAAATATATTTTATGGCTTTATGAGCATCAATCATTAAACAAATAAAATAAAAATTTAATAAAAAAAAATAAAGATGTAAAAAACATATATAGAATTGTTATAATGCATCAAGGCCGTATCTGGTGGGGGTCCAGGGTGTCTGGACCCATACCCCCGAAATTTTTTCAATATTTTACGAATCTTTAAAATAATTTATTATTATTAATACCAACATAAATATTTTCAGTCAAAAATGACTTAAGCTCCAATTAATCATTGACTGCTTTTAATTTTATATCATAATATCATATGAAAATATGATATTAATTTTAATAAAAGAAAATTAAATCTTTTTCTGTCTTATTTTTAACCAAATATCAAAAGTCAAATTCTAAATTCAATAAAATTAAAATATACATGTTCTGGACCCCTCCCTAAAAAAATGTCTAGATACGGCCTTGTAATGCATTATAGTTGTGACTAGTAGTATTAATTTGGTAGGTATGTCTTTTATTAATATATATATTAATGAATCCAATACATTTGTTTATGTAATTTTGCGTAAATTATATATTAAATACATATTTACAAAACAAATATCTTAAATAATTTTTAAATAAAGATGATAAGGTGTTGTAGGCAAGTATCAGCAATAATATTTAAATTTTTTTATGCGATTTATGCAGTTTTTCTAATACAGTAGCTCGCTCTTATTATTCTGTGAAATGAAACCATTTCTGGGAAGTATTTTAGATGGTATCATTATTATAAAACCAATTATTCCCTCTGCTTTATTCATAATCTAAAATGTATTCGTTTAAATATAATATTTTTAGATAAATTCGAAAAAAGTAATACTATTTTGTTTGCTACAAGATATTTTTTCTTCTTTATGCAAACAGTTTGTAAAAAGTAATTTTGCGCTATACTAAAACAATACATTTTATTTTAAAGCCTTGAACATTTTATATCAGACTAATTCACCTAAATATTTTTATTCGTATACTTAAAAATGAAAATTAATTTTTCCCTTTTTTTCATATTTCTTTAAGATATGGCCGATTTTTTCATAAAAATGGAATCAATTTTTTTTTTAGTTTTTTGAGAAATACAATGGCCTATATTAATTTTTTAGATTATACAGATTTTTGATCAGTAATATTTATCGAGAGAAATTATTTGTCATTGTTTTTAAATTTATAAAAACAAAAATGACCAATTCCAAATCTAAATTTCCTTTTTCTAAGTTTATATGATTTAGGATGTTCTGAACTCTCTACATATTCTGTAACAATAGTGAAACTTTTCGTTCTTTTATATTAAGGACATTTCTAAGCACTTTTTATAATCATCAATATAATTAGGTTTTATTTTATTTTCCTTTCTTAATATGTAAAATAGTTAAATATTATATATCAATATATATCATAACTATTTTAGGTATTTGATTAAAAACAAAAATATTCTCTAAGTATTACTATTTCATTTATACGTACTCCTATATTATCATACTGATAATCAAAATTAAAATGTATGTCCTTTTTTGCAGGCTCAAATATTATAACGGAAATTGATAATAATGTAAAAAAGGGGTTTGTTGTGTGGAATGACTATTGTCGAATACCCAATATAAGTGCCTACGACAAATCAATTCAAAATTTAATTAAAAAAACTGATTTTCCAAAATGTTCTTCTAAATCGCCGTTGACGAGTACAGTTCTAAATGTTAAAACGTGGTCATATACTTTTCAAATTAACCATAATCTTAAATCAATTTCTAATTGTTGTTATTCATCGATCTATAGAACTGAACTGAAATTCAAGAAAAATCAAAAAGATGATGATCGTTACAAGTAATTATCTATCTTAAATAAAATGTTAAAAAAAATGTATTTTTTCATAAATTAAAATGGCTAGTCATTAAGGAAGACGTATTAAAAATATATTACCTTTTTATAGGTTAACCAACGATGTTTGAATACCTTTAAAAATAATTTGGTTAATTATCTTGATACGTAATTATTATGTGATGGCGTATGAACTATAAATGTACACATAAAAGTAAAAAACAAAAATCTAGGTTCACTGTTTTTTTTTAATTGTTTTCTGATAACTTATAAATTTATTATGTATTTATATTTAGCAGTGTAAACAGAATAGGCTATGCAGACTTATATGCGTATAATAAAACGTAAAATTATGAATTTAACTAAAAGAGTAATACAAATATTACATTATTTAAATATAGTATTTATAAGATATCATTACATTTTTCATATAAGTATAATTTTTTAATATATATTGTTGCGTTCCGGATGTTAAACTTGTAGAATGACCATACGATGTTGACAGTAAAGAAATTAACATTTATTTATACTCAAAATACAAAACGTAAGTGTACAATGTTTAAGCGATTGATCCAAATGTACACACCTACATGCGACAGAGATCTTATAGCAATAAACTAATAAGTCATAACGGTCTGATTGTGCACATACGGACTGGGTGAAGGTGTTCCTGGCTCTCTGCAACTAGTTCTGACTGCTGGTGACTAATGACTCCTCTTGTCTTCGTGTCCCTCGGTATTTATGCCATGTTGCTAGGTCATCCTTCCTTGGCATGGGGCTGTCCCGGATATCACGTATCTCCTGTTGTCCTCGATTTCATATTGATTTCATATTTTATAATTCGATAATTCGTGTTCCCGAAAGTAATATCGCGGAGTTTGACAATACATTTTATATTATTATTAATTCAAAATACAACTTATCCTGTACTTATTAATAATGTATTTGCTTTGACATTGTACACTTTTAAGACTAAGGTTACATTATTATACAAGCGTGACACTATAACATTTGGTAAAGATGGCACGTCTTGTAACAATATTATTAATTATTTGAACTGTTTACAAAAACATTTTTAGTACTTATACCTAATAACATAGGTGTGTCCAGACCATTTTTACCGGTCGTGTACAAGACAAATATTACATATACGAATATAATTACAAATATTTTCTCAATTCTTAATATAATTCTAAACGCCGTTTTGTTGAAATCATAAATTTAAAATAGCACTAATAAATAATATTATTAAAGTCTAGTGTCATAATATTGAGTGTCAAATCAGGTGACATAAAAATCAAACTTTATAAAATTATTTCTCATAAACATCATGTTATAAACAAATTTAAAATTACAAATGTAAATGATATATACATCGAAATTATTTTTGTAAATTGTAGAAAACATTATTGGGTAAAATGAATCATTTAACCACAGATTTCATGTAATCTGTGATTCAACCATCTTATCCTTATTATTCCTTATAGTTTTAAATTTATCTTTAGCTAATACTAATACTAAACAAATTATTTTCACAAAATATTTATCTAAGTTATTAAGTTGAAAATACGAGTACACTCGATCAAAAAAGTTTCCATACACATTTAAAAAAAAAATACTTTTGTAAATATTTTGAAAGATCTAATTTTACTAAATTAATTTAACACAGTTATTTTATATTTTAATTAAATAATTTATTTTTTATTCAACATTTGATTATAATAAGTTATACATTGTAATAAACGGATGTTAATTAGAATATTATATATATAATATATAATATATAATTGTAATACGAGTAAGAAATTGTTAAACAAAGCCGACTGTATAATCGAGGGACCGAGCGTTTGAGCCCTGTCATACGCAAATCGTTGCATGGACAGTTTTGGATCAATGGCAAGCAAGCCCGGCCGCTGTCGGCTTAAGCGTAATTACAAGCAGTCAGTTGATGTTTTTCCAGTAGAATTCCTCAGAAATCCGTAAATTTTGTATTTTTTTGTCATCCATTGTTATACATTGTTATAATATAGTATAGTAGTTAAACTTAAAGTGTTATTTATCTAATTGAGTTGTATAGACGTATATAACAATATTAGAAATATTTAAATAGAAAATACACATAAGAGTTTTCATACACTTATAATATAATTTATTGATTGAGTCAGTTTTCTTCTTTTAGTTAATGACGATTAGGATCAACTTTAATATGCTTCAGTGGCATGCGTAGGCGAGGGGGGTGATGGGGGATATATCCCTCCCATGGACTTTTTTTTTTTAGCTTTAAACGTTTAAAAACGTATTTAAAAAATACGACGGGGCATTCACGGTTAAATGGATTGGGCGTTAATGATCATACATCAAGACATTCCATTATCTACAGAACAAATATTGATGAATTTAGTCTAAAAGCCAGAAGGATGAATTTCCGCCTTGATTGCATTTTTTTTTTTTTTTTTGTATAATAATAAAGAATAAAGATTAAAAAGAATACATTTTTATTTATGACATCCCCCCCATACCTAATTCTTGCGCACGCCACTGGTATGCTTTAATAACATCGATCAAACGATTATTTATACTATTAAGTTATTTTGAGTGATTTTCGGGTTAATTGAGTACTGTTAAATTTGCATTTTTCAACTGCTGTTATTAATTTCAAACATGTTTTCTAATTTTTATTTTCTTATAATTTTGTCCCAAGAATGTTCAATAGGGTTCATATCAGATGACTGTAGGCGTGTATGTAGTTGTTTAGAAACATTATGTATTCAACTACTCTATAAAAAATTAACACTTCCCTTTCACTCAAAAAAAAATAGTTAGATTATCATAACATACTACTACAAAACATAGGTAAAAAGTTAAAAGAAAATTCTGAGTATGATATAAATTAATTTTAAAGAGTGCTACCGCTTTAATTTTAAATTTTAAATTTACTTACATTTTATTAACAATTATTATACTATATTATTTTTTAAATTAAATTATATATTTATCTAAAAAATATATATATTTAAACAAAGAAAATTTATGACACATGAGATTTATGAGAAATAATTTTATGACACCAAATTTTATAGTACTCGATATAATATCAGTTGACTTTTTAACATTTGAATCACTAGAATCATTTTGTTTTAGCCTATTTTAATAAGTCAAAGGTTATAATTAGTTAAACAACAAAATGTATACTACTTTCTAGTATGATAATTTGTTTTTTTTTGAAACGTAATTAAATTTTAAGTATAAATTAATAAGCATAACGTTTTTTTTTTCTACCAAGAACTTTTAAATATATTTAATTGGTTTTTAAAATTACAAAAAGAGTTATGATAAATTCACGAATCACGACTGTAAATTGTTTTCAATTGAGTAATTTGCTAGAAAATATTTTTAATATGAATGAGTCATATATTATGACATTTAATTTATTGTTTCTATAGGTACTATGAATTGAACTACGTAAACTACTACGTAAACATTACAGTTTGCAGGATAGGTATAATGTATAATATATTAACAAAACATTTATATATATATATATTTATTATTTTTTAAATCATTATCATAATCGTGTTACACAACTAAAAAATAAATCTTAATCATTAGCATACTGCTCTAATGTTGTAACTGCATTCAATATCCTAAAAGAAGATCTGTCTTCATAGTACAGGCCTTATGTCTACACTTAACCTAACTACATAGTGTAGGCATTTATAAGTATCAGTCTTGAACGTAATTACAGATTTTGTTGACTGTTGATTATGAATGTCAAGATAATTTTTTATTTTCTTAACGAAATATTTCAACTATTCATTTTAATCAATTCAGAATCACGTTTTTAGAGTTGAATCTATATGTCATCCCATCAAAGATTCAGAATTGATTCCAAAGTCTGTGGAATATATGCTAGTAGTATGTGAATTGAGACCAAATGGCAACAAGTCAAGATCAACCGTTTACAAAGATATCCATGCAATGGTAATCGATAAAGGTCAAAAGCGATTCAGAAATGCAGATATTACAGATAAACCTAGCATATTGATTATATCCATTGATTCTTTATCTCGATTGAATCTTATACGATCTATGCCTTTAACATATCATTTGTTGGAAAAACATGGATTTATATCTCTTGAGGGTTATACCAAAGTCGCCGACAATACTTTTCCCAATGTAGTGCCAATTTTTACGGGTATGTCCGTATCGCAAATGACTAAAAGATGTTGGAAGAATCCCAAAGATGAAATGGACGGTTGCCCGTTTCTGTGGAAAAATTTTAAAGAACGAGGTAAATATATATTAATTTATTATACGTTTTATTTGATATTAATAAACATTGGTATAAATTAAAATTTCATTAAATACCTACAGAAAATATTTAACCACGTTATTTTAAATGATAATTTAGGGATAATTTCTATTCGACCGTTATAGAACATAATTCCGCGCTTCTACTTTGGCGATTCGTTAAGATTAATTAAACATTGTTTTCATTATATAAGTAGACTACAACCTTCATTAATACTTTAAGCATTATAATAAACTAACACACTTCAAAAAGTTAAATTAGAGTTCTGTGATAATACCAAGATCCAAGATATTTGTTATGTGTTAAAGAAATAAAAAAATTATATAATATATTATATATTGTTATCTGGTTGATTATTTATCATCTTATGACTGTTGATTTTTATATTATTTTGTTTTTTCGTTGTACCGTTAACTAAATAATTTATGAACAGAAAAACAAAATTATTGCATTAAGTTGTACGGTTAACAATTACCATCATAGTATACCAAAAACTTAATGAGACCTAACTGTAAGTTCAAGGGCGTAATTGAGTTGAGGCCATGGGGGGAAGCGAAACTAATTTTTCTTCAATACAAACTTAAAAATAATTTACAGTTCATTACAGGGGCGTACCTAAGGGGGTGTCGGGTCCGGACCCCCATTGAAATTTCTACATACTTAATGGTTTAATAGTAAATAGTACATAGTGTATTTTAATCTCCCATTATCTTCAATATAAAAAGTTTATAGATTATATAATATACCTATAAAGTATAAACCATGTTTAATTTACATTGATTTTTTTATATTATTTATTATTGTTAATTAAATAATGTATTTTTTTATAACATTTTACTACCAACTAAAAATTGATTTCAAATTATAGTACCTAACTATTATAGTCAATCTTTGTGAAGAATATGTTTGATGTGTGTATAACTATTGTGACTATTACTATAGTTATTAATAGCAATTTGTTGGTAATGAATTAAACTATAATTATAATTAGAGAGCAGATAATATAAAAATTTTGGACCCACCCTAAAAAATTCCTGGGTACCCCCTGGTTCATTACCTACAGCTCATATTCCTGTTGTTCATTCAAGTGAATAAATAAAAATATACAAGTACCAAATTGAATTAAATATTTATATAATAAATATATTTAAAATCTACTTCATATAAAATAAGTATTATAATAACAACAAAAATAGTTCTTATATTAAAATTGTACCTTCAATCTGAATCCTGTATAAAAAAAACTACAAATAATTATAGTAGTGTCGTATACGCCACGTAAAGGCATGACGTATAGCAACACAAAAAAGTGTATCTGTCGGTTGTTGGACACTCTAACCGTTAAACAAGCACGTAAATAAAAACCTTTATAATTGGCCCGGACGACTACCTCATTAAGTGACAAAGAATACAATCTAGCACTGCTTAATAGGATAGTCGAATACAGGTTTATTAAAATGCTTACTTTCCTTTAGTAGCTCTAAAGTTATTTTACACTCGAAACAACTGACAAAGAATAAGATCTAGCACTGGATATTTCGAGCGTAAGATAACCTTTACCTAACTATATTGTACTCTCCCCTCAAACTGACAAAGAATAAGATCTAACACTGGATTGAGTTTTGAAATACAATATAGTTTTAATACCTTTTTTGTAAATGTACCAACTTTCTCATATACTCGCACAAGTACGTAATGTAAAAAAATTATTAAATACGAACACCTTTTAAAATTATATTTAAAACCTTTTAATTTAAAACAATGAAAAATATTTATTAATACAAAAAAACAAAAGAATGACCGATTACTTCACTTGTTAAACGGGCAGCATTCTGTTTTCCACATCGATGACAGTAGAACGAACGAACATCACGTCTTGCGGGGGGAGTTTTATTCTATTGCAATCTATCTGGTCAGCATTTCGTGAAGGTGGTGTGTGTACGCGTATGTGTATATGCATGTGTATGTGTGCGTTTGCTGACAATATATTAATTTTATGTTTATAATAATAATTAAATTAAATTAGATGTTAGGTGATAATACAACAGTAGTAATAGTACCTATTAATTCATTTTTAAAAACGTTAAAAAACAATTAAGATAGGTAATTTAACAAATATCTAAGTAGAAGCATAAGGTTGGTAATTAGTTAAATAATAAATTTAAAATTTCCTTTTTTTCATTTTGGCAAATTTGTTAATTTTTTTATCAATGGATACAATAATTTTTTTATGCACATGCAGCAAAGTCTAACCTATTAGTCTATGCTGGCCTATTCTTGATTTTAACCATGTTTTCAATTTACAAAAATATATTTTTAGCCAATATTTGCAAGTTAAAGAATATGGAAACAAATATTGACAGTTATAATGATTATTATTTGGGTTAGGGGCTTCTAACTCTATAAAATACACAAATAGGCATGCATTTGTGCACAAAAAAATGACTAAATACCTATACACAACAGAAAGTACCAGATATTACGTTGTTAAAAAAAAAATATGCGAGTAAAATTATTAAGGACTTAGCTCTATTCATTCCACAACCAAAAATGTTATGATATAATAAGATAAACAAAAATTGATACCCGTGACTAAATTGATATATTATTGAATTTATTATTATATTATAGTGATAGACTAATAATTTATATTCCTAATTATTTATACATTACATTTTTTAAATAAATCAATGTATTATATTCAAAAAAAAATACGAGCCGTGGGGGCGAATGCCCCCTTCGCTCCCTCCCTTAAAAACGCCCTTGTGTAGGTTACCATAGTGTTACACAGTGATGCAATTATCGGGATTGTTGGGTATGGAATTCACAGGGGCCCCCGGTTTTGGAGGGCTCCGAGATCTCTTCTGATATTACCTTTATTTCTTACGATATTCCTACTATAGTCTGTTATACACACATAAATTATTGTATAAATCACATAAATCAAATTATTTGTTTTATTATAATAAAAATAAATAATAATAATAATAATAATAATAAAAATAAACAAGGACCCTAGTCATTATCGTACATTGTCATGTATAAATACACGTTACTGTAACAGCAAAGAAATGTAGGATAACTCCGCGATGACGCGTGTTTTCTGCAGGTTATGTCACAGCGTACGTGGAAGACGAACCAAGCATAGGCACGTATAATTTCGGTAAGTACGGTTTCCGGAATTCGCCGACGGACTACTACACGAGACCTTACATGCTGGCGGCCGAGCAACTTTTGCCGGTGGTCAAATACGACGGCATGACCTTCTGCATGGGCCCGCGGTCAGCTGCGGAACGGGTGTACGAGTACGCCGAGGACTTTGTCCGTTTGCATAGCGATCACGGGTACTTCGCCGTGTTCTGGCTGAACACGTTCAGCCACAACGACGTGAACGCGCCGTCAACTATGGACCGACGGACGGCCGACATGTTGTCTCGGTTGCTAGACGGCCGGTTGCTGAACAACGCCGTGGCCGTGGTGCTCAGCGACCACGGGCTCCGGTTCGGCAAGATACGAGCGACGCACGTCGGCTGGCTGGAGGATCGGATGCCAGCGTTTTACTTCCGACTGCCGCCCGGGTACGCGGCCGCGCGCCCCAACTATCGCGCAACGATGGCCGCCAACAAGAACCGATTGACGTCGCCATTCGATCTACACCTGACGCTCAAACAGTTGATGTCGGACGATCGCGCCGTAGCCGACGGTTGCCCTACGTGCCGCAGCCTGTTTCAGCTGGCGGACGCCAACAGGTTAGGTCCACGTGCATGTTATATAAATATATATACCGTACGTCAGGAATGGGCAACTTAAATTTACTAGAGGATCAATTTTTAGAAAGTTAAAATTCAGCGAGCCAGAGTATAAAAAAAAAGAAAAAAAAAGGTCATTCAAAATATGAATTTAAATTAGCATTTATTTAAACGGAAATAATAAGTACAACACACACGACAGCACGAAACGAATTATACGAAGAAACTGATATAGTTAAATAGTTCGGTACAAACAGTTGTGGTTGAAAGCTATATTTATACATATATATGACATTTAGACATTTAACGATGTTTAATACCAGATAACAATTATTAAATCGATAACTTAGAGAATAAAATTTAAAATTGTATGATGTAATTTTCAAATATAGCACGGGCCAGATAAAAAAGACTCGTGGGCCGTATCCGGCCCGCAGGCCGCCAGTTGTCCACCCCTGCCGTACGCGATATTCTTACCAACCGCGAGTACATAGGAAACACAAACCATGTCCGACGGTCGCATTACCGGCATTTTGTAAATATTTCTATACAAAAAGTTCCACAATCCAATAATCTTAGAATTTCGAAAGAAAACATTTAAAAACAATTTTTCATCTGTCCGTTGTACACTCCGAGTAATGCTAATCGAAATGTGACGCACATCATGAACTATAGAATAAAAAGATAGTTATATTTAATTGGGTTTGCGGATGTGTCACGTTTTTGCGAACGTGCACGAAGCACAACACAGGTACCGTTTTAGGACCTATCGTTGGTGATCCCCATCAATCACGTCACGTTTATTATTGATCAATGCATTTTTTAACTAATTAACTTGGCGACACAAATGTCGCCCAGTGATTATACTCTGTCGACAATATTTTGAAAGATTGGGCAAAATAATGCGAAACAAACGTGCAATACTGTAATCGTACCATGGTATTACATTGAATATTTTGAGAAAAACATTTTTTGACGCCCAGTGAAAATTCCTTATGAAATGCACTGTTATTGACAGTGTACGGATAATTTCTTCACTTGGTAACACACCCCAGTACACATGTACTTGAATTGACTTCTTAAAAACCGTGCGCCGACTTTCGGACGTGTCACGCGACCAGGACGAGGTTATTGATCGCTCGGTTTTTTCCCTCTAGGTCATGTGAACAAGCGGGTATCGCACCGCATTGGTGCCCATGTAACGAGTACGAAACGCTGGATCCGGCCAGCAAAACCGCCATGGACGGCGGCAAGTACGTGGTGCGGCAGCTGAACAAGCTGCTGTCCAAGTACAAGAAGTCCGTGAGCGACGGATACGTATGCTCGCCCTTGTCGCTCAGCAGAACGGTGTCGGCTCGGAGCAGGATGAATCGGGAGTCCAGCCGCCGCGAGTACCTGTTCGTCGTGGAAACGTTGCCGGGCTGGAGCATGTTCGAAGTAACAGTCCACCGGGAAGGCAACGGCAGCGGTCACGAGTTCAGCGATCTCGACGACATAAGTCGCATCAACATGTACGGGTTCCAGAGCCATTGCACGGACGATTGGAGACTAAAAAAGCATTGTTTCTGTGTAAAAGTCGAACGAAAACCCCACGGTTAGCGAGCACAGCCGTCACGGAATCCTGCGACGGATCCGGGATCCCAACGACATAATACGCTATCGCGTGCATTTCATTCGCATTGTGGACACGCGCTTTCCACTCGTGATTCGTCGTGTATAGAAAATATAATTTATCGTTCTCTTATTCGTGTACCTAATTATTTAACTAAACAGTAGGTAAATAAATTGTATAATTGTATATTTAATTATAGTTAATATTTTACTATAATGTGCCCTCCTACATACGGTAAGACTGACACTGAATTTGGGTGCACGATATTTTTTCTCACCAGTAATATTACATAATCGTACAATAATAATAATAATAATTTCTTTTTTTTCATGTACATAATGTATATAATATATGCCAATTAAATGTGATTAATATGTGTATTGTGTGCAATAAACATAAAAATTTTAAACACATATTACTGTGATTAAAAAAAATTACTTTTTACAAGTGAACAATTGCGTCGTCAATGTTATGTCTTGCTAATATTTACCATTTCAGTTATCTCAATTTCGTACATATTAATATTGATAACAAATGGCGGATGTCCTCTTGATAATGTTGAACGACAATATTAGTTTTCAGAGTATAACTATATACAACACAATTTACGAAGTACAATAATTACTTTTTAAACAACATTTAAGTCAGTATATTTTCAAATGTAATACTAATTTTTATATTTTAATATTAACAATAGTCAAATAAACCAGATAATTCTGCTACCTTGTTTATTCGCCTTGCCGTTTAAAAACCGAATAGTCTAAGCAAATTAAATTTCAATAAATTAAGTAACAAAATCGCATTATTTCTTCAACCCTTTTTATATTAATTGGAAGTTGGAAATTTGGAACACGATTGAAAATTATACGGTTATGTCATCATTATAATGCTAGAGCTGCTCAAGGTTCGTGTTTTAAAGACTGGACCAGACTGATACATTTTAACTAAGACCAACACCAGACCGGACCGATAAAATAAAATATGAATTCATTTAGAATGTAATAGAAAATATCGAGACCGTATCGACTTTTAAAAATAAGACCGAATGTCGTAAAATGTTCAAAATAATATATTTAACCATATAATTATAAAATTGTCTACAAGGTATATTGTATGCATTCGGAAATAATACAGATGTCATGTAAGACAATTCACAATCCTTAACTTGAATTATATTTCTGGATCTATATTCTATAATAAGTAAATATTATGTTACTATAAAACTATACAGAAACGCGAGAGCTATTTTGGTGTCCCTAAATATTATAAACTGACTTAAAATAACATATATATAATTTTTGGATTCTCATTGATGTAAAATACTACATAACGTTTTATACATTTTATTTTTATTGAAGTAGGTAGTATCAGTGGCATACCAATGGAAGGAGTTGGGCGTTTAATCACCGATGAAAATTATGTGTATAATGATTTTCATTATAGAATTGGAATATTATATATAGGTTATTAGCATTTATATCAAAATATAATTATTTCGTATATCGGTAGATGACAATAATAAAAACAATTTCAAATTTATCATCACCAAGTTACATTATAAAAAACGTTATTTATTATTATTAGGTGACATAAATATTAAATGTATGAAATAAAAAACAGTTAAATTTTGATAGTCGTTATAATTCCATATAATAGCCATTCGTTATCTATATATCATTAAGATGGTTTTATTAACTCAGGATTGCAAGAAAGTATTGGAGAAGTTAACTTTTGGTGACAACACATGATTAAAATGGACAATATTCCCGAAAACGCTTATCATTTTGAAAACATTTTTCCTGTACTAAAAAAAATGTTTCAAATTCTTATGACTGTCTGGAACAATTTCTACACCAGAAAGAAATTTTTCAACAATTCTTCAACATATCTGCGAAATACTATAGAAAAAATCCCGTTTAAATTGATTGGCATTGTTAAATATTCATCATGAAATTGAAGTTAGTCTAGAATTTGTAATTGATAATTTAGAAAAACAATCAAGGTGATTAAATTTTTAATTGTAATTTTTGTTAAAAATTAATTAATAATTTTTTTTTGTAGATAACAAAATTACAGCTATGGAGAATGTCTTTTCTTTTAGTTTTTTTTATTAAAAGTTTAATATCAATTTAATTTTTAATTTTAAATATTATGTTTTTTATGTTATTATCAGGGCTCGGAAGTTATAGCACTAAAAATGATATTTTTTAACTCTAAAATATGCGCTATAAATAGTACGAAAAATCAAAAAATATGCATTTAACTTGAAAAAATTATATTTTTATTAGAAAAAAAAAATAAATGTAATTTTACAAATTTTGGAGCTTATAGACACAGTCTGAACTGGTTGTATTATAAACTGTTAACAAAAATTTTAAATTACTTAAATGTATTTGTAAAAATGTACTTATTATTAAATTATTTAATATACATATAAATTAGCAAAATAGAAATAAAACCTTTAAATATGCAAAAAAAAATAACAATATTAAATTTTGTATATGATCAGTGTCGGATTTACGTATAAGCTACACAAGCTATAGCTTAGGGCCCCCCGCTGTCTTGAGGGCCCCAAAAAATTGTCCAAGTTAGCATTTGTTATATTCTAAATATGGGGCCCCAACACCAAAAAAAAAAAAAAAAAAATAATAAAAATATTCAAACAAAGAGGATCAACACGGAGAAATATTTCAAGTATTGAATAATACATATTATTATTATTAGATAGTAAACTAGTTACTTGGAAATTAATATTATGTTTCGCTATATTGTTATAGATGTGTAAAGCGATAATGTGTATTAGAACCGTAGAAATAAACATTTATTTTCGTATTGTTTATCAGTGATTGTTTTTATTCCATTGGATTTTATTTATAGCCGTAAATACTCTTATGAGATATGAGTGTATAACCCTCTCTTTACATCGAACGCAATAGTTGATGGTATAGATAAAATATTTTGTAGGTTTTTATTATAAATAAAACGATTTAGATTTTATCTATTGTTAAAGCTATAGGAATAGCTATAGGAATACGATTATTACGACTTAATTTTCCTTTACACTCCGTGTAGTGTTACCTGAAAAAATGCGTGAGTACAATTTTATAAGTATTTATTTTACTAATTAGTAGGGCCGACAATTATATTTTCTAAAAACCTATAAAATATGTATGCAGTTAGACCCTAAAAATTATCAAAATATGTTCTAAAAAAATACAATAATTAATTGTAAATTTTAATGTTTTATTTTTTAATTAAATGATTTAGTTATTTACGTATTAATATTATACCCATGATTTATAAAGATGTATAGTATTATCTTCATTTGAAAACCAAACAATTTTTTTTTGATAAATAATAATTAAAAAAAAAAAAACAACAACACAATATAATTAAATTATAAACAGTTTATTTTTTACCCGATGTTATAGCATTGAACTAATTAATGATTTTGATATATTTTCAAACAGCATTGAATTTCAATTGTCCGTTAAAAAATTTTTGTAGCATGAAAATGAGCGTTCTACATCAATAGATTAATCAGTATGAATTAAAAATGCAAAAAATCCTAGCACAATCTAAATCTAATTTTCATATGACTAAGCTTATAAACATTAGAAAGTATTATAAAGGTATCTGTATCTAATATTATTGTTGTTTATATTATTATGATATAATAATAATACAAAATTAAACACGTTTCGTCCGATTTGAGCGACAAAATTCATTGCACATCAGAAGCTATGACCGCTTACTATCTCGTCGCCTTCTATTTTTATGTGCGATTCATAATGACGCACAGGATGCAGCGTTGAATAGGCGTTTAGCATATAGATATCCATAAACACGTAATCCGTATAATAAAACCGCGAGTAGGTACCTCCGTAACAATATTATAAAAAACTATGAAAATAATTTTAATAATAATTAAAAATATATTTAATTGTTAATTTGCTAATGTATAATATACCATTTTATACTAAAATATGTATCTATTTATATTGTAAATATATTTGTACTATAAATTGTTCATTACTGTAGGAAGTTCGACCGCACCATCGCACATTTGCATGAGTCGCCACTGCTTATAGCTATAATAAATATTTAGCCAAAGTTTGCAAGATGTCAACCAGAATATATAAAAGTGGAGCTCAAAAGAGAAAAAAGAAACAGAGAGCTGAAGAAGAGCTTAGAAAGTTAACACAATTAGAAAGTTTTTTAACAAAGACAGATAAGGAGCCTAATGAACCAAAAGTCTCTACTAGAATGACTCAGTCACAGGATATTCATCCTATTCCTAATACAGAACCTGGTACATCTAGTCATAAAGAATCTACTTCAACGAATGAAGCAACAAATATTAGATTTATAAACCTGAAAGTAGTACAACCACAAAAGATTCAACATCAAAAAACAAAGAGAATGATGTAAGACTAAGGGGTGATTTAAATAAAGATGAAATTGCATACTGGGTAGAAAAAGGTCCATCAGAATGTCAGCACTAAAATTGCTCATTTGAAAAATCAAAAAAGACTTTTATAAACCAAGATAGATATTGCTCAAAAAGCTTGTTCTATCCCAAACGAGCTAATGGTGAAAAATATTTCAGAGAATGGTTATTATATTTACCAGTAATTGGTCACGTCTACTGTTTCGTGGGTAAACTCTTTTTAAATTCTTCTATACCATTATCATCAGATGGATTTTTTGATTGGCGCAACACATATTTAATTCAAAGCTATTAAAACTCCGTAGATCATAGAAAAGCTTCGGTAACATAGCTTACAAGAAAACGTGGTTCAACAATTGACTGCAAACTAGAAGAACAGATAAACAATAAACGGCAGTACTGGAAAAATGTTCTTGAACGAATTGTGGCAGTCATAATTAATATGGCAGAGCGTGGTTTACCTTTCAGAGGAGATAAGGAAAAATTTGGTTCTTTCAACAATGGCAATTTCCTTGGATTACTCGAACTTCTAGCAAAATTTGATCCTTTTCTAGCAAGTCATATTAAAGAATTTGGGAATAAAGGATCAGGTGTCACATCTTATCTTTCTAAAACAATATGTGATGAGTTTATTCATATTATGGCACATAAAGTAAGAGATTCAATCTTGGATGATTTAAGAACTGCAGGGTACTTCAGTTTATCTGTAGATTCTACTCCAGACTGGTCCCGTATTGATCAGCTTACTGTTATTGTGAGGTACGTTTCACCAAACGATGGACTTCCAATCGAACGTTTTCTAACATTCCTAGAAATGGGAAATCACACAGGAGAAAGCATGGCTAAGATGGTGCACAACTACCTAATAAATGAGTGCAAAATCGATTTTAGTAAGTGTCGAGGCCAGTCATATGATAATTCTGCCAATATGTCAGGAAAATACAAGGGTATGCAAGAAATAATATTGAAGATTCACTAGTATGCTATGTATATTCCATGTGCTGGTCATTCCTTGAATCTTGTTGGTAGGTCAGTATCCATTTAATATAAATTGCTCTTTTTATGCATTGTACTAAAAGTGCGAATGTTTGCTACTTTTTGTAACCTTATTAAACTAAGTCGTATTATTTTATCTCTGTCCAGCTACGTAACACTCAGATTGTTGTTCCTTATTTGAAGGCCGTCGCCCGACGGTCCGATTATTCTAATCACCCCACGCAAATATGCTATAGCGATAGCTAAAATGCCAACAACTTCAAACAAAAACAATAATTCCAATACGATACCACAGGTCAATAAAAACACAAATCGAAAACTCAATACAACTTCAAATTTAAATACTAAAAATATCAGTATTTCTTCATCGAATACCGCGTCAAGTAATAATTGGATGAGACAAAAATAAATAAATCACTCAAACTCTTCATAAACTAACTCTGAACCACCTCTATCTCCCCAAGAGCGACAGCATAAAAATAAAAAACTTTTTTCGTTAAAAAATCACTTCGAAGTATTCAGTAAAATGAAACAATCAGTCGACCCTCTCACAGAAGACTTTCCGAACTTAGCTTTCGAACCAGAAATTAGTGCAATAATTAAACCCCCACCACCCATTTTTATTAATGGCGTGGACAATTTCTGAACTAAGTAAATAACTTTTTTAATTTTAAGCATTTTATACATTTTTTTTGGTCATTCGCCTTATTGACTCATTCGGTAAATGGATTCGAATGGTCAGGTTCCAAAGTGGGTTTAATAAGCGGCGACTACTGTATTTCAATTGATCGTTAGCTGATAATGATTTGACCTTGACGTGAGAGTTATTGCTAATGTAAAAATTCCAATTAAAAATTAGTTAAATAATATTTGACCAAACCGAGACTGTAGCGTGATCAAACCGTTGCATTACCTACAGTGTGAATAGTGCCTAAACCAAATTTTCAACCATCCACAATGACATGCGTATGAAAATAATCGGAGAGGAATCGATAGTTTATTATAAATGATTCTTTTCACGCCTAGCTGGCTACGAAAACCCATTTATTCAAAATTGAATATCCTAATATTGCCCAAAAATTCTCAACGTTGACTAAAAAGGAGATTGTGTAGAGACCTTCTGCTCTAAAAGCCTATAAGTGTTTCCCCCCTTCCTGTTCTCATTTAAATCCTCTTTCTCTATCAAGTAATTCAATAGATAAAAATATTTTTAATCTATACTGAAGTTAAGTGTCACTAATTGATGACTGCTTATTCCCAAATTTACCTGTTTTATATTATTACACACATCACTTATAATTATTATGCTTTTTGTATAGATTGTATATTTCTCATTAAAATAAAAAAAAATAAAAAAATAATTAATATTTTCTTTTGTCATATTCTAGTTGGAAATAAATCATTATTATTATATTTTTTAAATACAGTTTTTACTCGATGTGATCAACAGTCTTTTTTTTCTTGCATATCGACATTTTCCTTCGTGAAACAATTCTGGGTACATCACTGGGTAGTATTATATACATCTTCATTCTTCTGTTAATACGTGATGAGTCTCTTCACACACACACACACACACACACACACACACATATTATACGCAAAATATATAATTATACTATTTATAAAATATATATACATAAATAAACTCAATTTGTAATTTTAAAATAAATGCAGCTTTTACAAGGAAAATATAAAAAGTATGAATTTTGTTAAGGCTCATTGTAATGTTTGACGCCGTGTCAATTATGGAAGTACCAAATAATTAGTAATACATAAATTATTGTGTAATGACTGTAACTTTTATTATTAAAAGGAAAACAATTTTTAATTACATATTAATAATGTATTGCCTTAACACGTGTTCTCAAGAGAGTGGTGACGGTAAAACGCAATACACTTGAAAAAATGTTTCTCATCAATAGTCTCAAATATCAAAGACGTTATACATCACACTCATGAATCGCAAATCTATAAGCAATAATTTTGTTTACACACAAAATAAAAAACTGTATTAATTCATTATTATTTTATTTTTGTATACGCAGTGTAGGTTGTATTAATACACAATAAAATAAAATGCTGTACACGTTAAAAAATTACCTAAATATAATTTACTTGTGTGAAAATACTCATTAATGTAGTCGTTAAAATACGTTAAAAATGTCTTATTCCGTATTTCATGACTCTCCCATTAATGGCTCCATTTTTTTTTTCATGTGCTTTATTTATACGTTTGAAAATATTTACTCCATTTATAAGTAATTTATAGCATAAGATATTATCATGGAAATATTAACAAGAAACAAGCCAGTTTTTTATTTGTTCGACGAGAATAGCCAGTTGAAATTATTTTTACATTACTTATGAGGTATGCAGCATAAATTTGTATAAAAGTTCAAATAAATATCTTGAAATATCACTTAAAAATGCAATTAACAAACGTTTTATAAGGCTCTCTAAAATTTAAACCTAAGAGCATGAAAAGTCTTAAAATGCGTTTAAAATTAACTCAAAAAGTGTCTTAGTGATTAGAGATGAACTGATGGCAAATATGCTAAATAATAATTACATTTTTCCAATTATGTATTATACTCGTATGTATTACAATTTTTAATATAAATTCCATTTTTTAGAAAAATAGATTTTATATTCTTACGAAACTTTATTATTATAACAACATAGTTAGTTTTCAAAATTATAACTTATAAGCATCCGCAAACGTGAAGAAACTTCTCTGGAAATGTAAATAATTATATTTAAACGTGATGTAAAATAAAAAAGTAAATTATAGGCAAATAATTAATATCATGTTAGAATTAATCATAGTTCATTGTCTACACATTTTTCTTTCTTTTAATTTTCAATTAAATACTTACTAATGCATGTAAAATTTAAATAACATTCCAAGGTTATGGACACAAGCTACATGCGCATTGTATGTTTGTTTACATTTATGTTCATCAATATTGTTGTCATTATATTAGTAAAAATTAATTCAATTTTAATTTTCTTTTCCTTATTTATGCAAGCCAAAATTTGTTTTTTTTCCTATTCTCGTGAACCATTCTTTACCTATATATTTGTACATTACTGACTGAATTATCCGGCCTTGCCCGGAAAAATAACTTTGACAAAAGTAACTAGTATTTACAAATGAAAAAGGAATTTTTGTGAAGTTTTTAGGTCTATTACCTATATTTTTAATTAAATTATTATTAGTTTAAAAATTCAAGTTTGGCAGTTTATCCTTTATTATGTTAGTTGTCTTAGTTTATATGAATTTTACACTACACAAACTATAAATTCTTTGACTTGCTCAAAATGAAGTTTCTATGATTTATATTTAAAATATTATATAAATACCCAATATACCAAATAGGTGTATAACCCAGAATACTTAATAAAAAGTTGTGAATACTGTACGTATATCATATGATTGTCTAGAAATATCTATAGTGTCACTATTAATTATAGCATTGGTTCTCACAGTGGCGTATTTTAAATTTTTTCTGGGGGGGTCCACAGTTTATACATAACTAATATAAACTATATATTATATTGTAATAGTTACATCCTTATGCAGTTTTTGGAGAAAGTTGAACTAAATATATAATGTAATAATAGTATATTCTTATGTAATATTATATATATATACCTATATATTGTATTTAACATTATATATTATAAAGTATTGTTATAAAATAAATTCTAGTTGTCTCGATTTTTTGGCCAACTCTTCTATCACTTCATCAATAGTAATTTCAACTTCCCTGTGAATGTTTAACATAGCCAATTCTGCAAATATGTAAGAATTTTAATTTATTTTTATTTTTTGGAGAGGTTCTGGGAGGGTCCCGTACCCCTGGGTCCCCCCCCCCCCCCCGGAAATACGCCACTGGGTTCTCAACTTTTTAAAGTCCATGCCCTTTTCATATTATTATATAAAATCACATGCCTCTCACTATTACAAGAATGAAGTATAATGATTGTACTCAGTGGCGTAGTTACGGGGAGGGTGTAAGGGGTTTCCACCCCCTCCACAGATTTTTTTTTTAATGATATTTGATTATTATTTATTAATATTTATATATTATAGTAAAATATTTTGATTTTACTATGATTAGGTATATATTAAAAATTGAATAACAAAATAATTTTCATTAATACGGGACATCATAACACTATTTTAAATGTAATATTATTATATATGATCTCGTTTTAAGATATACTACGAACACTTAAAAACTTACTCTTAAACACCCCCCCCCCCCCCCCCCAGAAAAGAATTGTATCTACGCTACTGATTGTACTAATCATTTAAATTAACAACATTTAATTTAATTTTACCGAATTTATTTCTTTCAAATTTCAAATTTTTAAAACTAAGTGTATTATAGTTAATTTTAAACTTATTGCTTTTAAATAAATTAATGAGAGGGTTGGCACTATTCAGCTTTAATTATCTTTTTATTATTTGGTGACAACTTTAATAGTGCCTATAAATAAATTATAATGTGCGTAATAGAAAATAATGTGCTTATTCAATAAAGCCCTATAAAATATTAACAATTGGCAATAACTTTTTCATATTTTATGGTTTTAAAACAATGTTCACGCCTTGAAATGTTTTCATACCTCCAAAGTTGAGAACCATTGAATTATAGTGTTTACATTTTAGATTCTATGTAAAATAAGGATCATATAGTTGTTTTTAAATTTTTGTTCCTTGAGGTCCACAGAATTTCGACCAGCAAGATTGTTGCTTCATCAACATTTTTCAACAATTATATATTTCTCTTATCATATTATCAATTAATCAATACCAGGAATAAAAAACAAAAATTCCATATTAAATAAAACGTTATCCAATCAAATCATCATGTGTCACATTTAAATGGTCAAGTACAGGTAATAATATAAATGAGTGCAAATGTAGAACATTTTAAAAAAAAATCCTGCTATAAATCAAATTAATACAATATTTTATTTATGTAATAATAATTATAATAATAATACAATGCATATTATGATAATAATAATAATAATAATAGTTAACAATAAAATAAACATTTTATTAACAATTTATTATTTAATATACATATTATATAGTAATAATGTATAATATTTAATGCAACTACAAGGAGTGCAAAAATGAATTAAAACATGAAAAAAAAATAAAAAGTTTAAATAAAATTGAACAAATGTCCAAATGTTTATTTTAAAATAATTCATAACTGTCAACTATATTGTTACAAATTGGGATTTCACAACCGAATTTTGATTTAGATCCAAAACAAAAATAATAGAATGTGCAGTTTAAAAATTATCACAAACATTAACAATTATTACCGTTATCAATAATATATTATTTTGGGAGCTAATGTAAATAAAAACATAATTTATTAATACTGTGAGCTAATTATATAAATAGTTAAAGTCATTGTTACAATTCCAAGTGTTATTAAAAAAATTAACACTTATAATAAAAAGGTGTTTTTGATGAATGTAAACAAATTCAAATTTCTCTCAAAAAATTGACAAAAATTTAAACACCTATAAATGATCATCCAACGATCTCCAAACAGTCTCCACTAATTAATTTTATTAGCCAATGGCCACTAATACTTTATGTCATTGATTCTCAGACCAAAGGTTCAATGTGGATGTTCCAAATGTATCTGGTGGTGTTGGAAAATTATTCACTTCGGTTTGGTCTTGCTTTAATACACCATTGGTGGTATATGAGAGTCGAATTCTCATTCTTAATTGGCTCTAAAGATAAGGTAAAATAAACAATCAAATTTTCATAAATAAAAGTTTCCATTCAAATGAATATAGCAAATTAATAAACTAAAAAATATATGGAATATATTTTCTTAACTATTAAGCAGTTGGGAATAAGCACTGAAATTATAAGTTTAATATAGTTTTATATTAGTATACTATTAATAATTTATAAAATATATGAATAAAGCATAGAGTTATAAAATAAAACTTGTAAATAATGTTCACATAAAATTAATCTTCAATTAATAACATTGAACATAAATGTGAATAAGTTTTTTTTTTTTTTAACTATAATTTAAGATATTATTTAAAATAGAATCATATATTTTTTAAATTATTTTATTTATATTATATATATTTATATAAAACAAAATTACTGAGATAATTTAATATTCAAATAAAACAAATATAAATTAATGGTACTTAAACTAAAACATTGAACATCTTATAATGTAATTAAGTGAAATATAAGAAAACTTACTTTAGACACATTTGATACTCGCATCAATTGAGTCAAAAACGAACCAGGTTCAATTGAATTTGATGATGGAGGTAACATTTGTAATTGGAAAGTCTAAGTGATAAAAAAATGAATGATTAGTAAATATATTAAAATATAAATAAAAGTTGTTATGAATAAAATATTAATACTTTAGTACTAATAAATAACTAAATTTTTTTTCATTTTTTAAACCTACGATCTGTACATTTATAACTATTATTAATTAGTAAACAAACTTATTTCTAGATAAAGGATACTTTTGCAAAAATGTTAAGTATGATTTTTTTATTTAATGTAATTAATTTATAAATAATATAATAAATTCAAACAAAAATATAATTTAGAATAAAGAAAATTATAATTAACGTATATTTGAACATGGCCTGCATTTAGAAAAAATTTATTTACGAAAATAAAATTATATAAAGCATAACACATTAACTGCAGCAATAATTAATAGTATATTATAACATATCAACATATGAAACTTGGCCCAAATTTAATTTAAGTATTTAGATAACTGTAGTATTTTTAACAACTATAATCTTAAAGTAGCTTACTTTAGGAACAGCTGCTTGAAAAAGAAATTCATTAATGGTAAATGATCCATTATTGTAAGCAGTCATGTTCACAGTATTTGAATCAATATTCATCTGATCTCTTTCAACTAATAATGTAATGAGTAAATTATTTTGGTCATAAGCAGTTACAGTGCCAGGGCTCTTCACTTTATTGGTATTAACTATTGATGATTCACCTACAAACAAAACATTTTATTTAAATTTAGTGTGTACAAATATTTAATTTCACATGTAATTGTAAATTTAAGATTTATTTTTAACTTACCTAAACATAATGAGTCAAGTAAATTATTATTTGTATTAATACTTGATCCATTAGTAGAACTAATTTCTGGTGTAAGATTGTTCAATGGTTGCATGGGCTGATTACTTAAATCTAAACCACCTTAATAACATAAAGATAAAAGAATTGAATTATCTACATAAAAAAAAAAATAATCATATTATATAACTTACCTAAGAGATCCAACAAATCTTGAGTATCACTAGTAGTTGCAGGTGTTACTGAATTTTGATTTGAAATCAACTCGGTTTCACCATTTGAACCTTCTAGCAGTACTAACAATGCATTCTAAAATAAAAAAGTATTTAACAATTATTGTTTAGTCTTAATTTAAAAATCTTAATTATAAACTTACAGAATCATTGGTCTCAGTGTTTGACACATCTGTGACAAGTAAATCATTAGGTGATGGAATGTTTTCAATAGTTTCATTCCATTGTGACCTCTGAGTTCTATTCGATTCCATGGCAGGCATTCTTTCTAAAAGACCATCTCGCATTGGATCATATCTGTTGAATAACTGATTATATTCAATTCCACGTTGTTGCAAATCAGTATGCATATGTGTAGTAAAAGATGCTACCATTTCATGAATTTTACTGAAAAATTTAATTTTTAATTGATATGTATAATAATTTTTTTTTATTATTAAGAGCAACTTATTTTTTAATTCATAGTTAAAATATGGATTTGGTAATACTTACTCTACATTGACTTTAATACGTGTGCTTAGTTTCATAAGTGAATTTAATGTATATTGTTTTGAAACTATATTGTTTTGAGGACTCCACATTAATTTATGATATACTCGAAGAATATCTTCTTCTGACACCTATGTAATATTAAAACAATAATTTAACTACTTCAAGTATACATTTATATTATACTGCAAGTCTAAAATACTTAATATATGAAAATCTTACAGTAACAGCATGTTCATCGGACTGTTGTAATAACATATCACCAAATTCTCCAATTGTCCAAGTTGATACTTGAATTAATGGCTGTTTATCACTTGTGTCTTTTTCCAATTCTATCCATAGTTTTGAAGCCATGTATCCACCATGTTGAGCACCAGATTCAGATACTAACTGTATTGTACTAGAGACAACATCATCTCTAACATAATTACCAGCCTGTTATAGAATCAAACTTTAATTATTAAAAAAAAATCTTCTAAAATATTTATTTTAAATGCTTACTGCCACAAGAACTTTAATTAAAGTATCTAAATGCCATCGAGTATTTGGAGCAAATTTTTCAGCAGCCAATACTATACTAGAAGAACACTGAGCTTTAAATTCAGGTTCAGATGTTTCCAAAAATGCAAGTAATTCTTTAGTCATGGTCAAAACATTATGGGAGTTGATTAGAGCTATGCTTAACTCTAGTGCTCTTCTTCTTATGGACACATCTGGATCTTGCTGTAAAATACATACATCATATTAGAAATCATATAATAAAATTAATTTTATATATTATACAACATACTCTCAGGCACTCAATTATAGTAGTTCTGTGTCTTTGGACAGCAGTCATATCTAAGTTAATAGTTTTTAACAATGTGTTCAAAGCAACATATCTGATATTTTTATCAGTGTTTAATAAAAATCTACCCAAAATATTAATGGCTAGTACTCTGAGCCCAGATTCAGATTTAATGTCCATAATTGATAACACAGTTTCATATAAAATTGTGTTTCCAACATTTTTATTAGTTTCAGTTGTTGTTGCTACTTGTGCAAGAACATCATTCATAGTTTCAGAAGCTTCTGGATCTTTTCTACCAAGTATTTTAAGCAGTCTTAATATTTTTACCTATAATAAAATTATGGTTTAAGAAACTTGGATCTGAATAAAATATTTAAGAAAAAATTGGTTTATTATGGTACTTACTTGTAAGAAAGGGTCACTCACTCCAGAAACATCGTGTTCGGGTGAATAGCCAGCTAGTATTAAATTTTTTAAAATTCTTACTAAGTTTGGAACCACCTTAAAAATTACATTATATATTAAGCAAGTCTATATAATATTATTAAAGTCTAATATATTAAAAATAAATACAGCAATATAAATATACCTTTTTAAAATGTTGTAAAGTATCAATACTTCGTTCACACATTTCAGTTATTAATGTAACACCAGTAATAAGAACACCATGATTTTTCTCTGAAAGCATTGACCTAGTGGCTGGCAAAAATATCTCCATTAGTTCTGGGACTTTGAGTACAATTCTATATGCACATAATGCAGCCTTTTTTCTAATGTATGTATTTGGGGATTTCATTAAACGTTCTACTTCAGTTGCAAGATCCCTAGCCATTTCAGGAGATGCAATAGCACCAAGAGTGCATAATGCTAACCCTACAACGAATTGAGTACAACTGTTCAGGTCACTAAAAATAAATAAATAAATAAACATTAATAACTAAAACATCATACAAAAAATACTTTATTATTCATAATACTTTTTTAAACAGTTTGTAATAAGAAGATGTACATCTTGTCGTTCATCCAATAATAACATGGCACCCAAATAACCTATTCGTTTATCGGTAAATCTTGGTGATGCTATTAGTTTCAGACATTCTAACTGACCAAAATGTGCTGGGTATCTACAATATATTATAATTATAAAATTATTTTTTCAATGAGTACAATAAAATAAATTTAGTTATGAAAAATATTAGATTATGAGATTATAATAATAATATTAAGATAATAAAAATAAATTATAGCTATTTAATTGTATAAAAAATGTAGAAACATATATTTATTTTAGGTCTTATTTGAGTTAGGTACTTTGATAAAGTAAGAGTATTTTTTTATTAATGTACTACTATTATGCATAGATTTATATAAATTTAAGGTATTATGTTAAAAGTAAATGTATAACAACACTTACCCAAGCATATGAATATACAATAATTTTGCAATATTTCGACATCTCCAAACACTATCTTCATCTCGAAATGAAGTTCTTATATCAGCACATTCTTTATTAATAACAGCTCTTTCTTCTGCTGCAGTACGTGCTGCTCTTATTTGTCTGATTAAATCTCTTAACCGCATAGGAGTTGGCATACGAACTAAAAAATAAAAATTAATTAACAATACCTATATAATAAAGTAGGGATACATTATTAAAAGTAAAAATGTATATTAACCTTTTTCAACAGCTTCATTAAAAACTTGTCTTATATTAGCAATATTAAATGCTGGATAGAATCTGTGGAAAACACAAAAAAAGTAAAAGAATTTCTATAAATGCTACTAGAGGTATGTATGATTATGGAACACAGAAAAACACAAACCCAGGGTCAGAAGAGTTGTTCATTTTGAAACCGTGAAGTATCTAATTGGTAAGTTGAAGTCCTTTAAAAATTGATAAAAAATACTATTAGACATGGTACATCAATGAGCAAAAATAGTATCAACTTTTCATAACATGAATGGAATAACTTCATGGATGGGTATGTGTAAAAGTGAAATAGTACCTATTAAATGCGCGCCTTGTCGTCCAAAAAAAGATTTCAGTACCTCAGTTCAGAAATGTATCGCTATTATATGTGATACAAAACAGTAACAAACATCTGCATATCTGTTCGAACGACGAATATTAAATTACAGAAAACGAGTGTTATAAGATTCTAATTTCATAAAATCGTCTCACACCGGTAGGTTTGATCAAAACATAAAATAAGAAATTCCAAACTGCCTATTAACGTTATGTAGGCCACACCAGAAGGAGTCTCTAGCAATGATAACACACAGGCGGTCGTGTTAGCTTCGCTTCAGGCGTGTTCTGTACCAACGAACGTACGAGGTGTGTGTGTGTGTGTGTGTTGTATGTGTGTACGAGAACAATTTTTATTATGTTATATAATAATAAACGTACCGAGCAATACATACATAACTGTTATAATATTCACCTTTCGACGACGACTATTCGTGTCCTTTCGTCCTTCTTGGATAGCGTCGTAAGCACAAGAGATACGACGGCGAACAACGCGACAGCGGCGGCGCCCTTATCTATCGTCGTTTTTCTGCATTCGTGTCATAAAACATTCGTTCGCCGATAGCCCGCGTGTAGTAAATTCTACACGCGCAAGCATGCGTACGTAACCGTAGATTGTTTTATTAACACGTTTAACGTGACAGGCAACGGCAGTAGCAGCACATTAACGCGACGGTACAGTCATCGTTAAGGCATTGTTATCGTTGTTGACGCGACGGCGGCGGCGATATTCCATGGGTTTTAATTCGGAAAAATTTATCAAACAGGTGCGACCGTGATACATTTGTTATTCTCTCTCTTTCTCTCTCGCTTACTCTCTCTCTCTCACTCACCCGCTCCCTCTCACTCATCCGCTCCTTCTCACTCACTCTTTCTTTTACGCTCTTACTCTTGCACACACTCGATCCTGTTTCATAGTACACAACAACGCTGCTATCGCGGGCCGTAAAACGGTACGGGCACATAGTATAAGATACGGGTAAGCTTGAGTGTTCCCGCCCCCGCGCGGTACACCGTAAGCGACCACAACCCGGAACGTAGTACACTAGACACGACTGCTACTACCGGTCCGCGCAACAACTACTAATGTTCCAATATACGCCCAATAGTGTAGATGCCGGGTCTAATCTCTGCGACAATAGTAACGAAATCAATGAGTCGGAAAACACTTCATAAAATTGTCGAATAGATGACGTTGTTACAATTATTTACGGCACACTAGACGATTGTCACGAGTCAAAAATGGAAATCGCAATCAGCACTCGACGAACAAACGCCTGGGAATGGACTCTGTTTAGTTACTCGATAAACCGATGTCGAGTCTACGGCACAGATGCGTATCCATTGGAGTAAGCCTGGCAGGTTACGGTCACTTTTGATCCACAACTAAGCATTAGGAATACCCATGGATTATTTGATTTATTGAACGTTTATAATGTTTAAAACATAATGAATTACGAATATCACAAATTTACATTTCCATGATTATGATTTATTTCCTGAGGAGTGCATGGCTGGATATTATTTGTTTCTGTGGAATAAATATTTGTAGAGTCTATTTCCTGTGTTGTAACTTTGGCAGTAGCTTCAGTTTTAAAACAGTTTTCAAAGTGCTGGGCAAAAATTTTGCATTTATCAATGTTTGTTTCGAATTTTGCTAGTCCAACTTTAAGGGGAGGAATAGTGTCTCTTTGTTTTAGTATTCTTTTTGTGGCGGTCCATAGGCTGGCGTTATTTGGATTCAGTTTTGATAGATATGTTTTATAGGATTTAAATCTATAGTTATCCAGTTCCCATTTGACTCTTCGTGTTAATTGGTTTAATCGTTTTTTAATTTCTATTGTTCTCGTTCTTTGCCATATTCTTCTGGCTTTATGTTTTTCTTTTATTAGATGTTGAATGTGGAGCAGTATAGAGGAGTTTTCTCGCAATTTACTTTTTTTTGGATTTTCTGGTGCCAAGGCTGATTTGATTGCATTTTTAATTGATTCTGTTAAGTGTTGTATATTAGTGTCTATTTCTTTGTTATTTTGATGGGATCTGTTTAAAATAAGGTTTTTGTTGAGATTTTCTCTGAAAATGTCCCAGTATATTGGCCGGTTTATTAATTTTGGGGTTTGAGGAATTAATTCCATTTGTTCGTACAAAGTGGTGATGACTGGAACGTGATCCGAATCTAGTTCATTCGCAACTTGGTGATATAACTGTGCTGTGAGATTTGAGACTAGAGCGATGTCTAATATATCTGGTTGTCTACCTGTTCTTTGGAAAGTGGGTTTGGGGGGTGGTGATATTAAAATTCTTAATTCAGATGTGAATTGGAAAGCTTATTACCATTTGGGTTTGTTTTTAGGCAGCCCCATATTTCATTTTTGGAGTTTAGATCTCCTAAGAGTATGGTTGGGTTTTCTTTGAAAAGTACATTTATGTCATCTCTTTGAATTTTTTTGTTTGGAGGATTGTAGGCGGATATTATTTTAATTTCAAATTTAATTGTTGAAACCATTATGGAAATTGCTTCCATATTGATCAGTTCGGGATTGGTTAGTTGGTGATGTTTAATAGTTCTTTTTATTAGGATTGCTACTCCACCTGAAGAGTGGATGGTGTCTCTATCCTTTCTGTAAATATTATAGCCGTTGATCTTGAATGTTTCAGTGTTTTTGAGCTGAGTTTCTGTTATTCATGCTATGTCTATCTTGTGACGGAATAGAAATTCCATAAGTGAAGATTTTTTGGATTTAATGCCATTAGCATTCTAGTTAACGAGTTTGATTTCTTTTAGATTAATGGATGTCATTTAAACCGGATAAAGATAGATTGTTTGAAATTGAGTTGAAGATGGAACTAATGATGGACTGTATGTTATGTAGAATGTTTTCGATAAATTGGGTTATTGTTTTTTGGAGTTTTTCGTTAAGCGATTCAGAGTATGTATGTTCCTCATTTTTTCTAGTATTTTGGGTAGGATTTGTATTTCCTTTGAGTATATTTGCGTAGGAGTTTAGATTTATTGTATTTTTTGTGAAATTATTGGCGATTCCATTGATTGTTGAGTCTTTTGGTGGATCATTTTCAGTTAATTGAGGTACTTTGATGTTGTTCATTTTTTTATTTTTTATTTTTTTAAAATAGGTGCAACCCTTATAATTTGCCGGGTGAGTTCCGTTACAATTTACACAGTTAGGTGGAATTTCTGATGTTTTATTACAGTTTGAATAATGATGTGAGAGATTACATTTCACACACCGTGGTTGGAGTTTACAGGACTTGTGTAAGTGTCCGAATCTTTGGCAATTTGTACATTGTGAAGGATCTTTCAGTTTCCGACGTGGTTCAGTTATAATTATGCAATTTAGAAGCTTTTTGAGTTTAAAAATTTCTTGTGATTTATGATGATTAGCCAGTTGAACTGCCATTAGTGGGGTTGGGGTTTTATCTTTATTGGTAAGTCTGGTTACTGATTTTACTAGATATTCTAGGATTTTTAATTCTTCCATTACTTCAAATTCTGTTATTGACAATGGTAAATTTCTTATGATTGCGGAGATATCTTTCTCGGTTTTCAATCTATAGGTATAATATTCATACTTTTTTTCGTCTAGATATTTGGTTAGAGTACGGAAGTCATCTACAGTTTCTAAGGTCACTTTTATTCTGTCATATTTAGATGTGGCGATAAATTCATTACTAATGATTTTCGATATTTCGTTGCGAAAATGAGAATATTGTGTTATATTTAATATGAATAGTGGAGGAATTTTGAGAGTATCATCATTCATTTGGGAATGTATTGAGTGATTGTTTTGATTATCAGTTTGTGTGATAAGAAGTGTATCGTCGTTGAAGGTAAACATTTCTTGATCATTGGTATTAGTGTTATCTAGTATGGAATATCGATTTGGTGTGGTAAATGAATTTTTGGTTGGCGAGTCGTATATTTTTGACGTTCTTCTGGGAGATCTAAATTCATCGTCGGAGTTGGGAGTTGTGTGACACTCAAGGTCAACGTTGTCTTCGTTTTTTTTCATTTTTTTTATGATGATTGGTGGGACTCTGCGCTCACTATTTGATTGTGCGTGTATAGTTTTATGTTTTGTTGAATTTGATGTAGAGCTCATTTTAAACGGTATATAACTGTGTGGCTATTAGTGAAATGGGCGATAGCGATAGCGGGCTTATCGCCCGTAGGCGCGGGTATTAGTTCTCGATACAGTATTTATGTTGGTGGACTTTGTATTTAGATATAAAAGGTATACATACCAAATAGTGATTTCACGTCGTAATTGCTATTTTACTCACAGCTATCGAGAGCTAATAAATACGACCGCTACGGTGTCTGGACACGAACTGTACGCACATTTAAAACATTAATATTAAAAATAATGAAGAATTTAAATAAGGATACACTCAGGGGTGGATCTAAGGGATTGGGGGTGGTTTTTTAGGAGATTAGCTGACCCAATGTTAAAATTTGTTGACAAAATTTCCCTCTTGAAGACTTCTTATATATTTTAAGTGTGATACTATAAGTTGTAGTTAATCCTAGACTGAAGCAAATATTCCAGTTGAAACCTTCCAAATGATACAAATGGTTTAATTGTTTAGTACAGTATAACATATTTATACTTGACAGTGGCGTAACTGGAGGCCTCCAGACCAAGCGTTACGGACGGGGGGGGCACGATAATTTAGGGCCTTTGGTTAAAGTAAATTTAATACCCATGAAAAAAAAAGTGAATAATTGCTTTTTTTCAAATTAAATTAGTGTTAATCTATATTTATAATAATCTATTATACGAAATATATTCAGACCAGAGCGCTAAAGAAATGGAAGATACAATACTGAAGTCTTTTGAAGTAAACAATATACAAATAAATAAATTTAGGATATGACGAAGCAAGCGTAATGAGTGGCATATAAAATGGCTTGCAAAAACAAATTTGTGAAAGAGAATCGAATGTTCATTGTATCGCCCACAATTTAAATTTAGTACAGAAAGATGCAATTTGTGTTCAACCGGTTCAGATATTTTTTGATAATATACAATTTTATACATTTTTTAGTTCAAGTATAAAAAGGTGGGATCTTCTTTTAAATGTAAATTTAATACAAATAAAATTTGAAGCAATCATGATTGCAGAAAAATGTGGCATAAATACATCGTTTTTGAAAAAAGGAACAGACAATCAAAAATTTTTTTGACGAACTTTGTACTGACCAACAATTAACTGATCCCGAAAATAATTTCAAAATCAATGTATTTTACATATATATAAACATTACAATTTCACAACTTCGTACACATTTTATGTGTATGAATAATATTATGAATATGTTTAAATTTATTTTTTCCAAAAATTTAGCATTATACTCAGATACAAAACTGGTCCATTTTGCTAAAATTATAGTGGAACGGTATTCAAATAATTTGTCTATATCATTTGTACTGCAAATACTTTTATTCAGAAGGGTGCTATTTAAAAATACGAGAGAAGTTTCTAGCCTTAAAGAATTAGCTGAACTATTGATTGTTCAAAATAATTGCATGTTACCAAGTGTTCCGGAAGTAGTCATCATTTTAAAATTATTTCTTATTATACTAGTAACATCAGATACAGCAGAACGTTTTTTCTCTAAACTAAAACTAATTAAGAGTTATTAAAAAAAGCCCTATGGCATTACAACGTTTATCAGATATAAGTGTATTGAGTATTGAAAACGAGAGAATGCACAGTTTAGACCAGTGCTGGCCCGACGGTTTTCGGGGCCCGGTGCAGAATTTTGCGGGGCCCCATACAAATATATTAATTTATTAATCTATCTATCTATCTAAACTATATATAAAATTGTAAGGGTTTTTCTTAGACCGTGCTAACCGAGAAAACTACTGAACCGATTTGGCTGAAATTTTTTATGGCTGAAACTCGACACTCTGCTGAAGGTTTTAGTA